GTTTCTTAAGGTCAGTTTTTCTTCGACCCTTGAATGCATGCTTTTTTCATGGTAAATTCATCTTGTCTTGCTTTTTGTACATATTTGTAATTGCAGCGTGTCAGTATCTGGACTTGTGTTGCTTGAAATATTAGTGGGATGATGTCTAGGTGTGGGTGAAATTTTAGAGAATTTTTTGTGATTTTGTTTTGTGGCTGGCCCTGCTACTTGCTCAAAGGGTTGCTGTGGTTTATTTCAGATTTTGTTAAGAATATTCTTTTTTTGTATAAATGTTGTGCCTATGGAAAGCGAAACTGAGAATCACTGAAAAAAACCTGGCTTATTTCCATTTTTTCACAACTCTGGCAAACAAGCTAGAGCTTTACTTTCCCATTGAGGAGGGCTGAAATTCTGTCCTGAAGAAAGCCATTGAGTTAAAATGTAGACAAGTGTCTGCTGTGGTCTTTACTTTATCTCATAGCTGGGATGAGGGAGCTGGGCACAGCTGTGACACAGGAGGTGATACTGGACATGAAAGGCAAGTTCTGCTCTAAATCACAGCTCTGACACCTGCAGGGCACTTGTTACAACTCTGCCTGAACTTGTCCATCTCCTGCACCAGACAAGTAATATTGTTGGTTCTAAGACAAGCTCATTAAAAGGCAAAAACTTTTTTTACCTGATATTTATGCTTTATTAAACTCTTCTAAACTCATCTCTAACAGAAACAAAGGATAACAGGCAGGAAATAGATCAGGTTATTTTTCAGGTCTATCTCTGTTTTTCTTTCATTTTAGAGTATAAATTCTGTGGAAAGTAACACCATTCCATCAGAAAGACAAAGACCCTCAGTAAAAGTAGTATCTCTTCTTGAACTGGGTAATACAATGGAAGAAGTTAAACTGGATTTTAAACTGTTAGTTAAACTGTAAGTTTTTCACAGATCTGAAATAGAAACTAAAACTTCAAAGCTAAATATAAATTGAGCTCCATTACTTGCATTTTACAAATAATCAGGGCATTTCTGAAAGGAAAAGTCTATGTGGTACCTGTGGAGCAGAGGAATTGTTACTCATTTATTTGGGAAGAGAAAAAGGATAAAAGTGATTGGAACATGGAGAGAATTTTATCCTTCCCCACTGCTGCCTTGCCCACCTCCCAGATAAGTTTGTCCCAAAACATTGTCTGCAGCAAAAGGCAGGAAACAGCTCTGCCTTTGTGGGAGTGCCTTGTGCACCTTGACATAACCTTTGGGGTGGCACAGAAGATGAGAGAAAACTTTTCTAAAGTTGGTGTAAGAAAAAAAGGCTATAAAATCATGGCCAACAATATTGAGCTTTTCAATCAAAGTGCTTTTAAATCAAAGTACTGGTGTTTCACTGGTCTCCTTTTTTACAGCTTGATATGACCCGCTTTTTGTCAGCTTGTTTCACTCAGACTCGTGTAGCACTTAATGGGTCTGGGGTGTTGGAGGAAAATAGCATTTGTTCAGCAATCTTTGTGTTTCATTTTTCAACTTCCTGTCTTCACAACAGTCCCACTGTTCCATTTTTCTGAATTGTAGGAGTTGGGATGTTATGAAAGACTTGGATGTTATGTCATCCCCTGGTTAACAAGTGTGTGATTTGCATGGCACTACTACTCTTTTCTATGAATTATCCTCAGCTTCCTAAACTGGTCTAAATGTTAAATTAGAGGGGGATTTCCTCTGTTCCTAAAATGACTTTATGAATTTTCATTTTCTTAACTTCTGTACTCATGTGGGAGATTTATTGCTTGTTAGTTCATATGTCAACAGAGGTTTGGGAAGGAAAGCCCCTAACAGCTCTCCTCAAATCTTCTGTCCTTTACCTTATTATTGGAGTAAATGTTGCATTTTTGCCTTTATAATCCTTTGTTCTATTAGATAACATTTGATTTCAATTAGTAGCAGACCCCATTGCCTGGAATCTTTAACATGTTGACCCTTTAAAATATAAGGCACAATTAAATCAGATTATTTGGGAAAAATGATGAATCAAAATGACCTCCATTGCTTTTAGAAATCTAAAATGCCCCATCTAACTCTTATGCTTAATATGTGATTTAAGTGAACACCTACTCCTTCTTTGTCCTTTTGCAGTGATGGTTACTGTTTTTTTCACTGTTTTTCCAGCATTTTTAATTCATATGTCACTTGAACTCTAAAAGAGCACTGACAAAAAAAGCATTGTGAGTCTTGGAAGTGAACCATATTGTCATGCCATGTATGCAGGATGCAGAGTTGAACCAAATACATCCTGAGCAGAGACCTGGCAGTGTCAGGTGTGCCCAGAATCACTGCAGAGGTGTCACAAAGGGCACACAGGGTGCCAAGTGTGGCTGTGCAGCTGGAGCATATCGGCTGCTGGGGAAAGAAGGTGTTATTTAAGGATTTAAAGACCAATATTTGTCTTAACAGTGTCCAAATCACAAAGGATTGAACTCTCTGAATGGCATGGAAATACATTTGGAAGTACGCCCTGTCTCGTCCCCGCCCAGCACATGCCCTTTGTGCGTGGAAGCCTCGCAGGTGGCCCTGGGGACTCCTGTCCTGCAGGTCCCTGCAAGCTCTGCCTTGCTCCTACTGAGACCTGCCACTGGCCTTCACAGCTCTAACACAGAAATCATCACAAAATTTGTTATTCCTCTGGCATGAGACTGCCAAATACCCGTTTTGGCAGCATCGGGTCCCATGAGACCCCAAAGGGAATGTAATATCAGTAAATGAAGTTAAAATAAGGTATGAAACAACAGAGGAAGTGCTAAGCAGTACTGAGCTTATTCACCCTTCACCCCAGACAGGACTGCTGGGATGCTGTGACAAAAAAAAAAAAAAAGGGGAAGCTCTGGGAAAGGAGTTGCTGCTGTAAACAAGCTTGGTAAAGGTCTGGTTTCATTTTGTGTCCTTCAGTTGCAATATGCAGCAAAACACTTGCTGTCCCTGATGTGTAGTTTTCCTTCCTCTGCCTCCTATCCATGTAGAAATTTCCATCTTTCAAAATCTTGCTTCTTTATTCACAGTATATTTTCCATGGTGGGACCATGTTTTAATGCAGCAGAATATAGCTGTTATTAAAAATGTTTTGGTTCAAATTAGAAAGAAATCCCAGGATCCTAAATCCAGTGTGGTCAATAGAGAGACCTCGATACAAGGATTTGTGTCAAAATGAAAACAATTAAGAAAAAATAGCAGAGTAAGGTGAGGGCCTTTCAGACTGGTGTAGCAAACAAAGGCAAGCAACCAAGTTTTTCATTTTTGAAAGAGTGGCAATCTTCATCTTGTTAAGGTAGAAGAGTACGTTTCTCTCACTTCTGTGCATCTGAGACGTACCATCTTTTACATTCTAGTTTTAAGCTCCGTAGCCAGACTTGGCACTGCCAAAACTTTCCCTTGGTTGCTTCCTGTCTTATTGACCATTGTAGCATAAAACATTTTTACATTTCTTATGTATTTATCCACAAAGAAATGCTATTGAAAGAAAAGCTTAAAGATAGAAAAGCTCTTATGACTATAAATTAATTAAAGCCTGGTATTTCCATGAAGATTAAGTAGGCCTACTCAGTCTCCTTCCCTAGGACATGCCCTTTTCTTTGTGCTGTAATCAAGCTGTTTGCCAATCACTGAACTTAGAGTGATAGATTTGTCTGTTTTGCATTCCCCTTAAGCCTTCTGCCCAATTTCTTCTCTGACTCTAACCCCAAAATTATATTGACTCAGAGGTAGTTTTTCAACAGCTTTATTCACAAAGTCTGGCAGCTTGGCCTTCTGAAAGGCTCTATTTAGATTTTCTATTAATTCAAAAAATGGAAGGGGCAAAACAAAGTGTTGCAACAAACTGAAATTTTAATCTGGTGTGTTTATAACCTCATTCTTGGTTCTCAGGCAGGTTTCTCAACTTCTGCTTTCCATTTATAGCTTCCAGGCAATAATATCAAATTTTTGTAATCTTGGTAGTGTAGTGAGGCCATAAAACATGAAAAAGGAGAACTATCTTCGTGTAGACTATTCCTACTCATGGATCCACACCATGTTCACCTACTTTTCAAACTTCTGGCTCTAGATTTTGGCATTTTCTGCAGCAAATGCAGAAATATCCATTTCCAAGCTGTTCAGAGGGACAACCCCATGGAGGGGTAAGAGGAATGAAGATGAGTTGATAACAAGGCAGCACGTGGTAGTGTGTGATGAGGTCTGCTCTGCCTTCTTTCATCACAGCTGCAGTGTTGGCTGTTGTTGGTTTTTCCATGTTGCAAGTAGGTTTCATGGTACAGCAGTTGCTCTGTGTTTGCACTCCTCAGGAACAGAGATGGATGCAAACAGGGACATCAGTGGTCTTCTGCTAAGGGCAGAGTATTTGAGAGCCATTTATTAGATATTCTTCATTGCAAAATATGCTGTTTGAGGCCAAACTGAAGCTTTCCATGGTTGTGGAGGGCGAACACCTATTTTAACAGGATAGAGTCTGAAAATTTTGGTGGTTGTTCTTTTCATCCTGGTATCTCAGTATTATGCTGGAGTAAATAATTTGGATCACCAGCTCAGGTGGCATTTACACCAGTGATCTATAAACACTGAAGAGCCAATATTTGGGTTTGAAATAATTTGATAGAGATGATGAGTAAGTAACATGTAGTGTTATTCTATATTTGTGGAATATCCAGGAGGAATGTTTGAACTGATTCTAGTTTCTGCTGCAGTAACTGGATGGAAATAGAAGGGAATTTACAATGATGTGGAGGAACAGATAAACTTTATGAACAAATGGGGCTTCTGGATTCTCCTATCATACTCACTCAGTCTTCTAATTTCCCTGATACCTGCTGGATTTGTGTATCATTTATATCCTGATAAGATACCAGGGTTGCCACTTATTCAATATTGGCACTTTTGGTCCAGGTGGTCAGACTGCAGTATCCCACTCCTCTCCCTGGAGTAAAAGATAGGTAAGTCTCACTGCAAGCTGTCTCTGCATCTCTAAGAAACTCAGGGTTATAACTCAATGCAGGTCTTGGTAAGTAATACCAGCTCTCCAGCCTCAAGATCTGTGTCTTGCCAACAGAAAGCCACAGTGCAAGATTTGTGGATTTGACTGACAAAAGCTGTGGCTGTGTCATAATAACTGCTGTGCAATTTGATTTCAGACAAAGAGACAAACCATGGATTCAGTATTTGTGCCTGAAAATGGCTACCTTGATTTACTGCACAGTGATATTGACCCATTGCATCTGTGTACTTTCTTTGATCCTAAGTCGTCTGGAGATGAAGAAGGTGACTTCTCTACAGGTTAGTAAGACACTAAAAAAATACTTGACTGGTTTATTCCTCACACTGTAAGTCATTGCCATCTCCTCTCAGCTCCAAGGCCACCTCATGGCAGTTTATTATGGTGACTGAGTTAAAGTCTACAAGCACTAGGTGCTAGGATGTGGTAAGTTTGTCTGTGTCTGTACATACAATCACTGCTTCCAGAAACTGTCATGTTTTTAAATTGTGCATATTTATAGTATCCTGCTCAGTCAGTCTAACAAAACACACTGTACTGTCACTCATCAGGGCATGACACTGTCTTTCATTTGGGTATCATTCCTGTAAGTAGTTTGTTTGCAAATGTTCCTGTCATAAGCTGGCCAAGTATAATTGTCAACACCTCTATGGCTTGAAGCCAAACGTTTTGCTAAATAGAGACTTTTAGATGAGTTTGTGATGAACGCAGTCCATGAGCAAACAGCTTTAGATTCTGAGATCCTAAGGCACCAAAACAATGGAGTTTCATTACCAGATGCCATTTTCCAGCTTTTTGTTATATGGTGATTTTTTAATTCCATTACAAATGAGAAAGCAGAAGGGCAAGAGTATAAAGTTGATAATTTCTTGCCATTCAGTTCCTACAAGTAATCAGATTAGGAGGTTGCCCTGGATCTCAAACTTTGTGCTGCTTTCTGTGGAAATTGTGGACTGATCTGCTCTCCCTTCCCTGAGTGTTCTGTTATAAAATTATGAATGTCTATCTGTGGAATGGAACATTAGTTGAGCTTATGTTAAACACATGAGCTGGACCATGGGTTGAGAATGGCAATGAGAGGAGAAGAGCTGATGTAAGCCAGGCATGCAGTCTCACAGCTCTGTGCCAAATAGGTGGAAAATATTACCAATCTGGAGCATTGTGGCTTTCATGAGTGACCAATGCCAGGTGGCAAATCAGTGGAGAAGTGACCACCAGAATTATCTTTGTGATTGATCATTTCCCAGGTTAGGCTTTTCCCTCTCAGTTTCTGACTGTTAAAAACACCTGCAGGAGTGTTCCTACCCCATGTCCTCACTTGCTCAGTGACTGAAAGTAGGATGAATTAGGGGTCAAGCACTGACTCATGCTATCACAGATGTTTCACTAATTGGAATACTTTTGAGCCTTAGCAATGTCTGAGATGATGCAGGTAAATCAAACATCATCAGGACATGGCAGCAGTTACTGGAAGCTGGGCATCTCTGCTGTGAAGGTGTTAGCATGGTCCCTGACCAACTGGCAGCTTCACAGGCAATTTGCAGTGCAATTCAGGGATTAGCATGGACACAGCATTGTTCTGAACAGGGCATCTGGGTGATACCACCATATCATGAAGGATAAGAAGGTTTAATAAGCTGTCTCATCATAGAATGGATTCAGGAAGTATTTTATTTACTAGGAGAGATGAGGTCTCAGAGTTTAGCAAAAGAAAAGTGCTGATTTCCAGGTGACTGTGAATTACTGAGAGTTCAGTTCTTTTCCTTCTTAGCCAACACACAATGAAAAGCCAAAGCCTTCTGCTGAAGTAACAAATCTGCCTGTTCTGCATGTCCTGCTATCTGGTTTTTTTATGCTTGGTTGTGGCATTCATTGAGCCAATGCATATTCCTTATTAACTCTAGATCTTGAAGTTGATGCCAGCAACTATGAACAGTTAAATAATATGGATTTCCCATATGAAAATGGGGATGGGTTCTACCCCTGTTGCAACACCACGGATGCTTATGCTAAAATAGGTATGAAAGCAATTTTTGTTGTTTAAATCATTATTTTACAGTCATTTGCTATAGCTATTTCTTATAGACTCTATTCTCAATCTGAAGCATTTACTCAAGTAGCCTTTCCGTCATGTGTGGTCGATCTAATTTAGAGTACCTGAACCTGTGCATTGTGGGGAAACTGATTAGCAGTAGCTTGTGGTTGTTGGGGGAAAATCTCTCTATTAATGTCTCCTTCTGCTTAATACTTCCTTTCTCTACTTCTCTTTTCTTGTGATCTTTATTTCCTGAACAACAAGTTACAAGAAAAACTTAATCTAACTCCTCCATTTTAGTTACATTGCAGAGTTCTGTTAATGAGGATAAGCTTACTAGAGTTTTGCTGTGACATTTACTGTGTCATTACTGTGTTCCTCTTTTGGTTTTTTTTTCTTTTGTTGCTAGCTGAATTAGTAGAATATGTGCTCAAGGATCAGCAGGAGAAGCAGGTTGAAGACATTTTTGGTAAGATTGATATGGCAGAAACTCACTTTCTCCTTGGCAGTTTTCTGTCTAACATGTGCTTCATCCCCCCAGTTTGAACACTAGTAAAGTTTCTATACCTCTGGTACCTTCTTCTTTCCCCCTGAGTACAGTGTCCCAGGATTTTCTTGGAAAACTTGAGGATTTTGTGTATTTTTCAGGCCTTTCTCAAAGATGGCAGTTTTGTCTCTGACCAAGCTGCTGATCATGTCACCATGCTGATAGAATATGCACAGCTTCACTGTCAAGTGCATTAATAGCCTCAATAGCATCACACTTACTCTGAGCACAGCAGGGATGATACACATAAGTCCCCAGAGCACTTTGCATGTGTATAAATACAGTTTGCACACACTGATTTCTGTCCAGGATGCACAGAGTTGCCTGAGGGAGCGTGTCAAGTTTTACTTCTCACCCTGACTAATGCAGCAATGCTATTATAGTAAATCATTCCTTCATCCATTCTTGACTGGAGATATTGCTTTACTTGTGGTACCAAATCATTGTTTTGGTAGCAGCACAAATGCAGCTATTTACTATTCCAGAACAGATATATCAATAGGTGGCTGTTGAGAAATCCATAGAACCAGAAGGTTCACAGAATATCTGTATATCCTATTTTATGTTTGAGCAAAATAATTTGGACTAATTTACTAAAGGTCAGTCTTTCCCTAGAATAATCCTGGATGTGGGAAGCTCATATGCCTTTTCAAATGATTTATGCTGCTCCCTGGTGTGTTTAGAATTTGGGGGGTTTTGCAGCTAATGGCAATATTTTTATTGGTTTTGGAAAAAAATCAGAATGCAACATCAGTTCTTAAGTATTTTCTGGTAAAAGTATGGTGTGGATAACTTCACAGTTCTTGCAGCACAGAATATAAAATCTTTTTAGAACCCCTTATTCTGTCTCTTAAAGGATCTAATCCCTTTAGCACATAAATTGAGTAGTACTGAGATCACACTGTGACACACAGCTGCAATGTTTTATCCTTTGCTCATCATTAGAGCATTGAGAAGTACTTATGCTTTATTAGCCATTGCCAGTAGATTAATGGTTTGCAGTTCAGAAATTAACACAGGGTGACAAAGTCTGCACTCAGAGCTCTGTGGGCTTTCTAAGTCATGTGGATCTGGGTACATCTTTTATCGTATTATTTGGTTTTTATCTTTTATTTGGAGCATATTTCATCTTTGATCTCTGTTAGTGTCTTTCTATTGCTTTTACTCCTCTCTGTAATTTTTTAGGAGAATAAAATTTGACATTGCACCATATTTCATGTTTTCAGCAGGGAACCTTATTTTGGATGACATTGCTGCTGAAAACACTGAGAAATTTCCTGACATAAAGATGCAGTCATGTCTTAAACGAAGTAAGTGTGAACAGTGAGAATATGAGAGGCTTTGTGCCTGAGTGCTAAACTTGCCTTACAGCCCCTTGGCTTTAGCACAGCCCCAGTGCACTTGTCATGCAGTTCTTCAGTGACACCAGACGTGCTTCCTGTGGCTTTGCTCAGGCTCGTGGGCCGGAACTGAAAGCAGCTCTTCCAAGCGTAGAATTTACAGTTCGCAGAATTTGTTTTCCTGTAACATAACATTAAACATGTTATATTTCTTTGCATTTTTGTCATCCTCGTGGCAGTGTTGACTTTGTTTTCAGTGTATCTATAGCTCAGTAAGCATTGGCTGAACAATTGCCTTTTTAACTGCAAGAACAACAGCAAACATCTTTGGCACAAAAATCTGCAGCCTAATTAAAACTTCACAGAGCAAAATAACATGAGGCTTTTCACATTCATTTTTATACACTGGACCTGAAATAGCTGAATGGAAACTGGCAACACCCCCTTCTACTTAAAATAAGTTTTGTGGGGTAAATTTAAAATTACCAAAATTTTGCCACTTACTATTACCTTGCTTTCTTTCAGCTTTCTTAGGCTCTGCAGCAGACAGTTACTGTGATGCTTCAGAACCCAAATATAAGAAAACTGGTAAGTCATTGGCTGAATAAGAAAAGGTTATTGAACATGTATTGTCTCATGTTCCAAAATCTCATCCTCTGTTAGGTACTATAACTCTACCTTCCAGAAAAGTTTGCTGTCATAGATTTGTTGATTTTGATCATCATGCATTTTCATGTTTCTGCAAAAATCACCTTAGATTAGATTCCCCTTACTAATTTATGATATAACAAATCCACATCCTCTTATCTGCAGCTATTAAATTGTGCAGCTTCAGATCAGCTACATGGTAGCCTAAGAACAGCTGGATCCTTATACTTCAAAAGTACATGTTCCTGCCAGGTGATACGAAAATTGCTTGCTTAACATCAGCAGAGGCACAGTTGACCTTTTCTAAATCCACATGAGAGAAGAAAGAAAAATAATAGAGACCTGGGTCTGTGCCAAATTCTGTAAATTTTATCACATATACCTGTTTTTTTCATTGGATTTTTGGAAAATGTCTCACTTGGAACAAAAAGGATCAAATCCAGGAAATGTAGAGCTATGACCTGAGTCATATTACCCATCAGGTCATAGCTCCACATGCCCTGTGTTTGAGACTCTTCCAAGTGTGACATCTTCCAAAAGTCCAGTGCAACATCCTAGTGAAAATAATAACTGTGAAGAGATGATTTCTTGGCCCAGTCCATGCTATAAAGTCCTTTAAACTGAAAAAAGGGAGAAAGGGAAAATTCTAAGTTTTGCACATTGTTAGATAATCTACAAGACAACACCCGGGGCCAGCAGGCAGGCTGGAACTTGTCCCCTGAGTGTAAAGTGATGCTAATGTTCTCACCCAGCTGTAGCCTAAAGGGTATCTCGGGCAGAGCTAAACCAGCAAAATACTCTCCCAAAATCCAGACGAGAACAACCTGTTTTAACAGCAATCGTTTTAACTATTTTATATTGTGTTTTGAATGAACATCTGACTCGTTTTATATCAGCACACCTCAGAAGCCTCCTAAGGGGTCTCTGGCTGTACCAAACTCTAGGGGCCATGTACATATGGGGGAGTGGCCAAACCAGTGTGTAACCTAGAGTTCCATGCAGAGCTCTGGGATCTGGGACTGCACCTCAGCACAGTTCAGATAAGGAGCTGGCACAGACTGTGTGAAAATCCGAGAAAGTACATGTGCACCATGACTGCCATCCAAGCTGGTTTCCCAGTGTTCTTGTGGAGTTCTGAGGGACTGGGAGGGAGAACTGAGCAGAAAAACATGTTTGGTAGCTCTGGGGAAGTTATCAGAGTTTCTACTGGACTGGTACCTGCTGACTGTAGTTATTTAGACACAGGTGAAATTCCTGGCAGTTAGTAGCCGTTAAAGGTGGATTACTTTCTATTTGCTTAAGTTCCTTTATAGATTTGGCACTTTTATAAGCCAATATTTATGCCACACTATTAATAATAGTTTGCCATAAGGAAATGGCACATCAGTTCCAAATGCCTCACCCTACAGAACCTGCATTCCAGATGAAAGGACCATCACAGAGCTAACAGGTGCTTCATGAAGCTCCAACCATCCTTTTGCTGGAAGTCCTCAGAATATTATTAGTTTCTCTACTGTTCTTGACCCAGTGAAGGTGCTGAGGAAGGAAAATATACATAAGACAGTATAAGTACTAGGTAGAAAAATCTAATAGACAAAAAGATGAGCTACTTGACAAAATCAACAGTTTATTTAACCTGTCATGGGTGTCACAGTATGATCCTGCAAAGGAAAATGCATCAGCTCTTCAGAAGTGCAAGACTACCTACAGCAAAGAGAATAGTGTGTACTAAAGTTCAAAGTATAAGCCAAGGATGAGATTCTTTCAAAGGAATTGAATTAAATAGTGGCACAAACCCCAGACAGGTTTGTAGCTCCTGATAAAAACATCAGACCACAGAAAGTGATGAAGTATAGACTTACTTGTAGCTAGACAGGAGAGGGAAAGAAAAAGCAAAACCTAAGGTGTGACTTACTTGATTTGTAGGAGTCTTTTGATAAGTAGATAAAATTGTACAATTGTACACAAACCTCTCACTCCATTTGTTCTATTCTTGGAGGAAAAAAATATGCTTCAGAGGAGATGCATCTTTAAAAGCTCTGGTGTTTGTGACTGTTCTTTGGGAGACACTTAACACACACTCTTTGTCCTTACAAGCACTGTAGTGTCTAATTAGGGAGTCAAGGTTCCCAGCTGATTGCTTGTGGGCCCCTCTGCTCTTGTGCAATATTGAGGCAGCAAACTGTGCTTGGAAAATCAGTACAGCCAGTGTAAGACATTGTTATGTCTTACCTGTCAGTCATCCATGTGTAGGGTCATGTACATCTATATACATCTGGAAATAAGAGAGACCAGGAAAGATGAAGGAAAATAAAATTTAAAGAGAAACTACTGAGAAGAAAAAGTGATCTACTACAGAATTTAATAAATACATTTTCAATTTTGAGAGCTAAATAGTTTTCAGAAAGCTATTTTGAATTGTTCTTGCTTTTGGAAATCAAAACACAGCTGATCAGAATCAAGTGGTTTATCATATCTACTGAGACCTCTTCTTTGGTTCCTTTAAATTCTACCAATGAGATAACTTTCTCCTTTTGTTTTGCTATTTTATTTTAAAGTGGAAGTCCCTGCAGCTTCTGCAGGGAATGGCAGTTTCTTTGCTATGCCTCTCAACAGCCACCCAGTGAGCTGCACCTCCCTAACTAACCAGCACATGTCCTGTTCTGTTCCTGCTGCCCATGGGCTGGAAAGAAGCCTCATAATTCCTGGTACGTAGAGTACAGCTGTGGGTGTGCACCTGTACACAGGCTGATTTACACAGGCTGAGAGTAGGGAAAACTCTCTTATAAATCTTGTCATTGACTATGAGCAATGGCAGGAAAATGGCAGGTTTGGCAGCTCTTAAAGGTGTGGCACTCACTAAAAAATGAAAAATATTCAAGGGAAATTAAAAGGGCATTTCTCCTAATTGAGTAGAATGAATCTTTCATTTAATTGGTGCAGGTTATAACAGAACAGTTATTTACTATATGCTAATCTAAGGAATTATTTACTTGTCTTAAGAATAGCAAGTCACAAAATTTTCATTATTAAACTTTAATTTAGATCCAATTTCTTTTTTCACCCAGAGATTTGTAAAGGACTGAGGGATAATTACATTTGCAGCAGTAGAGCAAAATCTAGGCTGTGATTTAGCTCAAGAAAACTGAGAACTGAGCAGTAATCCCACTGATGGGCTGTGTAGGCACCTGGCCTGGGCCATGCTGGGTTGCAGAGAGTGCTTGTGGTGCACTGAGAAGTGCTGATGACAAAGGCCCAGTTCAACACCTTTCACTGTTAAGTCTGTGCTGGAAAGGAACCAAAACCAGTGTGTAAGTTGGAAGTCTTGAAGTACCTCATGCGAGCTGAAGCAGCATAAAGTAGCAGAAGAAATTCTGTCCCACCTACAGAAATTCAGAGCTATGGCTGATTAAATTGCAAGCACTGAATCATCAAAAAACTTTCTCAGTGTGGATTGAGAGGGAGGATGCTTGTACAGCCTGCATGATGTGCAGTTATTTGGGAAGGATGTAGTGCAAGGAAGGTAAATTTAAAGAAGATACATACTATTTACATTTTCTCTTCTCTGGATCTTTGAATTACAGACTTTGCCTTAAGCACTTTTCCTTATGATAATAGAATTTCTCTTTAGACTATTGAAAACAGTGTCTGCTAAAAGCTGGGTAATCCCTTGTATCTCAAGTTCATCATACCTTGTAAGAATTCTTCTTTTAATGGGTTCTATGGACCTCATGTGATCCTGTGAATTCTCCACCAGGAAGATTTGTCTAGAAGCTGCCAGAAAGGATAAGTACCTGTTAGAAAGCTTCTTCTCTTTCATAAAGATTTAGAAAGCAGAACCCTTTAAAAATAGAAGAGTAATTATTCTGCACTCATTTCAGGATTGTCAGAACCTTTGACCTCAGAGTGCCTACCAAAAGAGAATCCAGGCTTGGCAGGTCCTCCTCAGCAGATATTTAACTTTGTTCTTGAAAATGGCACATCTGATGTTATAGTATATCCAGGTAAGAGCAATAGTCTTTTATCCCCCTAAAGAGGCGTAAAGTGCTAAAAAATCAATGCTGCCAACAGCAGCATTGATTAAATTTGGTTATTGATGGCTATGATATGCTGAAAACTATGCTTTGTTTCTTGCCAGTGCTGACATCTTCCATGGAAACATTAATGTCTCCAAATTTTGCAGTTAATTTATGTGGTAAGTAGAAAATTGGGGTTTATATATGTACAGCACTTTGAACTGGGAGAGAAACCATATTGCTTCTACTCAAAGCCAGTTCTACCCTCCAGGCTTTACTCATGTTAACCTTTAAAAACCAAAAATGGATGGTATTTCTTTCTTTGTATTGAACACAGGCTGCTTACTCTGATCCAAAATGTACAGGTAAGAGTTGTAGAGCTTCAGGTTCAGCAGCCAATCCCCTGTGTTTGTTATGACATCCAGTTTCTGGAAGAAGTCAGGTTTAGTTAAAACAATGCAAAGCCCAGGGTGCTGGAGCACCCTCAGAAAGTGGAGATGATCTGATGCTGGCATGGCCTGAGCATCTTAAATGCTCAGTGCTGGCAGCCAGACTGCAGCCAGCTCCCATGGAAGCCCCAAAACCAACATGATGATGACTTATGACTAAGCAATACTGAAACCTAATGCACAGAAAGGCTTGTAATGAAATCAGAGCCTTGGTCAGAATTTAACAGTCCCCCTTCAGGTAACAAACTTTCCTGAGACACTTTTCTTCCAACCCTCAGAGGGCTGTTGGAAACCATATTTGATATCAGTGTTGTTTCTGGTCCCTATGCCCAGTGCAGGAGTTTGTTGCCCTCTGGTGGCTTCCACTACCCCAAAAGCAAAAGTATAACATGGACATTAAGAGGCAAATATCCCTAGGTGTGGGGAAGTCTTTGTAAATTATATTTACTGTTTATGTGAATAAACAATGCCAACTGGTTTACTACTTTTGATTCACAATATATGTATGCCATAAGCCCTGGAATTCCAGATGTAGCAGCAGATAAATTAGCATGTGAGATGCCAAGCCAGTTCATTTTCCTTTTTTAAAAGTTCTTGCTCCTACCTGCTTTGACCAGTTTCCCATCTACATGTCTCATTACAGATTTTTTTTTCTGTTCTTCCATTCTGTTTTCTTAGTTCATAAAATAAACAGTAAATTAAAAAAACAGACACTTGCCCAACATCTATTTAATATCTTTCTTACTGGAGGCCTGTGGTGCTTCCCTTTTAGAAGCAATTTTGAACTCAAACCATTCTGAAGGTTTCTGGCATGCAGGGTAGGAATTAATTACCAGATCTCTGAAACTGTAAGATTTGTATTTCTTTTAGACCATATTCTACATCCAGATCATCAAGATGATATTATGGTATGAAACACATTTGTACATATTTAGGGAGATTAATCTGTTTTGGTTTAGGTAATTTTTTGCACATCTCTGCTGTGTGTAGTTACAAGACTCTGAGGCTGAGTTTGTTACAGTCTCTGTCAATTTAAATTGTCTTGCATCTGCAAAGCTCTTCCTACCAGAAGTTTTGTCAAAACAGATACTCTGCAATTACCAATCTGCAGGAATGTTCTCTCTGAAAAAATCCCAATTCCTTTGTGTAAAGGAGACACTGTTCACCTGACCCAACTGCAAAAGTCTGCAGTAGTTTGAAAGCAAACAGGTGAAAAGAAAGAAAATTGGACAGCAATAGGACTTTGTCAGAGACAGTAATGGGTAAATACTGTTACCAAGAGTCTTTTCTCTGCCATTTTCATCTTTAGTGCTTGGTTACAAGGTGTAGAATAACAAAGGGGAACTGTTGCTTTTGAGGACATAAAGAAGCACTATGTGTGAACATGAATTTATGCAAAACTGACATTTGAAAAGAACAGTGGATGTCACCTGGTAATGGTAAATCTGCTTCCCACAGCTGTCAGAACAGCTGTGGTCATGTTTGATGCCATTCTGCCCCTAACAGTGCATTCTATCAGCAGAATTCTACTTGTGGGAGAAGTTTATTCACTTTCCTTGTACAATTAACAAACTATTTCTTACTCTGAATATATGCTACAATAAACTTGGAAATTTGCATTAATCTTATTGTTAAAATTAGTAAAGCTGAACCAGTGATTATCTAGATGTCTTTATCAAGTATATTGTTTTGTTTCTCCAGATTTAGAGAAATTTCAAGAAACTCAAGATTCTATAATTCCTTCTGAAGAACCTTTTAAAAGACCAGGTGAATTTAGAACTCTTGAACTTAAACCTTCCAGTATGTTTTGGAAAAAGATTCTTTGTTTCTTTCCATACAGAGAAGCTCCTTGTAGGAATCATTCAACAATTTGTGAAGCTGTTCTGAGGGTCTGAGCACAATTCCTGGTTTCAGGATATTAGACTTGGCTTCCTGTAGATATCTAGCTGTAGTACCAGCTTAGCAGCTCAGTGTACTTCAGTGGTTTTATCATCTCTACAGAGAGCTCCAAAATTATTCAGTTTGTGGATGTGAAAGTGTCTGTTGTGCCTGCACTTCTCAGCTGCAGTTGCATGGGGTAAATCCAGCCCTATGGGCTTTGTGGGAATGCTTGTGCTTTCACCATATTGCAATCAAGCACTTGAGCCACCATGAAATGGTGTTGTAGTTTGGGGACTGGTTCCTTCAGTTTGTGTGTGCTCTTTATTTCTCTAGAGCAAGTGGAAACTTTCTGTTCATCCCTTAAGGATTATTTCCGAGACACGTGCAAATCTGTGACCATGGAGCGGGAAGTAAATCTGGATCACCTCTTCATTGATGGGACACTTGTTCAAAGTCAAACTGAAACCAAAACTGGAAAGAATAGTGCAAAAGCAATGGAAAAGGAGCTGGTAACCTGCAACCTGCAAGAGAAGGAAAAGACAGCCATTGTTAGAAGCCAAATATTTCAAATCCCACAGCATAAAGGCTTAGAGACTAAAGTGATTGTGGTGCTGGGAAAAGCAGGAATGGGCAAAAGCATTCTCGTTCAGAAGATCTGCCAGGACTGGTCCAATGGAGAGTTTTCTCAGTTTGAATTTGTATTTTGGTTTGACTGCAAACAAATAAGCTTGCCTGAGAAGCAATACAGTCTCAAGGAACTGCTGCTTGAATTTTTTGTAAAACCTCAAGAGGGAAGCAAAGAGATCTTTGAGTATATCTTGCAAAATCCTGATAAAGTCCTTCTGATTTTTGATGGTTTTAAAGGGTTGCACGATCACGAGAATTTTCCTCGTTGCTCAGCCAGCCAGCCTGAAAAGGATTTGTGCAGTATAAAGGAGCTGCTTTCAGGACTCATCCAAAAAAAGATACTCAATGGCTGTACTTTATTACTTACAGCAAGACCAAAAGACAGACTCTACCAGTACGTGTCCAAAGTGGATAAGACTATTGAAATGGTAGGATTTTCCCCTCAGCAGAGAGAATTGTACATAACCAAATACTTTGAAGAATCGCTGTACTGTGATAGTGCACTGAAATTAATCAGAGAGTGTGAGTACTTGTTCAGTCATTGTTACAGCCCTGTTATGTGTAGGTTTGTTTGTTTTCTCTGTGAGACAGTGCTTGAAATGGGAGAGAAAAGCCTTCCTTCAACTCTTACTGGAGTCTTCCTGAAATTTTTTCAGCAGAAGATAATGTTTATGCAAACAGATGTTACAACCACACAAAATCAAGAGAGTCTTGCTACCCTAGCTCGTGTAGCCTGGTGTCTTGGAGAAAAGCACCAAAGCGCCATGAAAAGTGATCTTATTCCTTCTAAGGAAGTTAAAGAGTTTGCTCTGAAGTATGGGTTTTTCCTGCCATTTGCATTCCCCAGACATTCAGATAGCGAAGAAGAGGAATTTGGGAGCACATTCTCTGATTTTGTCATTCAGAATTTCTTGTGTGCACTTCACCTTTTGTTAGCAGAAGAGCTCAAGGATAAAAATCTAACAAAGTACCTGTCTTTTCTATCCAAGAAGAAAAAACCTTATAACTGGTTAGATTTAATGCCTCGATTTTTGGCTGGTTTGATGTTTCTCCAGGATGACCCCTACTTCTGCTCTCTTTCAAAGGAGGTTGAAAAACAATCAACCAAGAAGCAGAAGACACTCTTGAAATACATCAGAAGGCTGCAGATTAATAGTCTCTGTCCAGAGAGGTTGCTGGAGCTGTTATGTTGTGTTTATGAAACACAGAACAATTATCTTCTGCAGCATGTGGCCTTAAGACTTGAGCCAGATTTGTCTTTTCTGGGCATAGTTCTTACACCACCTGATGTCCATGTACTGCACTCTATTTTGAAAAGGTCAAGAAAAGAGTTTTCCTTGGATTTACGGAACAGCAGCATTGACATGCAAGGGCTGCAAGCCTTGGTCAGCCTAAGGAATGTGACATCGTTCAGGTTGGTCCCTCTGTACCCCACAGCATCATCCATAGCACTGTGTGTAGATGACACTTTCATGCAACAACAGCAGTCACATCTGTTGGTTTTGCATGTTTTGTCCCTTCACAGGGCTTCTCTCAGTGACACAGTCAGGCTCTGGAAATCTTTAGAACAAACAAAAGACTACGAACTGCTGAAAGTGTCCACAGAGAAATTTGTTCTTGATCCCTTTAAGGCCAAGACAATGAAGGACATCAGTGACCTCTCCGACCTTGTAGAGATGCAGGAGAAGATGATGAATTGGTAGGATCATTTATGATCAAAACTCCTCTTATAGCAATTTATACCAATAGCAGTTTATGAAAACACAGTTTCACCACCAGTGCTGGACAATGGAGTTGTCTGTTTGTCCAGAGGAGAAGTAACTAAGGCAGTGCACCCTCCTGGGTCATCTCAGGGGGTTCTTCTCCCCCGTGTGAGGTGGCTGTCATGGCAGGAATGAGCACTGACAGCACTGTGCAGAGCAGTCACCAAAACTGCCACTGAAAGAGCCAGCTGTCATTTCTCTTTAATCTCTGAGTATGGCATCTTCCATTTGCTTTCAGTTACAGAGCTTGGGCTGATTCTTTCTCCCTGTAGCAGCTGGGCATAAAGGAAAGCCTGTTTTGCACAGGTTCCAAATGGCCTGAGTCAGTCCTTTAGCCCAGGAGATAAAATCTTCTGTTACATGGTCTAGAAACCCTGTGCTCCATCCCTGATGCTGATGTAGCTGGGGGATTGATTGCAATTAAAAACATACAGAAATAAAATTTTGGGGTTTGTTTTGTTTGTTTTTTTTTTAATGATGACTTCTGAAGATATGTGTATAGACAAAATAGTTTCATGTTTGACAGAAAATAGTTGATTTAGAAAAATGCATTTTCAAGTTTTATTGGAAAAAGAGCAAACAATTGCACTATGAAAGGCAATTATTGGAATGAAATTACTCAGGTGATGAAAGGTTGGAGCAGAAGTTACTCTGAAGTTTCCTGGTTCCTTAGTTAATGCAACAGTCGTTTATTTTCTGTAAAAATTTCCTAACAAATTGTTTTTAAAGCACTGTTTTGGCTGCTAAAATATTTATCACACCCTGATTCTACTGTGCTTTATTTAGTATGCAAGAAGCATCTGGTTGCACCAGCTATGAAATTCCTGCCATCAGAAACCTCAGAAAAGTCGAATTTGCGTAAGTGCTGAACTTCTGCTGATTGAGGTGGTCATGTTTGAGGAGGAGCAGTCATGGGTGCTGGCTACAGCCATTGCACTGATGTATAGCCAGCTTAAAGTAAACCCCATTTATTGCTATCCTGCTTTTCTCTGAACTAGATTTATTAACTTTTGGCCAAAACTCAAAGAACATTATTTCTGGCTCCAGAAATACAGATCAACAGGGCTGTACCAATTTTTTTTTGTTGCTTTAGTACAAGTTACTCCTGATCACAAGGTACTGGTCTTGTGCCACAGGGGACAAAATATTTTGACTGTCATCCTACTACCTGGGAAATACTTTTCCCCCCAGAAATGCTGAACTTTTCTATCTGAGTCTTCTGACGTAATTTTCTATCAGAACTAAGGCCATGAGAGGATTACATCAGAGAATGCCTCCCAAATAAATTATTTAGCACCCTTTTCCTGGAAGATGGAAGGTTGACTTGGTAACACTACTTTAAAAGTGAGGTTTTAGTAACACTTCTTTTTTTCCCCCCAAACTGTAAGCAGCCTCCAAGGCTATTCTATTGCTCAAAATATTCTGCCATAGCATGTGAATTCATTTGGGCAGAAACTGCAGCAGTGCAATGGAGAATTCTCATCAGGTGTTCTTACCTGTTTCCTGCTCTGTAAATCTAATCCAACCTGGGACTGCTGTGCTTGGCCTCACTTCTGATTTTATGCTGCTTTCTCTTCTAATTTCCTCTTCGTATTTCCCTTTATTTAAATTTTGCTTAAAATGCTAATCCTTTTAAATAGCTGAACTTGTTCTGATATCAAAGACATTCTAAATAGGATATGAGAGACAAATGCTTGGAGCATGAGTATCAAAGTGCAATTTATGCTTTAAGCTGCAGTAAAGTGTTGATCTTAAGTTAGACTGAATTGTTATTAGTTGGGGGAAATAACTTTGTTTCCATTTCTCAGTTATACTGAGATAGATATGTATTTCATCTCAAGATTACACTTACAGTGAAAAACCTGAAAAAGATAGAGAACAGAAATACAAGAATCTAAAACAAGTGAGGTAAGTCTTGCAGAGAGGAACAAAAAGTGGCAAATGTCCCAATGCTGCTGTGCAAGCTCTGTCCTGCCTGACCTCAGCCTCATCTGGAGGCTTCACAGCAGAATTCCCTGGTGCAGGTGGTGGGGAATGGCTGCTTCTGAGGAGTGTAAACTAGCTTGCATTGGGGGCTGCAAAAATTCCTGAGTTTGGCTGCTTGTGAGCATGTAAAAAACCTGCTGCATGTCTATATTTTCTTCCAGACTGGGTCCAGCATGTGGCCTTCAAGGATTGCTAAAACTCGTGAAAATTCTTGCAGCATTTCCATCACTTCAGCATTTAGAGTGAGTTCTGCTAAAGATTAACTTTGCTAACATTTCTCCTCAGCAGCCCTTGATGATGGAGAAGCTCTTGTACCCAAGAAACATTTTATTTGCCCACAAGACTCCTTGTTTGATGACCAAACTGACCAGCAGAAACATTCCCAAACTGTAACAATAGTCTAAAAGCTGACACTCCTCATCCTCCCTGGAGACACCTGGTGTTGGTTTGTTGAGAACCCTCAGTCCCTTCCTGGGGTGTTCCTGGGTGGGTAAAGGTTCAGCACAGAGCTCCTGGGGCCCCCTTCCTGCCCCACCACTGACCAACAGCCTGCAGTAACTTCTGACTTCACTGGAGCTCCAGAACATCCATGACAAACCAACTCTCTCTCAGTTTTAAGCTTCTTACACTAGAAACAAGTGTACCAGCAGCAGTCAGGGTTGTGCCATGGCACTTGTGGGAAGGTTCCTGGGGTTTGGAAGAGCCTTTGGCCTTACACAGCCCAGTGGCCATTTGTCTGTCTTGTAGCTGGCCTTTTTCTGATATTTCAGGAAAACAATAAAATATTAAATATATCCAATATATGTCAGCATTATCTGTCAGATTAGAAGGGATCTAGTATCTGAAATTCCAATATCTGACTAGATATGAGGAAAACTTCATTTTTAATACTCCCTCTCTGGAGAAGGAGCAGTTTAGGTAAGGATTTACATCCTCTGCTGGATTTTGCCTGTTCTGTATTTTTGTGTGCACAGGAAATCTCCTTTCAGCTTAGCTGGAACACAGCTATTTCATAACTATTTTAATAATCTTGCATATCAAAGGAAATGGGTCAAGGCATTCAGCTAGTAAAAAAAATTCTTATGCTTTAAATTTGGGCAGCAAAAAGCTGCTTATTAGAGAAGCTATAATTTGTGTGATGCTTCACACTGATTGAGGCTACTGCAGAGAAGCTTTTCAAGATAGAGTGGTCTCTGAGGTGAATAAACCACAAAAATTTAGATTAAAAGGGAAGCTAATTCTCTCTTTGTCGTCACACAGCCTTGATGCTCTGAGTGAAAATGGCATAGGAGATGAAGGAGCAAAGAGTCTGTCTGAAGTGTTTCCAACCCTGACATCACTGGAAACATTAAAGTAAGTGCATTAAAGTAACATTTAAGTAAGGTTAATAGTACAGGGAAATTTTGAGAAGAAACAGATTAAACCTAGAGACTTAAGGGACTGTCTGTTAACAATTATGGGCAAAAGTATCCCATGGGCATGGAAGACCAATGAGCCTGTGGAGATATTTAATCAGTACATTCATTAGACAAATAGATTAATCTTTCCTGACTTCTCTTCAAGGGCTCTGTCTTGCCTTTTTCTCTGCATTTGGTCTAAACAGACTGTACAAATTGTATTTTTAAAAATTGAAAAACAATTTCCCCCATATTGTAATAAATTAGAATAAATGTGCTCGACTAACAAAATTATCTCACTTATTGTAGTTTGTCACAGAATAAAATAACAGACCTGGGTGCAGAGAACCTCGCTGCAGCTCTCCCTTCCTTGTCTTCCTTAAAAACACTAAGGTGAGTAGTTGTATCCTGTTGAGTTGTTTTGAAAACATACCTTGCTGTCTCTGTCAGAAACTACTGAACAGGGAACAAAGGTAACACTGTGCAGCAGCCAAGCTTTTCACTTCCTTTTTGCATAAAGTCTTCAGAAAGAGGAGAAGAAGTATGACAGACATACAGAAGGATATCTGGGAATATAGCAAGGATTGGACTGATGATTAAATCCAGTCCATAATACCCACTTATGAATCATGCCCTGCACAGATGTGCACCACATCTGCTGCAAACCCAAAGCTGTCTGTGGCTGCTGATACAGGGGCAATGGTCCATCCCACTGCACTGGGATATCTGGCACAGGCCTGAGTGAAGCAGGGAATGCAAGAAACCCTGGTGTGCAATTCTGGAGCAGTTTGGTGATGTGGAAATCTTTTGAATTCTGTACCCCAAATCTTTAAGCTTCATTTTTTGGCAGATTTTTAGTTTTATCTGTGTAGACAGAAATGCTCTTATAATTCATAGAATAATAGAATGTAGACCATTTGTGCTGTATCTGTGCTGGGTGAAGAAGGATGTGGCCATTTGCCTTTCTTGATACAGGAAATATGAACCTGTGTTTTAAACTTTAACTGCAAATAAGGATAAAATGAAAGTTAAGGTGTACTTACCATATTTGAAAACCCTTGATCTAATATCTTTGTATATTATCCATTATTCAATTGTGACTATTCTGGTCTGGTTTTCTGCAGCTTGTACAATAACAGCATTTGTGATTTTGGAGCAGAAAATCTGGCAAAGGTTCTTCCTGCAATGAAATCTTTAAGAGTGCTAGAGTGAGTATGAAATCTTTTGAGATGGCCCAGGAAAGAGAACTTCATTGGAGACTGAAAATACAAATGTTCCATGTTTGGTTTTGGAGGAGACAGAAACTGAGGAAGGTTTTGGGAAAATTTCACAGGGAAAATGTCGTTCTGCAGAGTCCAGATAGTCAGTGATTAGAAAGGATTAAGGAACAGTTCACCATAAACCCAGAAATATTGGTGTTAAGGTGGGAGAATAGGCTCATGGGGGAGCTAGAGAATGACCTCAGGAACGTGGGAAAAGGAATCCCTCAGATTAATTAACATAATGGAGTTCCCATTCAACTTTCTAAGTATATTATTACAGGTTTTTTGAATCCACAGTCTGTTTTGGGTTTTTTCCTTTTTCTTTCTTATCCCTTCTGCAGATTAACCTATATAGTAACTTTTTATTTTGAATAAAATGTTTGATTACACCATTTGATTTGGATTAACAAAGTTGTTTTTATTCCTCAGTGTTCAGTATAACAAAATAACTGGTGTTGGAGCCCAGCAGCTGACTGACAGCCTACGCAAATGTCCCCATATAAAGAACCTGGTGTAAGTCTCTTGACAGGCTGTTTGCTGTACCTTCATCCTGTAAAACTGGGTTAGCAATCATGGCAAAGCTGCCTTCTGTATTTGCCAGATTTAAAAGAGGCACAAACAAAGACATCAGCAAAATACAAAAGCAGAGATGTTAAAAAAATGTTGTCTCTGGTTTCAGCTGCATTCATTCCCAGTGGTGCCATTCAGTTTAGCTTGTCTTGACTGAAACAGTTTCCACTGAGCCTCCCTTTGCTAATCTTCTACCCTCCCAGAGAACCAGACCTACTCTGAGCTGCACCACTTGTGTTTGAGGGATAAACAATGAGCAGCCATCATCAGAGGTTAAATAGACTGAAGGTACCAGTACACATTCAGAGGAAGGGAGTTTGATGAAAGGTTTAAAAACAGTTACAGAGACAGGAGTGCAGTTGTGTCCTGTAACCAGAGTCAACAAGATTATGGAGTACTGAACTGCTTTTTTCTAAATCAAAGTGCATTTTCCTTTGCTCCATAGCCTATGTACTTTCATGGCATGATAGTCAAAAGGAAGGACAACTTAAAAAAAAAAGAAGAAAAAAAAAACCAACAGCAACAACAACCAAAAAAAGGCACAGACACATCAAATATACCAAAAGAAGGTAAAACAAATTACACTTCTTAAAATCTTTCCTTTCTGAATTTGCCCTTACAGGATGTGGAATCCCACCATTCCCTATGGAGTTCTTGAACACCTTCACCAGCTGGACTCCAGGATCAGTGTGTAGATTGAGAGGATTCCATAAAGGTAACAAACCTTGGCTCCCTGGGACAACCAGGTTTGTTTCTGTGGGAGCTCTTGATTCCAGGCTCGCTGACAGCAGGCACAGTAACAGCATCCATGTGTCCATGGGCAAGTATGGAGATGGTGCCCTTGAGTGGAACAGATCAGTGTCACATCAGGCCCCCTTTCCCTGCACTCACCTTGCACCCCCCTCCTCCCTGGCACTGCACTAGCAGACTGCGAGTGCTTTATTAAGAAAAATGGACCTCTAGAACTCCCAGCCCAGCCCAGTTCAGTGACTGGCAGCTGCCCTGCTTACCTTCTCATTTTTGTTGGGGAAAACTAAAGCTCTGTGTACTTCTCATGTTTAATAGATGAGTTCTGTACTCCTCAGAACTTGTTTTTTGTTGATTTTTAGTAAGTCCTTTCACTTTTCCTTTGTTGAATACACATCCTCAACAGCTGCTTGTCTGACTGTGCAGCTGTACCTGTACTGTACTCAGAGCAAAACACTCCCTCCTACATTCCTTGTTCTCAGTGTCATTGTGTGGTTTAACCACTGGCAGCCACTTTTACTTCATTGCCTGCACAGTTTCAAGGATCCTTGAAGTAATTACATTGTGAAGAATTTAATAAGTTTGTCAATGATTACCAGGATCTGATGCCTTGATGGTCCTGGACTGAAGGAGCTGCAGCCAGCATGGGAAGTTGGGGGTTTGTGTAGGATTTCTGTTCCCAGTTTTCTGCCATGTGCTTCCTCTTGCTCTTAAAAAAAAATTATGCATGTTGCATCAGCTAAATGATCCTAGTGAAGAATGAGATACCAGAGTCAAGGCAGATATCAGATGTGCTCCAGCTTTCTTTAGATGTCCAGGAAACAAACTGCAGTGTGATCAGCAGCTGCATGAGCCATGCTTTGACTGGGCCTGGCCATGGGATGGCTGCAGCTGCCAGTGGCTCCCTGGACCACAGAGTGAGCCAAGCTTGTGCAAGACTCCTGCTCTCAGTGCAGTAATGTCCAGATGTAGACTGGGCTGTTTGTATGGCACCGACCTGGCTGCAGCTGTGGAAGGTTCAGGTGCCACAGCAGCTTCACAGACCAGCTTTATACAGCAGAAGTGAAAAATTGTGGTGCTCCTTACTAGCCTACAGTCAACTAAATCTTGGTCCTGTTGAACAACCCTGCCTTCTTGAGAAAGGACACTAGGGATATGATCACTGTGAGGAAACCTGGACTAGCTCTGAGGATAAATAGCAGCAGGAACTCTGGATCCTGTCTCCCAACCTTGAAACATTCAGCATCCACCAGCCACTGTTGTCTGTTTACAGACCTCATTAAATCTATTGTTTTGGTAATCTTAATGAGGGTTAATTTGCTGGGTATACATCTAATGTTCTGTTTTCATCATTGCACAGGTGTCATAAAGAAGAGGGGAGGGTGTCCTCTGTGCTTTCCTGTCTTCTTGCTGCTTTATGAATTGGTGTTCTCATGTTTGTTGCAAAAAAATCAAATTTAAGTTTCTAAACAATGCTTAAATTGGATGAATTATAGAGTTTTAAAATGCTATTCAAAGACCCAGCTGTATTTCTACTTAAATAGTAAAAGTTAAGCAACATCAAAGATGAAAAGAGCATCTGGATACTGTGACAACCATTAAGGAGACCAGGAACCACAAGGATATTGTGAGTATAAAATTCCATCAAGTCATTGAAGAGCAAACTGAAAACTGCTCAACCTGCAACATCTGAAGCACTGACAGATCAAATCTGATTGTTTATTTCATGGTGCCAATGATAACTGCCATCAAATTTGGTCTGATGATTTTGGACTTTCAAAACTGAGTGTTACAGATTTCACCTGTCTGTATGGACTGATTGGAAGCACTAGGGTGAGGAGCATAAAAAAAGAGTCATCAGCCCTAGAAAATGTTCTGATAGGATTATCCACAGGATTCTAGAAGTTGCTCTTTTCTTCTCTAATAATCAGTGCTGCCTTAAGTGATAGAAACATATCTTCTATGACTTGTTACAGAATCCTTCAAAAAGATTGGGAAAAAAAAAGTAATGAGAAGAAAGGAATTGAAAAACTATGAAGGATTCTTCTAACATTATTGCAGAAATCCAAATAGATAAAAATAGCCAGTTTATTGCACACAAATCCTCAAACAGTCTTTGAAGGTTTTTACTTTGTCTCAAATGAGAACTCTGAATTCATATACCTGGATTGGAATTTCATTTCTTAAATGCAGCTGGCAGCACGAATGTTTACAAGCACCAATTTTATACTTGACAGTGATATCACTACTGTGTGTGGTTTATGTGGCCTTTGGTTCAGAGTTAGGAGTAACCAGGCAGTAACCAGGCTTTTGTCAGACAAAAGCACATTTCAAAGCACTATTATGCTGCTGGTCTCAGTCATATGTGGGCCAAATATTCATCCTGCTGACTGCAACAGCAAACCAATTTTCTCTTTTATTCTTTTATTTCTGCTCTGTGAACATGAAGAGAACTTAAAATTGTGCAGAGGCAATTGTCAGGGCAGGAGCACCATTCTGGCTTCCTATCCAGATACAGACTGAGACAGAACAACAAAAAGGGTTTGAAAAAGCTAGGAATGCTCAAAATGCTACAAATTGGGAAGTCTTTACTTCACAGTTAGCTCAGGGTTAGTTCAACAACCTCTTTGAAATCTCTTCTGCTAGGAAGCACTGACAATACTAACCCAAGGATCTGTGCAAACTAGAATCTCTCAACTAACCTCTCAAAAACTCTGTTTCTTGGTCTTTAAAAATTCCCCAATTTAAACAGCTCAAAATCACAACATTAATTTTATTTCCAGCAAGTTCTACTCCTCTGCTTAAGTTTCAGTTCCTGCAGAATCTTGACAGCAGGGATGCAGGCAGATTAAAGAGAGTGGAAAAATTAAAGAAAGAAGGGAGGAATAAAGATCTGTTTGTTATTTCTGAGAGCAGGGAATGAAACATGTAAAGGAACAGAGAGCAAGGTGGTTTCCCACTCTGTGGAGAATATGATTGTAATTAGAATGTGGTATTTTTCTAAACTATCTGCATGGTTCTTCTCTGTGGCCAAACTCTAGCCAGAGCCATGGATAAAAATCTTACTTATTCTCTCCTCTTGGAGCTGCTTGAATGGGAGGTAGTTTAAGCCAAATCTGGTGTGATATTCCCATCAGACTGTGGCACTGCAGCCACACACATCCGTGGTGAGCCCTTGTCAAGACCTCTCCTAACTAAGCTTTGGATGACAAATGCCCTTTAGGGATATATTCTGCAGCTGCACTTTACCATGACTGAGTCTGAGAATGTGCTAAATATTCCACAGGCAGCTGAATGTTACAGGATGCTGTCTGGACTGCTAAAATCATCTTGGGCGTACTGCTGTTCTCTGAATTAGTGGGAATGTATGTTTATAATGTACAGATTGTAAATTTTGATACAGTGTTTTGGTTGTCTTTACATATCTTTTGTAAAGTATTAATAAAAGTAAGTATTCTGTTTAACAATACCTTCTAGTACCCATTGAAATTTTGATTTTTCTCTTGGAAACACTATGAAACCACACAGGAACTGCTGGCTTCTGCCACAGTAACAGGTTTGGGGCTTTGTATTGCAGGCTAATGGAAAGCACTGTGCGTGAGGGAGACAGAATGGACAGAACAGTTCAGTGGGCTGGAAATGGAGAAATAATTCTTTCTTAACAGGAACAAGTTCTTGCAATGCCAACGGACAGACTGTAAGTTCAGGATCAGGAGATACAAACGTGCTGACTGAGGCCACCTGCTAATAAAAGCAAAAAGGGCTTTTCATCCTTTCTCAATCTTTGCAGTTAGAAGTTCTAAACTTAATCTGGGTTGCAAGTCTGGATATTCTTATGGCACCAAGCTCCTCCAAAATGTTTTTGTCAAATGAATGCCTTGTGTATAGAAACTGAATTCACTAGCTACCCTCTAAGAAGCTGTTGTGATCAAATCTCTATTCTAAAACAATCTTTTAGGATGAGAAAAATGCTGCTCTCTTTATGTCCATCTCTTTTTGTTGTCAAAGAAGCCTTGCTAAAATGCCCAGGATTGTGTTACCATCGCAGTCAGAGCCTGTAACACTCTCCCCATCCCTTAAATGCATTAAGCTGAGCTGTTCTGAGAAATCAGGAATCTTGGTCTAAGATTCAGAATCTCCAAAGTGACTGACTCAGGGAAATTTGTATTGTTTTGTTGTGCACTGTGTGGCACAAACCCAGTGTAGAGAACTTATTACAAACTCCTAGGTACTGCAGTAAGTACCAACAGTGACAAACTGAACCATGTTCTTAAAAAGACTTATGTGGGACCTGACCAACGAGTGAAGCCACCTCTATGAACTCTATGAATTAATAATTATAGAGGCAGCAGTAGCAAAATTCAGCCTTTACTGTGTTGGTACCAAATGGGCTTGACAAGTTTGTAAACTTGGTTATTCTTTCTACAGGTACCTAAATGGGGATTTGTCTTCCCTAAATATATATATATACATATATATAATGCGTTAGAATATTGTGCCCTAAGTTACTTTATTCCTGAATTGCTGTCCAGGGATTATGTGGAACAAAACACTTGTCAGTGTTTAAAGGTCCTGAACTGCACCTGATGAAACCTATCTTGGAGAAATGCTGTGTGGTTTGGTGTCAGTGCTTCCCCTCCTGCAGGAGCAGCTGAAAATTGCATTTGGAGCACAGAATTTTGGGAACTTGGAGCTGATTTCTACCGCCTAGGAGCTAAAATGTGCTATTGAATGCAACACACTGAGAGTATCAGGATACACAAGTTTGTCATTGTTTCATGGGGGATCTAAGCCATCACCCTCTTGTTCCCTCATAGTGGCTGCAAAGAGACTCCTGACACCATCTGTCTGCAGCAGGGAGCCCACGCTGGGAGCAGATGGCACACACAGACTGCAGAGGACAGACACCAGGCAGAGAGTGTCAGCAGAATTGTTTTCAATTCTGCTTTATCCAAAATGTTCTTGATACATCAAGTCGATTTAAAAATTGCACAGTTACAAAATCAGACTTTTCTAAAAAAGTATAACGACAATAAAACAAAACCAGTCTAAACAGGTACCTAAATGGGGATTTGTCTTCCCTAAATATATATATATACATATATATAATGCGTTAGAATATTGTGCCCTAAGTTACTTTATTCCTGAATTGCTGTCCAGGGATTATGTTGTCAGTGTTTAAACGTCCTGAACTGCACCTGATGAAACCTATCTTGGAGAAATGCTGTGTGGTTTGGTGTCAGTGCTTCCCCTCCTGCAGGAGCAGCTGAAAATTGCATTTGGAGCACAGAATTTTGGGAACTTGGAGCTGATTTCTACCGCCTAGGAGCTAAAATGTGCTATTGAATGCAACACACTGAGAGTATCAGGATACACAAGTTTGTCATTGTTTCATGGGGGATCTAAGCCATCACCCTCTTGTTCCCTCATAGTGGCTGCAAAGAGACTCCTGACACCATCTGTCTGCAGCAGGGAGCCCACGCTGGGAGCAGATGGCACACACAGACTGCAGAGGACAGACACCAGGCAGAGAGTGTCAGCAGAATTGTTTTCAATTCTGCTTTATCCAAAATGTTCTTGATACATCAAGTCGATTTAAAAATTGCACAGTTACAAAATCAGACTTTTCTAAAAAAGTATAACGACAATAAAACAAAACCAGTCTAATGCCTGCCCTGATGACAAGTGGGTTATACCCCCCCCCACTCCGCCCCCAGTGCCTGATGTTTCAGTTCAGGTCTGATTTTTGTTTAAGCTTTTCATGAGAAGGATTTCCTACCTGCTGGCCATCTCAGCAATCTGGAACTACTTGCAGGTACCTGCAGGAAAACTGGAATTTCCTTGAAAGCATATTTCAATTATTTTATTTTCAAACTGAAGAAGAACAACTTCAACACAACTGCTTAATTTTTCATGGAAAAGGACAGTCTTTATTGTATTGCTTTCACATCTGTACATAGGAACGTGAGCTTAAACAATCTGCAAAGTATCCTGTGTTAAATAATGAATCCACCTGACTTATATAAAATTCATTCTCTGATCTATTTCAAAGCTCTCATTTTAAATAAAATATCTTACTAGCACAGTTCTTGCTATTATACTCCCTGAAAAGAACCTCCTTCAGTCACTCCTGCATATTTTCCCCTGAGAAAGCACTGCTTTTGAACTACTGGCTGGTAGAATTTTCAACATGTGATTGTAAAACTGGCTTAAGCTATATGTAGAGTGTGTCCATTTGGGTGACATGGTATTCATTCAGAAGTTTATCAAATCTGGGTAACAACGTGATTTTCTGTTACAATGGAACATAGTTTATCTTATTTTTTCATCTAGTCCATCCCAGAATTACCTATGGAAGCCCAGTATGGTGCATGAATCACTGCAGTAAGTGCACACACAAGAGGTGAAGAAAAGTCACAACTGACAAGGTCTGATGACAACTCTTCTTCTGGTTCTCTTGTCCTTATTTTCATCTCTGCATTTCAGAGTACAGTTTCTTTCCAGGACTTGATCCATTAACCTGGTCATAATCCATTTCAGGTGTTTAATGAATCTGTTTAAAAGAAAACACATAAATACAGAGTGACCCTCCATACCTAAAATGAACAGAAAAGTCACTGAGTATGTGACATACAGCACCATGATGTTGACTTATTAGAAAAAAAAAAAAAAAGTAAAAATCCAACCCTTTTGTGACTATGGGTAATAATTCTTTGAGAAGTAATGACCTGCACAACCTTTCAGAAAAATCAATGCCACAGTTTCTGTTAATGTCAGAGCACACCAGTCCTTAAGAATTTTAACAGAGCCATGAAGATACCAGTGTGAGAGTAAGCTATGAACCACAGTGCACCACATCAATTACTAGGGGATGTTCTTAAGAGTAAAAACAGCTGTGACATACAGTGAGATAACCTATTTTATCCAGATTTGATATCATTACACCTACTAATTAAAATTGATGTTTGAACTGGCTACATTATCTTGACTAGATACCGTTCATTACAGTGTTTGTATTGTTTGGATCCTCGTGTTAATTAAGTATTGCCTACATTTGATGTAGTCTCTGATTTTGGTCACTTTCTCTTCCACTTCAGAGTTGCATTGTTGCAACTATTTTGGATCCACTGCTAAGTAGTTACAGAGCTAAATAACATTTTGGGGTAAGTTCTTAGTCTTGCTACCAAGGATAAATTACTGTTATATTGCTTTATCGCAGTTTGTCTAATTTGCCTTGACTGACTCTGCTGTTAGGAGGTGATTGTTTACAATCATCAGGGTAAATACAAGACTGAGAAGATTCCTTTAAGTAGAACTGTGGATTACAAAGGTGCTGGACACTAGTGACAGCATTCACCTGGTCTTGTGATTTACACATGGCTAATGAGTGTGGTGTAGAATGGTGCAGCTCTGAGAGGGGACTGGGCACGAGTCTGTGTTGAGGAGGAGCTGAGGTACAGAAGACCATGAGCAGGTCTCCTGGCTGCCTGCAGCTCAGGACATTTCTGTGTTGTGTGCAGCAAGTCTCTGAATGGACAGCTCCTCCCTCCTTCCCCTTTCTGGGTCTGAATGAAGAATGAAATCTGATGTCACAGGCTCTGCATGAGCTTGGACAGACACAGCACAGTGTCATTAACACAGGCCTTACAGGAGGCCAAAAGCAAACAGGTTGACACAGGCCTAGGGGAAAGGTTCTTTTATGGACTGAAAGCAGATTAAAAGATTGGAAGCAAAGAATAAAACTTGGTAGGAAGGAACTCAGTAGCAGAGTGTACCAGGGACCAATTTTTATTCATCACCATTACTGACTCAAAGAAGAGGATGAATAAAGAAATCCTCCAGACTGCAGAAAATATGCTCTTTCAAGTATTCAGATCATGTACTAATATGAAGGAAATCCAGAGGGATTTCATAACAAAGTGAGCAAAGGGTGGTGGGCTTGGAAAACATTTGCTAAAGGGCTGGGCAGCAACGTGCCATCCAACATCTTGCATTCTGCCTTGGACAGAACAGAGAGCAGCCTGCAGATTTTGGTCAGGGACATGAGCTCTCCCAGAGGTGGAACACAGGGCTCTGAGATCGTGGTCTGACTCATCACAACACTTCCCATGTTCCTGTGTGCCACTTACTGCAGATTCTAGGTCAGAAACAAGAAGCACTTTTGTGTCCAGTGAGGCATTTCTGTCAAATGTCTGTCAGCTACAGTACCTGCTAACAGAACACATCTGCTCAAAATCCTTTCTCTCAAAATGAGGACATGAAAAGGGGGAACAGCAGCTCTACCTGGTTACTCATTTCATGTTTATCTGATTGCTTTCCAAGTGGAACTAAAACCTCATCTACAGCAGGCAGTACAGTGTGGTTGTTAGTATTCTGCACTGTAGATCAGATTCTAGGCTGACTTAAAAATAGCACAGCAAAATGTATTGGGCCTCCAAAGCAAAGGGTAAAGCTGTCTAATGGTAGTTCCAAACACTGCTGTAGGGCTGCTAGTCCAAGACTGTAATTTGTTGTGGCAGATATTAAATGGGGTGTAAATTATACAATTGGCCAGGATATTCAATCCTGCCTTTCTAATTTTCACATTAGAAATCTGTCCCTCAAATTTCATGAGAACCTATTTTTTAACAGAAAACTTCAAAAATTTCAGAAAACTGGAAAATTAAGAGGTAGAAAATATTTTAAAATATTTTTTAAATCTCAGAACTAGAACTTTCAATAGCCTGGAACATACCTGCAAGCACTGAACAGTATGGCTGTAGTATGACTCTAGCATTAACAGCTCAGTCACAGTATCTTTGTTAATTCTGCCTTTGAAGTTGCTGCTCCTCACAATGCAGGCTGGAGCAAAGGACACATGGTGTGACTGTTTCACAACCTGACACTGTTTTCTGTTTCCTCACTTTCTGCAGCAGTGTTTCAGCTCTTGTGGCCTATTTGGGCTCCACTGCCTGAGCAACCCTTGGTCTTTCTTTCTGGCCCTGCAAAAGAGTATTCAGCCTGGAGTCTGTGAGCTGACCTGGAGGTTCCCCAGCAATCCATCACTCAGTGCACATCACCATTTTCCATTATACCATTATTTCCCACACATGGCTCCTATTTGTCCTTGCCCTTTTCATCACATATATTAGACACATGCTTGTGTCTCCAGAGAGCATCATTCAAGCTATTCAGCTATTTTTAATTTCCTAAACTGTAGCCAAAGTAATAAAATTCAACTGTGAAAAGAAAGACAGTGAGACAGTTTCCCTGAGCAACTGGAAAGATTTAGCAACTTGTGCATATTTAATCCTTTGGGATAGCTGTACTCCTTATAAGGTAGGATCATTATGAGGGGCAAATGCAAAGAGTTAGAGACTAAATGTCTCTAAACATTATTCTTTTCTTCTATTTTAGGATTTATAGTTATTAGCTGAACTATAGTGTCACTTTGTCCCTCCTCCAGAGGAAACAAACATGAAGAATTGGATTTGTTTCGTAATTCCTTTGACAGCTTAAAAGTAGTAATTCCTTTGACAGCTTAAAAGTAGTAATTGGCTATTAACCAATTAACCAGTAACCTCTTGAAGCAAGTTTATTACAGAAAGCTTGATTTTTATAGAAAAGAAGCACAGATTGTTAAAAAAAATTATTCTTTAAAGTTACTTGTGGCCGAGGCTTTTAACACATGCAATACTCAGGCATAAACTATGTCTATCAAAAATTTAACATCTCTCTAATTTCTATGCCTCATTTTAATTCACATTATCAACAGCACCGTTTGGAAAACTTTTTGAAAAATCTGCTTACTCTCTTGACATTATATAAATAAATGCTTTAGGTAGAAAATCACTTAGAATTGCCCATGGCTGTGGTTAATGAGTCTGTATGGACAGCTGAACAATTAACCATTATTTTGTCTTCCTTCCATCTAGAATGGAATTCCTGTTAAGTATTTCTTTAAAGCAGAGCTGTCAAGTGAGTTTGAACATTAGACATCTATCTAAAAATTCAAACCATGGTTCTAAAAATCATAGCAATTGCTCTTAATCCTGTTGCTACTGTAAAACATAGAGCAGCCAACTGATCTGTATCATGGAACCAACAAATCACCTTGGCAATCTCTACCAAAATGCGAAAAATAGTGAAAAATGGCAAGGTAAATTAAGTAACAAACCACTCTGCTCTTATTTTTAATATTTAAAGCCTGAAAAGAAAGACGTCAGGAAGTAGATTCTGATACATTTAGATGTATCCTGACAGTGCTAGTGACATCATTCTTCTGCTCTGTCCTTTGCAGGACATCTCTGCTTCAGAACAGAGGCAGGGGGTGGCTGCCTCATAGACTGAGCCTGCAGTTCTAATTGGCACTATATTGATGAGCTGGAGAGTTAAGCTATGTTGGGGTTTTTTTGATTCAGAATTTAGATGCTGGCATTCATTGGCAGTGCTGAGTCACAGGTTTTTGAGTGCTTGATTCTGCTCACTGAAGATTTTCATCACAATTCATCTTATGAAAAAATACAGTTAAAGCATGTACTGCAAGATTACATAAATTCAGTCTTCTTAGTCAGTTTTCAATATTGATTACTTTTGCCCATTTTCTTTCTTAGAAAGGATAGGAGTACTTTCTGATGAGTCACATGTGATTTTATGGAAGTATGAGAATAGTCATACGACCTTATTCCAGGGGGCTTCAAACACATAGTAAATAACCTGGCACACTCACACGAAAACAGCAGATGACACAAACAAGCTCAATTCTGTTCAGTTTACACAAATTAATTTCTTCATTTGAATAGGCCAGGAAACATTTTTCAGCTGCTTACTTACCTGTCTGCCTTCAATCTCTGCCACCAATTTTGCTCAGAAACTTCAATATCATTTTGCTTCTATTGAATTTATTCAAGTGAGGGGTTTGCTGCCAGAGAGCACAGAGCTGTTCTGATCCATGTGTTCTTTAATTTTACATCTAAATTAGCCTTTCCACACACTGCAGAAGGGCCTCCTGGGATGTGCCCCCTCTGTTTTCCTGTCACACGTCACTCACGCAGGGTGCGAGGCACCGCTCTCCCAGGCTCGGAGGACGCTGCAAGGTTTCAGCTCAGGATAATCACAGCTCTTGGCTGCTCTCAGAAATCACTGGTGAGTCACATGAAGAATGCTGCTCTTTAATGCAAAGAGTAGGCCTACATATTTTTCATCACTGCTGCCAAAACAGACCCATTCTTCCTGCAGTGTCTTGTGAATCCTCAGCACTTCTGGGTGAAGGGAACAGGGCAGGTGGGAAACCTTCCCAGGCCAGGAGGGCAGGGGTTAACACTCACACCAAACTCAGGTCACAGCAGGCAAGGCACCACAAGAATCTAAATCTTCCCTTTCAGGGCCTGAGTGCTGCTCCCAAAGCAAAAGCACAGCTCCAAATGAGGGCCCTCTTCTGCCTGCTTTGCTGCTACAGAACTGGTGAGGAGGAATGGCACAGAACAGTGAAGAAACCTGTAACAGGACATTAACCCAAATCCCTTGTCATGGTGGAAACGCCGTGTCTCTGCCTGGTAGATAAGTAATTATGCTATTTGGGGCCTGGTTGCTATGTCTGTAAGTATTATTAAATATATAAATAGATGAAACACAATAAATTTTTTGCTGCCTAAGAATTGATCAGACTTTTGGGATTTGTGATTTGATTCTCAGTGGAAACCACCATCTACCCTGACAGCTTCCAAATGAAAGATCAGGGCTGGAGCTGGTACCTGCGCAGAGCTCCATGAGCTCTTGGGGGGTAAAAATGGAGCCTTACTTCTGAGCTTGGAGAAAACCTCTGCATTTTGATTTCTGTGTATGGAGGGTTTTATAGTTACAATATCAAGAAGTCTCCAGAGCTGCTTATCTTATTAATAAGAAAGAAAATTTTAAGAAGCCAAATAATCTACACTGAACTGAATGTGCTCATATCAGATGGTATTTGTATAGCAGGAATTTTTTTTTCCCACTGAGGAAAATTGTGTCTGATGCTTACCTTAGGTCTTCCTGAAAACTAGACACAACTCATCAAGACAAATTCTAGACAGAAAAAAAAGTGATTTAAAAAAACTATTTTTAATCCCTCTACTCGCTCATATCAAATGGTATTTGAATAATAGGAATTCTTTTTTTTACCACTGAGGAAAATTGTGTCTGATGCTCTCCTTAGGTCTTCCTGAAAACTAGACACAACTCATCAAGACAAATTCTAGACAGAAAAAAAAGTGATTTAAAAAAACTATTTTTAATCCCTCTACTAAATAGAATCCCTGCACTAAGATTTGGAGTTTAGGGAAAGATATTTTGGGAAAGAAAATGGATACAGTTTTTAGCACTAAAGATTTTGCTTGAATTACCATTAATTTTTAGGAATTTCATTCCTGGAATACAGAGCATGTATATTATTTGTCCAGCTGAAAAAGGAGACAAGCACAAAATTAGTCAATGGTGATTTGGGGGGAGGATTGTTCTGCTCCACACTTTCTATTCTAGCAGAAGTGATTCTCATCCCATTGCTTGGGATGGACCACCAAGTGTTGGCATAGACACTTCCATTTGCAGTGACTATATGCAGTGAGATTTCTTCAGTAGCAACAAAATCTGTTCACTCCCTCGTTAGGCTCCCACATGCCTTTGGCCAAGCCTTGTTCAGATGTGTTTGTGCAATCAATGTTACTCCAACACCAAAAATGTCCCATTTTTCCTTCTAAATTACTGACCAAAATCAGCTATTGCTTTACACAGTATCTGACTAGAAATAATCAGAAGATAATTTTAAAATGTATGAAGAAGATAATTTTAAAATATATGAAGGACAGAACTATGGGAAAGCTTTGTTTGGGTTTGCTAAATTAGAAGACTGCTTAAAATAGTTTAATATTAACTGGTATTTGGTAGTGTGGTCACTGAGTTTATACTTGTAACCTTATAACTGAATTCCCTATTTCCATCACTTCAAACGAAAAATAAAGATATCTTGAACTGGATTTCAGATTTACAGACAATATTTTGCTAAAAAAATCTGCTGGCAGATTTGCTAACACATTTGAATTTAAACTGTGAATGTTTTCATTAACATACATTTGGCACAGAAAGTCCTAGCTAGAAATACTGATTTTTCTTCCCAAATGCATTTCAGTGTTTTAAAATGCTAAATCCTTATATTTCCAGAGTTTCAGAATCACTCAAAACTACAAAAAAAAAAAAAAAAACAAAAAAAACAAAAAAAACAAAACAAACCACCTGACCAAGCAAAACCCTCGTGCTACAATTAAAACGGTGAGCTGGGTAGTTTGTCATTATCCAACAGAGTGGTTTTAAAGGACAGCAAATTAAGATTTCTGGCTCGATGAAGGTCTCTGAATTGCAATAAACATTAACCGGGATGCTCGTTTCGATTCAGGGCTGCTCTCAGGACCGGATCAGCAAAGTTGCTGCCCGGCTGTAGAGGCAGCCCCCCGCAGCACAGCTGCAGTGGCCCGGAGGAGGAGTCCCGGGGTACAGGGTCGCTGTCCCCGCCGGCGCCCGGGCGCTGCCGGGCGGGGGAAGCGCCGGGGGCGGCCCCGGCCCTTGGCCCAGCGCTCGCCCGAGCCGGGAGCTGCGGCGGAGCGTGCCCCGGCGCCGTGCCCGCTGTGCCCGGCCCGACACTAAGGCATTACTTACTTGGCTGGAGAGCCCTCTGCGCCGCCGCGGGCCTGCCCGGCGGCAGCGGGTCCCGGCTGGCCCTCTGGGCCCCGCACCGGCGGGGCGGCTGTCATTTGGAAGGGAAGATGTTGCGCAGGAGCCGCCGCGGGGTCGCACTCCGGGGCCGCGGCGGTCCCCGAGCTGCGGCCATGCGGGCTCGCCGGGCCCCTGCCCCGGGCCGGGCGGCGGAGCTCAGTCGCTTCGGAGCGCCCTGGGGCGTCACTCCAAGTAGCCGTCAAAGACATCCAGCTCGCTGTCCGTTTCGTAGAGCACTGAGCCAGGGTCGGAAAGCATCCCCAGATCCACCAGAGCCTGGTCCATATCCTCGGGCAGGAAAACGATTCCCACATTGAGGACGATGTACTCCATCAGGAAGGCATAGTACAGGATCAGCACATTGACAAAGAACAAGCCCACGTAAAACATATAGGGCAGCACCAGAAGCGCATGGAAAGCCCAGGACTCCACCGAATCCAGACGTGCGGAGACCGCGGCGGTCATGCAGCCGTGGGGGCTGCGGGGGCAGCGAGCACCGAGCCGCCCGGCCGGCGCGGGGGGGCGGACGGCAGCGGAGCTGGGAGCGGGGCAGGACTGTACGCCGCAGCCCCGGTGGCAGCAAAGGGCAGAATCTCAGAGGAGCCGGATCCGGACTCCGGGAAGAAGCGAGCCCCGCAGGGGCGCGGAGCGGCCGGCTCGGTCCCTTCCGTCCCCGGACGAAGAGGCGCCCCGGCGAGCGGGCGGGCGGCCAGCGCGGGTTCAGCGGCGCTGCCGCAGCCCCGCCGCCGGCAGGAGGCTGCTCAGCGGCATCTCCAGCCCCGCTACTGCAGTCCCGCCGTGGCTCCTTCCTCCTCCTCCTGCCGCCCGCAAACTTTGCGGAAGGAGCCCGCAGGCGTTGGGAGGCCGGCTCGGAGGACCTGCCAGCGAGCCCGGCCTGCGCGGCAGGACCGTGCTGCCCGCCCCTCGCTCCCCGCCCCGCCGCACGCCGCCGTTGTTTACCAGCGCCGCGCTGCTGCTGGCGCGGGGCGGTCGTGACGGGCGCCGGCGCCTCCGCCGCGTTGCCGGCACTGGGGTCCCGCTGCGGCTGCAGGGGGGTGCAGGGGACAGCGGCCGCCTGCGCTGCGCGACCCTCGGCTCCTGCCTGCCCGAGCTCTGCCGCAGCCCGCAGCCCGCGGAGCGGGGCAGCGCGGGCAGCTCTGGGCTGTGCCTTCGCCCCTGGAGTTGTTTCACGACCTCTGCCGTGACCGAGGCCCTCCTGCAGCAGCACTGCGGGCCCGGGCCCCTCTCGCCTGCGGTGCAGGTGTTTCTCTGCCGACCAAGGCTTTACCTATACCAAAATATAACCGAAGGCGGGATTTTAAACTCGGTGCATTTTTGATACTGCCTGACAAACTCTTTAGCTTTTACATAGATTTCTCTGGCTAAAGCAAAAAAAAAAAAAAAAAAAAAAAATCCAAAACTAGATCAAGACAACCAAGGGTCCCCTTCTTTTTGTTCTTCCTTAATTTTTAAGCCGATTCAAAATCTTACTAGAACAAGGGGAATGCCAGCAGCTGAATTTCTGACGCCTGCAGCAGAGGAGCTGACCAGACAGAACAGCTTCTTTTGGGTTATGGAAACCGAACAAGGAATGTCAGGGGCCAAATTCTACCTCAAATGACAACACATTTAGGACGTACACTCACACATTTAATGAGGTTTGTTTTTTCTGGTTCGGCTTCCGTTTAGTCTCGTATGCTGTTCTAAGGGAGCCGGCCCCAAAGCGCACCCGGCGCAAGCCCCGCCCCGCCCCGCTCCGCTCCGTCCGTGTGAGGGCTTGGCCCCGCCCCCCGCGGTGCTCCCTGGGACTCGCAGTCCGCGGGCCGGGCGGGGCCGGGCCGGCGCTTTCCGGCGTGCCCTGGCCGCGCATGCGCCGTGCGCGCCGGTTCCGCCGCCGAGGCTCCGGGCCGGTCCCCGCCCGCGGTCGCCCGCTCGCCCCCCGGGGCTATGAGGCCGTAGGGCCCGCGGGCTGCAGCAGCCTCCTGCCGCCAGCATGTTCGGCCGCTCCCGCAGCTGGGTGGGCGGCGGGCACGGGAAGGCCGCCCGCAGCATCCACTCCTTGGACCACCTCAAGTGAGCGGGGGGCGGCCGCGGGCTCGGGGCGGCGGTGAGGGCGGAGGGTGGCGGGGCTGTGAGGGGGCTCGGAGGGGGCGGTTGCGGCCGGGCTCCGTCCGCAGAGCTGCTCGGGGCGGGTTTCGGGGCAGGTTTCCCTCGGATCCGGCTGCGGGGCCGGCAGAGGAAAGGGCGGCTCGGCGGACGGCGCTGCCCAGGCGCTCGCTGCCCTCGCCGTGGCGTTCTGCCGCAGCTCTTCCGAGCGAAACGCGCCCGGAGCAGTCCCGGTGGCGGAGGCTCTGTGGTCCGGTGTCTGCCTCACGGTAACCAGCTTCTCCGTCCCAGAAGGGCGGACGTAGTTCGTCATGTAATGTCACACTCCGGGCTGCCATACGTGTTTGTTTTGTTTTTAGTAAAGCCCCAGAGTCTTCGGTGGAGTAGAGTGCGAGGCGTGATAAATACAAGCAATAGCGCGTTCCTCGTGAGGGAGAGCTTTGTTTGTTTCCTGGTGGCGGCTGAGGCGGGGGGCGAGGGGCTGGTGCCGGAGTGCGGGCAGTGCAGCTGCGGGGACGGCGATGGGCGGCAGTGAGTCACGGCCGGGATGTGCCCTGTGCTGCAGGACGCAGCCGCTGCTGCAGAAGGAGAGCTTTGAGCCTGAGAGCTGGAATGTGTTTGGAGCCCCACAGCCGTGTGTTACTGCGGGCTGCACTAGGTGGAATAGTTTTTCCCTAGCTCTGCCACTGGAAAGTTGGAAGGGTGGCAAGGGATAAAGGATTTGATTTCCCTGTTCCATTTTAAGTGTTCCGCTATTGCAAGAAAAATGAGAACCACCTTGATAGCTTCTCTTTGTACTGAACGAGAAGAGGAGGTCATTAAGAGACAAAGTGATTTCTAAATGAAATCACTGTGACTATGTATCTCATTGAGAAAAAGTGCCTAGTAGTTTTCAGTCATCTTACAAGGAGGACATGAATGGGTTCTGACAGTAACGAGCAGGATGCCCTGTACAAGATTTGGATCTTGCCGTTGCTTTATCAAGATGATTTATGGATTCTGGTCCTTGTCTCTAAACGGGAAAAATGTTCAAAATGAGCACTACTTTCTGAAATGCAATGCTTTTTACCGAAGACACAGAACTCAAGCCCATGAATACAAAACTAATGAGGCAGTAGCACTGCAGAAATAATTTTGAAAGCATTGCAGGTCAGACTAGCAAGCCAGTGTAATCTGGTTTTACAAGAAAAAGGGGAAAAGTCATGCTCAAATGAAAACACAGGAATGTTCTGTTGAACATACAAGGAGTAGTTATTGTGTACTATTCAGCATGAGTGGAGCTTTACCTCTGTCTGGCTTTGATATTTGACTTGAAGATAGAGCAAGAATGCTGGTCTGTGATGAAATTTGAAAAAACTGAATTTAAGTTTAGGGGGGAAAAAAGAGCGAGACTTGAGACTTACTTTCACATTTCAGAAAAATATGTCCATATGATCTGTTGGGGCCACAGAGAATAGAAAAATGACACCCTACCTCATTTGTAGCAATGGGAAATTGGGCTGTTAGTGTTGTGGCTTGTTATCAGAGAGTTGAAATATATATATATATATCTACTGAAGTACGAGCTTTGGTCTGTTTGCTTTTTTGCATGTGATTTCTGTAATTATGAATCTGAAATGGTCGTATGTAAAGGACAGATGAGACCTTTGATCTGTTTATACTATGTATATTTTAAGTGTTTGTTTATCCAGGCTGTGTGAATTTCAGATGCTAGCTAGATTCCAACAGGAAAGGTGAAATTTAGGTCTTTTCCAAGTGTTGAAGTGGGTAAAGTAACAGAAGGAAAAAGGTCAGAGAGCCTTTGTTTTGGGGTCATGCAAGAAAGTCTCAGCTCACTTGATAAGCTGTTTACTTTCTCATCTTTTCAACTCATCAAAGCCCCATTTTGTGTTCCATATGAAGGAGTTGAGTTCAAGACACCTGCCCTGCTATTATAGGTTAGCTCAGGCTGTAAAAGGCATATTATGCTTATAGGGGTGAAATCAGTCTGGGTTAGCCTTGTGGGAACATTTTTATTTTTAAACTTGCATAAGGTAGAGTTTAGTCTCTGGGACTCGCGGTCCGCGGGCGGGGGCGGGGCCGGGCCGGCGCTTTCCGGCGTGCCCTGGCCGCGCATGCGCCGTGCGCGCCGGTTCCGCCGCCGAGGCTCCGGGCCGGTCCCCGCCCGCGGTCGCCCGCTCGCCCCCCGGGGCTATGAGGCCGTAGGGCCCGCGGGCTGCAGCAGCCTCCTGCCGCCAGCATGTTCGGCCGCTCCCGCAGCTGGGTGGGCGGCGGGCACGGGAAGGCCGCCCGCAGCATCCACTCCTTGGACCACCTCAAGTGAGCGGGGGGCGGCCGCGGGCTCGGGGCGGCGGTGAGGGCGGAGGGTGGCGGGGCTGTGAGGGGGCTCGGAGGGGGCGGTTGCGGCCGGGCTCCGTCCGCAGAGCTGCTCGGGGCGGGTTTCGGGGCAGGTTTCCCTCGGATCCGGCTGCGGGGCCGGCAGAGGAAAGGGCGGCTCGGCGGACGGCGCTGCCCAGGCGCTCGCTGCCCTCGCCGTGGCGTTCTGCCGCAGCTCTTCCGAGCGAAACGCGCCCGGAGCAGTCCCGGTGGCGGAGGCTCTGTGGTCCGGTGTCTGCCTCACGGTAACCAGCTTCTCCGTCCCAGAAGGGCGGACGTAGTTCGTCATGTAATGTCACACTCCGGGCTGCCATACGTGTTTGTTTTGTTTTTAGTAAAGCCCCAGAGTCTTCGGTGGAGTAGAGTGCGAGGCGTGATAAATACAAGCAATAGCGCGTTCCTCGTGAGGGAGAGCTTTGTTTGTTTCCTGGTGGCGGCTGAGGCGGGGGGCGAGGGGCTGGTGCCGGAGTGCGGGCAGTGCAGCTGCGGGCGTGCGGGGACGGCGGTGGGCGGCAGTGAGTCACGGCCGGGATGTGCCCTGTGCTGCAGGACGCAGCCGCTGCTGCAGAAGGAGAGCTTTGAGCCTGAGAGCTGGAATGTGTTTGGAGCCCCACAGCCGTGTGTTACTGCTGGCTGCACAAGGTGGAATAGTTTTTCCCTAGCTCTGCCACTGGAGAGTTGGAAGGGTGGCAAGGGATAAAAGATTTGATTTCCCTGTTCCATTTTAAGTGTTCCGCTATTGCAAGAAAAATGAGAACCACCTTGATAGCTTCTCTTTGTACTGAACGAGAAGAGGAGGTCATTAAGAGACAAAGTGATTTCTAAATGAAATCACTGTGACTATGTATCTCATTGAGAAAAAGTGCCTAGTAGTTTTCAGTCATCTTACAAGGAGGACATGAATGGGTTCTGACAGTAACGAGCAGGATGCCCTGTACAAGATTTGGATCTTGCCGTTGCTTTATCAAGATGATTTATGGATTCTGGTCCTTGTCTCTAAACGGGAAAAATGTTCAAAATGAGCACTACTTTCTGAAATGCAATGCTTTTTACCGAAGACACAGAACTCAAGCCCATGAATACAAAACTAATGAGGCAGTAGCACTGCAGAAATAATTTTGAAAGCATTGCAGGTCAGACTAGCAAGCCAGTGTAATCTGGTTTTACAAGAAAAAGGGGAAAAGTCATGCTCAAATGAAAACACAGGAATGTTCTGTTGAACATACAAGGAGTAGTTATTGTTTACTATTCAGCATGAGTGGAGCTTTAGCTCTGTCTGGCTTTGATATTTGACTTGAAGATAGAGCAAGAATGCTGGTCTGTGATGAAATTTGAAAAAACTGAATTTAAGTTTAGGGGGGAAAAAAGAGCGAGACTTGAGACTTACTTTCACATTTCAGAAAAATATGTCCATATGATCTGTTGGGGCCACAGAGAATAGAAAAATGACACCCTACCTCATTTGTAGCAATGGGGAATTGGGCTGTTATCAGAGAGTTGAAATATATATATCTACTGAAGTACGAGCTTTGGTCTGTTTGCTTTTTTGCATGTGATTTCTGTAATTATGAATCTGAAATGGTCGTATGTAAAGGACAGATGAGACCTTTGATCTGTTTATACTATGTATATTTTAAGTGTTTGTTTATCCAGGCTGTGTGAATTTCAGATGCTAGCTAGATTCCAACAGGAAAGGTGAAATTTAGGTCTTTTCCAAGTGTTCAAGTGGGTAAAGTAACAGAAGGAAAAAGGTCAGAGAGCCTTTGTTTTGGGGTCATGCAAGAAAGTCTCAGCTCACTTGATAAGCTGTTTACTTTCTCATCTTTTCAACTCATCAAAGCCCCATTTTGTGTTCCATATGAAGGAGTTGAGTTCAAGACACCCGGGGTCATGCAAGAAAGTCTCAGTAAGCTCACTTGATAAGCTGTTTACCTTCTCATCTTTTCTACTCATCAAAGCCCCATTTTGTGTTCCATATGAAGGAGTTGAGTTCAAGACACCTGCCCTGCTATTATAGGTTAGCTCAGGCTGTAAAAGGCATATTATGCTTATAGGGGTGAAATCAGTCTGGGTTAGCCTTGTGGGAACATTTTTATTTTTAAACTTGCATAAGGTAGAGTTTAGTCTAAATTGTAAACAATCCACATGCTTAGTGATACTTGGAGCATTACTGCTTTTTGTCAGTAAATGCTGGCTCTTTCTCATCAGCTTTAATGTAGTTTGTTTGAGGTTTGCTTTTGAAATTTTGATATTCAGTCTTCCTGCAAACACGCCAGAGAATGGATTAGCTGAAGGAAAATTGTGATACTTTGTATTAGGTGTTTTTATACAGTCTCTTGATCTAGTGAAAACAGTTAAAATTTAATCCACTTCTGCAATGTGATCTGGAGAAGGATGACACAGTGCTACTCAGTGCCTGGGTACTTCTCAGAGAACTTGTTCTTTTTGTGTGTCTTTGTTTCCAAGTCAGACTTTTCCCTCTACTTTTCTGTGGTATTTTACACAGCCCTGTTGTTACTGTCAAGCACATTTCCATTGGTTGCTTCTGCACTTGGTATTTGAATTGCATTGTGATTGCACAAAAGTTTGCATGCCATTGAAATTGGGTGCTGAACATTTCCCATGCCTTGGTCACATGCAGTGTCCTTGAAGGTGTGTTTGAAGGCTTTTTCATGGGTGATTCATTTCCTGAGGCGCTGTCCCTGCTATGCAGCAGGTTTCCTCTGTGAGAACAATATGCAATTACCTGATTACAGGCAGTGTGAAGGAGCAAGCCTGTTATGGTCAGGTCTGGGCTTTCAAAATTTGAGTGCTTGACTTCTTAAACTCTTACCTGTTCTAGTGTATTTTTGTTAGTAATAAGTAGGAAAGTCATTAATGTGCACTTAAAATATTCATGAGTTACTATGTTAGCCCTTTGAGCATGGTTTCTAACCAGAAAAATGTTCAGAATTTTGTTTGGTTTGTAAAGTTGCTGGCAACATCTCCCACTGATTCTGACGGTATTGAGTGCTTTGGCACTTCCTGTATGATGTGTTTTTGTTTAACCCAGTCTTCAGATAGAGATGACAAAAGTCTCCTCTTTGATAGTTTTGTGTTTTGCAGCACAAACCTGATCCCTCTGTAATCAGCATTTAGACTCAGCCCTTAAGGATTTATCTAAATACAAAAATATTGGGTTTGTGTGATATATCATGTTCTCATAATATGGTATTTCATGTGTCTGTAAAGAAAAGCAAGTATGTGCATGCTTCCTTGTCCATTTTCAAGCAAATAGGATAAAAAAAAGAAATAAAAAGGGATAGCTTGAAGCTGAAGCTCAGGTTTCCTCTAAGTGCATCAGTGCCTTAGCAGATTAAGGAATTTTGCAGTACCGCTGCTACTAAGTAAATGAATTTGGAGATAATGTATTCCTGATTGTTAAATGCTTCTTGCTTTGTGTGTTTGCAATGCTTATGTTCCATAGGCTCCCAAAATGAAATAATAGCTTGTTATTCTTCCCACTGCATCCCATACCCAAAATTCTACTGCTGGAGTAAACTTTAATCCCAAGTTTGTATAATGTAACTTATTAATGAGAAATACATGTTCACAGATGCAATAATTTCTCTGTGACTTCAAATTAATAGTCTAAAATATGTGAAGTAATACGGTATTAATTACTAACTGTTTCAGGAAGTTGTAAAATTATTGTGGAATGAACTGATCTAATTGCCATCTCTTCAGATGTTCTCTGCTCCATTAACTGCTGCATCCTCAGAGCAGGGACTGATTTGTGCTCTGTCTTTTGATTCACAAAGTGCCCTAATGGGAAGTTTTTTCGTGTGCTGTTTTAAAAACCCCAGGAATTCTCACACGGTCAGCCTTAAGCTCTCCCATCTTCACTGTGATCCATCCACTGTCAGTCTCCACAGAAGGAATCTTGAGCTGTGATGCTCAGATTAGTGGAAGAGGATTTCCAGGTGCTCTCTGCCTTGCTGGGCTGTTATGGTACAGCATGTGACCAGGCAGCTATGACTGTAGGACACAGCTGAGAATCAACTTTTCCTAGAGTGGTTTCAATGTGATCAGTGACTGTTTTGGATTTGAAAATGAATGTGTATTTAGGAGGGAGAGGAGGAAACACCATGAAGAGGGAGAGTATTTTTTTACTGAAGAGAAAGATTAAGAAAAGACAATTCCCTCTCCACCTCTCGCCCCCACCCCCACCCACCTATTCCCTTTTCCCACCTTTTTGCTGCCTGGTGATATATATAGTGTGCTAATGGCTTCAGTAATGTGCTGCAGGCTTTGTCACATTGCTGATTAGAGGCGTGAGGGAAGGGAGCGTGTTGTTTCAAGTTTGTGAAGGCTGTGGACTTCTGAGGGCTGTTTACCTCTTGTGTCCTTGTGCAGTATTCAACACAGCAGAATTGTTGTTGGATGGTTAAGTAACACCAAGAACAGTAAGCACACAGTGTTTTACCATCAGCTTCTCTGAAATGGCACCTGTACCCTGCATGGCTTGTGAGGACAGACTGTTTCTTGCTGCAAGTCCTGGAAAACTCTGCCCAACTCAGTGGCAGCTCAGCAGTTGAAAAAGGCTCCCAAAACCGAATTTGACTTTGAATAAATTGAAGATAGGATCAGAGTTCTTGTGTGTTTGTGAGAGGTATTTTGAGTTCAAGCAAAAGGTTCTGAAACTAGGTGATGTCTTGTCTTTGTAAGTCTGATAAATATTTGGAACAGCCTCACATGAGTATTGAATTAAATGGCATTTTAGTCTCTGGCTGCATGCTTGCCCAGGGCAGTGATTCAGTTTTTTGGTGTTAATAAAATTGATGGGAATCCTGTTTTTTGGGAAGTCTGTTTTTCGACCTAAACGTCTTACTTTAAGCCATAAACCAGACACCCCAAAAAAAATTTTTTTAGAAATGCAGTGTTTTTTGCTACCTTACTGAAGCTTGGCAAAATTCTACAAATGAGATTTCTAGAATTTTAGTCTGAATCACTGAACAAACTCTCATGGAATCCAAAACAATAATGAAGGCTGCCCCAGGGTCAGGAGACAGGCTATTTTCACAGAATTAGATCCTGGAAGTTTGATTAACTCCACTATTCATGACAAGATTAATAATATGGGAAATCTGTCATCCTTTCCAAGCACTTCTGAGTATTTGCACAGAAATGCTGAGGTGTTATTCCTGATTTTCAGTACAATCATAGCATAATAATGTAGGAGCTGTGTTTAGGAATCTAAACTTGTGCAGTTCTGAAATGACATGAAATTTCCCTCACTTTTTATTTATTTTCAAAACTGTGTACCTTTCTTATATTTACCCTTTTTTAAAAATCACTATATAAAAGAAAAAAAAAGAGGGAGAAAAGCAGTGGTGGTTTTTGTGCTTTTATTAGAATTTACTCCCACCTTTTTTTTTTTTTTTTTGTGGGACATAAGGAAATAACAAGACAGAAGTAAGTTGGTACTTTGATGTAACAACTTACTTGGGGGAAAAAAAAAAGTGCTTCCTTGAAGATTAACATTCTGAGACTCAAAACCTGAAGGGCTTGCATTCTCTATAGCTTCCTCTCACCTGTGATATAGACATACCCTTTTTTAAGCTTCACTAGACAGTCTTAAACTCTTGCCCTTTGAAATGATAAAGCTGGATTTTACCCCCTTTCCAGTCAGTGTTTCTGGGAATTACTGATTTCTGGGAGTGCTCAAAGGAGCAGAAACCTGACGAAGCTTTGCCGAGGTGAATGAACAGTCTTTAAGTCCTGATATTAAACATCAAAATTGATGTGAGTCTGTGAGGGGGCTCTGCAGGCAAGAGAGGGGATTGAACTCATGTGCCACTCAAGAGAAGGGTTAGACCTCATTGCCACTTTTCCATATCAGCTACTGCATGCTTATCTGCTTCTTCTCTTTCTCTTGCTCATCACCCCTTTGACTTGAACATGTTCCAAAGAAATTCTCAGAAGCACCTTGGGACCAGTTGCACAGTTTCTAGTTCTCTGTTAACATATTCATAAGCACTCATAACTCACCTGGCTGGGGGATATTTGTTTCCTTTGTCACTCTGTTTAACACATATTTTTCTCTCTTCATCAGTATTAGAAGGAAATTTTAGGGGTTTAAAATTGTACAACTATTAAACTTAGTGTGTGCATATATGTATGTCTGCATTGGTACAGTGATGAAAGACAAACCTGGTGCATGTGAAAGTGGCAGGATAGCACATTACTTGTACTTCTTTTCTCTTTTAGGTACATGTATCATATTTTGAGTAAAAATACGATCGTAACAGATCACAACCGCAACCTGCTGGTGGAGACCATTCGTTCCATAACGGAGATCCTGATCTGGGGGGATCAGAATGACAGCTCAGTGTTTGAGTGAGTGCTCCTGAGCCAGTTCTCTGAGACTCTGCTTTTGTGTTTGAAGAATGCTTGGAGTTGTACAGAGTTCTGTACACTGTTACTGTTAACTCCTCCAAGATGTGTTTCATGACTATATGTAAAAAGCTGTGTCCTGGAGTAGATGTGTGAGCAGGTTCATATTCATGTCATACAGGAATTTGCTGCTTCTAAAAAGTGTTTGGATTCCAGAGCCCCTTTCATATACTGCTTTTGTTTGACTCTCCATTCTTTTGATATAAATACGAACTCTAACCTATTTTAGGGTCCAGATCTACTCAGTACATCTATTAATATCACATTGCTTCAATTTACCTAAGATACCACAAGTTCTAGCTGTGGTATTTAGAGCTGCCTGATAAACTGAATATACTAAAAATACAGTAAGAAGGCCCTGATTACTTGGTACCTTTTTTCCTGCATAATTTAAATTTTTAAGCCCTCTTGTTTAGCATTTAAGTTTTTTTCAAAGATATTATTTTGTTATACAGATGTGACTTTGAAATGTAATTCTTTATAAAAGCAAAACATGCTGTTTATCAAAGTTGCCTTGAATCATCCCTGCTCCTAGCCAAATTATATTCCTGTTACTTACAGCATGTGACTTAATGACATCTTTATTTTATTTCAGCTTTTTCTTGGAGAAGAATATGTTTGAGTTCTTCCTGAACATCCTGCGGCAGAAGTCAGGTCGTTATGTGTGTGTGCAGCTGCTGCAGACTCTGAACATCCTTTTTGAGAACATCAGCCATGAAACATCCCTGTGTAAGGACACACTTCCAAACTGCTTAGGATGAAGTGATCTAGATTTGATTGGATTCCCTTTCATTCAATGAAATTTAGTCCTAGTACCCCTGCACAGAACTATATGAATTACTAACAGTCTTTAAATTGAACACTATCAAAAATATGGTATAAACTGACTTCACAATACCTTTGAATGTAAGTTTTCAGTGGTGCAAAAGTAGTTTTTTGGTACAACAAGCATTTAGCATGTTTCAAGGGATTCCTTAAGTCAAATTAGTTGTGATCTGAAATGTTCACTTGCTGCCACAGGTCATGTGGTGAAACTGGTGTGTAGTTTGTACTGTAACTGTTCTGACATCATTGGTGCTGGCAGTCAACCACAGGAGGTTCCTTTGAGGTTTTTTGCAAAATACATAGAGTATGGAGAATTAATAATTTGAAGTATTCCACAACTGTTATGAAAGTCATCATCAAGCCTTGGAGAGTTAAGTGTGATTAGCTGCAGAGCTTACCTGAATTGAGGAAGATAACGTATATTCTCAGTTGTCTTGTTCTTGGGAGCAAAGACCTTTGTAGGGAGTAGATCCTTTATATTAATGCTCAAAGGCATCATTTGAGCTGTTTGGCTCAAAACTGTGATCTTCAAGCATCAGATTGTTGCTTTCTAGTTGTCACTTTAAATACAGCCTGTTACCACAGCAAATTTTTTTGTTAACCTGTGTAAATAATTTTTTTTTCAGACTACCTGCTCTCTAATAACCATGTGAATTCTATTATTGTCCACAAATTTGACTTTTCTGATGAGGAGATCATGGCATATTACATATCATTTTTGAAAACTCTTTCCCTGAAACTCAATAATCATACTGTACATTTCTTTTATAATGAGGTAAGTAAAGCAAGTTGCAATATAATGATAAGAGGACTTGAATTAGAGATTGAGAAGAGTGTGGCACATACTCTGTTTAGTCTATTGTCTCATAATGTCTTACTTTTATTTTTATAATGGCCATACCAGTGATTGTGAATTTGTTTGTGAGGATCTCTGCACAAGCATGGCTTTGTCCTTTTACAAAAAAATCTGGAAGTTAGTGTTATATTGAATAATTTCAGTAGTTTTAAAGTCTGCTTCCTTGAGAATTCAACTTGTTTATGCTTTGTTTTCTTGTGCCTTCATAAGCAGGATCTTTTCTATTGCATCACTTGGTTCTAAAAGGTTTAGTCAAAGTCCAAAAAGCTGAGTCAAAGGGCAAAGTTGAATTGGGTTTTTCCTCTGCACTCTGCTTTCTGCCAGAAGAGGGCATGAAAGCACTGGCTATGTGTGCAGTTATCCCGGGAAGCTCTGGTGCCTAAAGCAGCTCGTTTTAATGCAGAGCTACAAAGGCAGCTGAATGTGCATTGTAAAATCATTTTGATTACTTAAGTAGAAGGTAAAGATACCAGGTTAATATAGGGAAAACATAATTTATACAGAATCCCAACCCCTATTCTGTACATGTTCAATGAATAAATATTTTCTTTCCTCTTGTTACAGCACACTAACGACTTTGCTTTGTACACTGAAGCTATTAAATTTTTTAACCACCCCGAAAGCATGGTCAGGATTGCTGTTAGGACTATAACTTTAAATGTCTACAAAGGTACGCTTTTTATATATTAAAAAAGGTATGTGTGCAAATCTTGTTTCATTGTAGTGTAATTTTCACTTATTTATTTGTGAGGGTTTTCTTCTCTTTTGTGAGACTGAAAAGCTTAGCATGTTGACAAGTTTCAGATATGCATTTTTTACTTTGTGACAACTATCCCAAACCTGCAGTATGTACTTGTAAATAGTATTATTTTCTCACCGATAAAACTGGTTGAAAAAAAACCCAGAAGTGTCAGGCATACATGAGGAACTTTAGCTTCCCTTCCAAGAGAGGTCAGAATGTGACTGTATTTAAAAAGTAAACAAACAAAAACTGCAAAACCAGAGTGTTTTAAGAATAAATTATCTTTTACTCATGAAATTGAGCTTTCTAGTGTATGAAGCAGTAACCAACATCACTGCCTTTTGGATTGGAAGTGCATTAAAATGACTGTAGAACTGTTAGGTGCTGCAGTCACTCCAGTCTTGAGAGGAGCTGGACCATTACCAGAGGTGCTCAGTGAAGGTCAGGAGGCTGCAGTCTCAAACTCCTCTGCTGAGCATTCCAGTAGGACATAAGGAAAAAACCTAAAGCTTCACTGTTAGAGTAGTTGAGCAATGCAACGAGTTTTCCAGAGAAACTGAGGCATCTCTGTTGTTGGAGGTCTTCAAAACTCAGCAGGGACCTCAACAACCTGGTTGAACTTTGAAGTTAGCACTACTTTGAGAATGTCTACTCTAAACCCAATGTCCAAAAGTCACTTCCCCCTAAATTTTTCTTGGGATATTTAAGATTTTTAATAAACTGTTCACAGTGTTCTCTGTAAAAAAATTGGTTTTTCTGAACTTCTACCTCTGAAATCAGCATGCTATAAAGTAATATGTATTATGCAATATGTTCATGCAGGATCTCTTGTTCTTTAGTCCATTTTAAGTTAAATTTCATGTTGAATTTACACGACTTTCTGTCAATTAAGAGAAGAAGAGGTTTGACAGTCTTCATAGAAGCATATGAGGTCTTTTTTAAAACAATGAGCTGTTTGCTTTGCAAATGACTGGAGAGCCTGCATAGCAAAGAGGGTCTTTTCAGTGTTGGCTGCAACACTTTCTTGTATGAGAAATGGGTACTTGGTACTTGCCTTCTACTTCAAGGAACTGTAGATGTGAATATGAGCTCACAAAAAAGAGCAGATTATAGGCTTCATATCCTATTTGTGATATATTTATGCAGCTAAGTATTCTTATTTTTAAAAAATTACTTTTTTAGAATTTTCATTGAATGTTTGTGATATAGTGATTAGAGTTGAAAAGGCAAAGCTCAGGTGTTCAGGATGAATAATTATCTGACTACCTGTTTGCATATTTGTTTCTAATATTCTGCTCTAACTGCTACCCCATATGTTTTAGTTTAGATGCTTTGTGCTTTAGCATTTTAAACCCTTTTAGAGGATGTCACTATCCCAGTTCCTAATCCTGTTAACTGTTGTCTGTTTCTTTTGCCCTTCCTTCACTGATGATTCCTGTGTTCCTTAATGCAGTGTCATGTAAGTCTAACTAGCTTGACTCTCAGCATTACTGCTTTATTCTTGCGCTTCTCTCTTCTTTTTCATAAATAATGTGCTAAAAGAACCTTTCTGAATTCCACTAGATTTGTTTATTTTCAGACATCTGTAAATATATCAACATTAGACTCATTCAAGCCAGATAAGAATTGATGTGACATTTTTATAGATTTCCATTTCATGCCTAAGATCGTGTCAGGTATATACTCATATGGAAAACCAGCATGTAATCAAATTCAGAAGATACTTTATTGTGTTTCTTAAAAAGCAATAAAAATATTGGCAACTGATTTTTCTTTTTAATGATTTCTCTTCAGTGGACAACCAGCCTATGCTGCATTACATTCGAGATAAAACTGCAGTTCCTTATTTCTCCAACCTCGTCTGGTTTATTGGCAGCCACGTGATAGAACTGGATAACTGTGTGCAGACTGATGAAGAGTAAGCTTTTACAAATGCTGCCTATTGAATGCCAATGCTTTTCCCAGATGTCAATGGTGTCCTTATTTTGTCTACAGTAGTCCAGTTAAGTTAGTTTCTAGATATGTTCCCATGTAGACAGTCCAGACTTTTCACTCTTTAAAATTTTTGAGTTGATTCTTTAAGGTAACAGTGCTGTGTGCCTGATCTGTGCTGATATCCCTACAAGTAAATTAGTGTTTGCAACAAGCCTTTTCTTTATCTTTCTTTTGTTCTGCTAGAAATAGCAGATATCCAGAAGACACAACAGGTATTTTGTGCTTCTCAATCTTATAAACTTTGTCTTTCTAGCATTGTTTTTCTGTGTGTCATCTCATAGAAGAGCTTTCTGAAAAGATTATAGGAAAAAGATTTAAACTAGAAGGATTAACTTGATTGTGAGTTGTCAGACCTGACATGACAGTGTAACATTCCACTATCAACTACAGAAATACTTTGTTGATTCAGGTTGTTCTTGGTTTGTCTTGCCACCCCCACCTTAGAGTGGCCATGTGTTTCTTGCTTTCCTAAAGTGAAGAGGTAGGTGTTAAATACAACACCTAATTCTTCTTTCATTTTTGGAAAAAAAATCTTCTCATTTTTGTAGCTGGCTTGTGAAAAGATGGACAATGGAAGCAAAGCTTTGTAAAAACACTTCTTGTGAAAACTTGGGGAAAAAATTGGGTATGTGCATCCTAAAGAAAATACAGGCAACTGTTTAACAGTTGCATTGGTTGTCTTCACTAAAATATCTGCTTTGGGCAGTCCACCTGAGCCAGGTGATCTGTGGCAGGGATGCACATTAATTTTTTCCCCTAAGCATTTAAGACTTGCACAATTGATCACATATAATATTTTATTTCTGCTCTCTTTTCAGGCACAGAAATAGGGGCAAACTGAGTGACCTGGTAGCAGAACATCTTGATCATTTGCATTACCTTAATGATATCCTTATCATTAACTGTGAATTTTTAAATGATGTGCTGACAGACCACCTACTTAATAGGCTCTTTCTTCCCCTCTACGTGTATTCATTAGTAAATCAAGACAAGGTAAGCTAATACCTGCAAACAGGTAATCCTCAAAGGTGCTGCTTGCTTTCAGTGTGCAAAGTGCTTTGGGCAGTAGGTGTGTGATGTGTGGTTTACATGAAACAGCTTAAATAAGGTGGCTGTAGAGGAAATAGCCTGAAATGGAATTCAAGAGCACAGCAGATTGAATTTTATTCACCAAAGAAAAGCTGTTTTGGGTGACATGGTGGTTAAAAGCTCACAGTAGTGGAGACCAAGAAGAACTGCAAATTTGGAACAGGGCTTAAATTTCTGTGACACTGGGAGATGTGTGATTTCCTTTTCTGATAAGCTAACTTGTTTTTTGGCAAAAGCAGAAAAAGCAAATCTGCCATGTTCTAAAAATCTATCCAGGTAGAAAACACAGATTTTTGGGTTTGATGCTAATTTCTTCTGTTTGTAGAGAAGCTGTGTTTTAACATGATGTAGCTGAATTTATTTTTAAAGCATAGCCTTTAAGTTAAGTGGTGGTTTCACTCAAACTCGTTTTTAGTGAAATAGAAACTATTTTTTTAAACCTGCACAGGTTCCTGCATTCAGTTGCCTGTTGTGGGTAATATTTTGTGCTATCTGAATAGCTAATTTTCAGAGCAGTCTTTAATGAATGTTAAGTGAGAAGAATTTTTGCAATGAATAGTAGCATAGTGAAAATGAGTGTACTTCTCAGAAGTTCCCCTGTTTAAGTTACTGAAGTGACCATGAGAGACAGTAATTAATTGCAATTTTTTAACCAAGGAAGAGTGAGGGATATGCTTATTGGGAGAGTCTCCATTTCAAATAATTTACAAGTAGTGAATGTTAAAGAGCTTGATGCTTTCTGAATACTTTGTAGCAGAATGTGGAACAATACAAATTTCATTTTAATAAAACATTAAGCCACACAAATTCTTTGTATCAATAAGTAAGCATTTTTCATAATTTTTTTTCTGTAGGGTGGAGAGCGTCCAAAAATAAGTCTCCAGGTTTCTCTCTATCTTCTTTCTCAAGTAAGTATTTTAAGTATTTGTTCTGTTTCAGGACAAATTTTGCAGTACTCTTGTGATTATAAAATAGAGTATTTTCATCATTTTGGCAAAACCATCAAAGAAAATTTCTGACTCTTCAGTTTTCTTTAAGAAAAATGAAGTAAAACATTTTTGGCAAACAAAGTAGCTTCTTATTTGAGTTAATGTTATTTTTCTGTGGATCCCATTGCACAGGATAACCTTTAGAGCATTTCAAATTGCATACACCCCTTGATAAATAAATGGTAATAGACATGCAACATGCTGGGTCAGAACTTGATACAATGGCAGATGAAATTTACCTAGATGCTATATTGCATTTTGAATCTGCTTAAGCTATGGAAATTCTCAGGTTTGAATTTTCCTCTTTGAGAACCCAAACCCCAAAAACCACCACTACCAAAATCTCACTTTCTCACAATATGAATTTCATTATGCCTATAGCTTAAATCTGTAATTAAGTACTTATGTCTTGCTTATATCAGTTCCACCTCCTTTTCCTTCTGGAACTTATTTTCAAATTAAGAGTTTTACAGTAGATTTTATTGTATTGTAGAGAAAATTCATCTGTTCTCCCTGTAGTCTTCAGTGCATTTCTGTGAGACTGATTTTTTTAAATTACATTGTCTGAAAAGAGTTTTGACATGTGTTCATAGAATTTATACTTCTTTTTCTTTTATCTTAGAATTTCAATACTCATTGTGATCTGGCCCATAATTTCATCTTTTTTGCTGGAAGTATGGGGTTGGGTTTTTTTTCGTAGAAGAGTATAATTTGATGCTCCTTAATTTAAACCTAAAATATTGTGGTGGTGTGAGGGTTGTTTACCACAGATAAAACTGTGGGAGCAGCAGCTTTTTGTAACCAAAGGGGTCTGCATCATACAGTTGTGTAAGGTGACCTCTTTTAAAGTCTTTGCTTTCAGTGACAAGGTATTACTTCAGGATTTGTATCTATGTTCTTCATTCTCTTTAAAGAAGAAAATGGAAGTAGTAATAAAGAGCTGAGAACATATTTTGTGTATCAGAATAGGATGTGGTATAGAAAATGAAGCAACTGTGACTGGCAGAAGAACATCTCCCACCTCTTTTAACCTGGAGTTTGTCTGTGGTGGGGTGGGATCTGCCAAACCTTGCTGATTGTTTCTATTCCTGACACCAGGCATATGCTCTAGGCACAACTCTTATATTAGACACAAGTGCTTGAGATACTCATGCCAGCACCTGAAAATGCACTGCTGGGATTTCTCAGCCACTCTGACAAAGGGAACATGTGCTGTTCTTGCACCAGAACAGGCCTGTGGACGGTCAAGCAACACTTGCTGAATTGGCAGAAGCTGGAGTGGTTTGGAGGTTGTTCAAAGCACTTTTGAAGTGTGTTGTGACTTTAAACTTTAATGTAGATCATCACTACATGCTAATAATCACTTCCCTTTTGGAGGTCTGGAATGCTTCTGACTTTAATCAGAAAACCTGTGGAGAACATTTAGCTAAATATTTTCAAAGCTGTGATTAGGTTTAATGACTTAGGAGTTATTTGGGAATTTTACAGCTAGAACCACTGATAAGTGATCTAGCCTTGATATTCCTCTGAGGGGAATGGATATAAGCTGACAGAAGGCTATTGCAGCTGGACCTGAGCTGGTTCTGCCCGGGAGCCAGTTGTTTGCTGGCCCAGACTTGTAAGCCTGGGCTCAAAATAGAGTAGTCAGTGTAAACATAGAATTTTGGTAAAGCACCAAAGCGCTCGTGGTCAAATGCTTCAGTGCTCCAGGCACTATGGTCCTTACTCCTGTGTTCTGTAGCCATTGTGTAGCTCACACTGATTTGCTGCAATTTAAGTGCCAGGAAAGCTGCTTCTGCTCCAGCTCAGCCTAGTGCACGGCTTTAGTCATGAATCACTGCGTAGTGGTTGTGTGCACGGAACTTTCTGGAGTCTGGCCGCTTGCTGGCACACAGGAATGTCTGGGGATGCTGTGCATCATAATCAGTTTGTTGTTTCTAAAAAAAAAAAATAAATTTCTGGAATGGTTTTAATGAGTTCCTTGCTAGAATATCACACGACTTTCCTTTCAAAGGTGTTGAAGAGAGAGAATTTACACTTCTCAGAAGGAGGAAAGAATATGAAGAATTAGTAAAATTAGGTAGCTTCAAAAGTAGAGAAAGGTCAGATACCCTTGTCTCCTTTGTTTTAAAGTCGATTGTATGAGCTCTCTGTTACGAGTTGTACTTATATGTAAACCAAAGATAGCACTTAACAAGGTCAAAAGTATGTTCAGCTAGTGAAATTGTGAAACTATGTATTCTATAAATATGTCTGATGGGTTTTTTTCTTCTCTTCTTCCAATAGGTTTTTCTGATTATACATTATGCTCCTTTGGTGAACTCTTTGGCTGAGGTTATACTCAATGGGGACCTCTCAGTGTTTTCTTCTAAGATTGAGCAAGATATACAGAAAAACTCAGTAAGTGGCCAACTGTTTGTAATTTATTTTTTTTTAAGGCAAGGAAGATTTTTGAAAAATAAAAGCAGGTGTCTGGAACCTGGTACGCCAAGGTGTTTATGTTTAGGAGATGACAGCAGCAGCAGACTTTGTTGTTGGACCATCATTTTGATGGGACACTTCTGTAATCCAGTCTTTTGTGTTCAGTTTTTATCTGCCCTTTGGTAGTGAAGTAAAAATGATTCAGCACAACTTTCCTGTGAAATTTCCTGGTGCAACTTGTAGTAGAAAAGAGACTTATACCAGGCTTAACATTTTCATCTGAATATTCCCAGTGTTTTAGCAGTAAAACTGGTTATCTCTGAAAGTTGTGCATCGGTGAGCATGTGAGAAGAGAGACCAGCCACAGAGAGAGGGGAGGGTGTTACTTTGTCCCTGGCTGTCTACCTTCACATTTAACCCTGGGTAGATGTTGCTAGATGCTGATGCTTTTGTTACTGGTTTTCTAGGTGTCATGTTTTTAATATTTTCTCTTTTGTTGTGGCTTTCACAGTTTGTGTAATGCTTGCTTGTTACCTTTTAAAGGCCTATTTTGGGGATGGTAACAAGTAGGGGGGCATGACCTTACTGTAACAGGCCTCTGACTGTAGTTCTGTCTAAAAATTGAGCATGTCCCCTAATGGCTGACTGAATGTTTACTTCATAACAAATAATAGATTGGTTCTCATGAATCTTCTTTCCCAGCAGTGGCTATAGCTCTGGGAGTTTCAACTCCTCCAAGATACATCAGATGTTCCAGATTTCTTCCCACTGGGCATTGGAAGCTGTGTGGACTGATCTTAGCCAGTAGCTTTTGCGTTCTGGTGTTTTGTTCTGTTGACCTTGATATTTAGAATCTAACCTTTTTTAGAAAAAAACTCTGGTAGAATGGTAGAGTTGACTGATTGCTTTAAGATAAAGCAATCTCTTACTTATGTTAGGAAATGTCTGACGTTCTGCTAACGGCATACTGAATGCTGTGTGTTACTTGTGCAGAAGAAGCTTTGTTGCTAGGAAATTTGTGGCAAGAGGGTGGGGTACCAGTTGTTACAGAAGTGAGATTTTCTTTTTCCTGTCATGGTTACTGTACAGAGTTACAAAATACTATATAGCATGTGTTTGTGTACTTGCACTTACGTTAGGAATATTAGGGGTTTCCTATAGACTGTTCATCTCTTAATTTTGTAATACTACTTAGGCTGCTGCTCCTTTGTGGCTTTAAAGGATGTGTCCTCTTAACGTGTAAACCTGGGGTTCTGTTGTAGCTGAACAGGTACTAAATAGGAGGGGTATTGCCTTCTGCAATAGAGAAACTGCCAGAGGTGGAGCTGTCTTCCAGGGAGTGCAGAGCAGTGGGTAAAGGGAAAACCTTCCATGGGAGAAACCTTAATTTTTAGTAACTTCAACCATATTGTTCAGTGAGACCATGGAGGGGAAAGCCTAGACTGTCAGAAGCCCACTGGTGGAGGTTGGTTATGTGCAGGAGTCGGGTGCAGTGTCCAGCAGAAGAGCTCCCTGCTCAGCTTCCAGGGAGGGGAGCCACAGAGGGAGCTGTTCTGCAGGGTTGTCTGGGAGCTGCTGCAGGCTTTGCTTGAGCTTCCCTGCTGAAACACAGCTCAGTGCAGGGAGGCTCAGATCAGCTGTACAAGTGAAGATACATCAGGATCCTTGCAGGGTTATTGCTGTGCTATTTTCTGTTGCAAAGAAATAGCAAACTTCTATTGAATACTGGAAGCTACTTCAGAAGTTAGTTTAGAATTGTTAAAGTGATGAGCAAATTTTTTACTTTACTTTTAGTCTGAATGTAGAATTTTTTTTCATAAATCAGACCCAAATTTATCATTTATTACTTCCTTTGTGTTCTGATTTGTCATGATAACTGTTCTGATACTGTCCTAAGCTTGTTGTTGTGGGGATATGTGTGTATTGTGGTGAACTGCAGCTATTTCTAAGCCCTCACTCTGTACCTAACTGCTGTAACTGAGATGTCGTGATATGTTTAAGTTGAAATGTAACGGTCAGTTTCTAACTAGCGCATAGTTTCTAAACCCAGAAGTAAGTAGAACCTCATATCTGTAGTCATCTTTCTAATAAGATAAATTAAAGTGGAATGAGGTACAGAGTAAGGACTGAGTTTTCTAGATGCAGAGTCCTCTTGCTGAGACACTGAGTAAAGAACACTTCACAAAAACAAAAGCTGAGAAGCATCACAGTTGCTGTGTATAAATGCAAAATACCCTGAATTATTTAGGGCAAAGGGCAGTGTAGTTCTCACAAGAGGAGCAAGTGATACTGTTTATTGTAAATCAGTTTATGGAAAAATGACCAGCAGTTGTAACTGGTGATATCTTATGAATTGGCAATAACCTACTTATGGAGATCTGCTGAACATCAGTGGGCAGTAGTGATTGCCCAGGCTCCATTGAACAAGTTCTCCACATCATTCCGTATTTTTTCCCTGTATTTCTGGTTTTAGACATTATCAGAAGAAATACAAACCCTTATGTCACAATGAGAGCTGAATATGTATAGGCAGCAGAATTTATGTAAACTTGTCAGATATCACACTAAGGTTTACCTTACTTCCTGTGAGATCTGTTTTCTGCATCATTCAGATGTGGGCCAGTTCTACCTAGTGCATGTTTCTTCTTTAACCTACTTTCTCCTTCCCGTAAAAGGTGTTACTGGTATTGCCTTATTTTACCATCATACGTTGCACAAGATAAACCATTATTGAAAATGTGGTTGGAAGACATTTTAAAGATATAAACTAGCAGTACCCTCAACCTGTATAATCAACTTATAAACCAAATGCTATCTAAAATAATTCTAAGTCTGATTTTAAAATGTTTTAATGATACAGACTTGATGCCTTTAGCAGAACAGAATATTTGTGTAGGGCTTTTTCTGCAGCATTCCTTCTTGGAGCAGACTGTGGCTCAGTGTTTACAAGCACATCACTGTCTACTGGTGTCTTGTGGTACTTTCCTCTTGTGGCTGACAGCATATGAGAAATGCAAGGATGTTAAGTACATGCTTTCTCCATAAAGAAGTAGTTACAAGATTCTAGGAAGCAATGCAGAAGTAAGAAGTGAATGCAGAAAGGGGAAAATGTGTTATGCAACTTGCATGCTACTTTTCTGTTTTTCCCCTAAATAATAGGACTTAAGGTGCTCTTCCCTTTTCAAGTGACTTTTCTAGCCAGAAGCCATCAATAAAGGTAACATGGTCATTTTACAACCTTCCTGTGTTGCAGTTGGATCACACAAAAAATGCATCCAAGAGGTTATCAGGGGGTAGAAGTGTAGCAAATTTTGTATTGTGGGGATTTTTTTGGTATTGTAAAATAGTCTTCCCACTATGTGGTTTGTTTTAGTGCCAAGTGTAAATTCACTTATGCAATATTTCTATAAAGCATTTGCAGAATATCAGAAGATTCAGAGAATCATTTTGGCCTTTTAACTTGTAGACAGCTTCTTCCCTGATCTTTTCCTAATCTCTTATGTATAGATATTCCTAATTAGATGAAGGGAAGGATTTTTTTCAAACTTTTTCTCCAAAGTTTCTTTGATGCAGTCCTCTTGAGTGCTTATTGTACTGAGTCACCCAAGGCAAAGAATGTAATCAGTTTGGTATTTACTCTAGTCTTACTTCATTCTCTGGCTTGCCCTTAAGGTTTTAACCCTTTAGGCAGTGTGAGCTGAATCTGTTTGAGGTTTTGAGCTCTGGAAGATAACAGGGTTTCTGTAGCTGCCTTGTTTAGTGTAAACCTGGCAGAAAGCTCCAAACCATGTGTTTCACTTCTCAGTAACAGAGGTTTGGCTGATTAGTGCTTATTTTGTACTCTGGTGATCAGCTGGCAGGCAGAGGGGAGCTCAAACAGCACAGCTCACAAACAAGCTGCAGAATTGTTAAAAACCAAATTTGTTACTCCTTCTATTTGCAGAGCTTCTTGCAGCACCTTGGTCACTTTCTATAAGAATCCATTGTTCTGTCTTGTTAGGATGACACATTATTGGAAATACTTAATTTCTTCTGGGAGAAATTTGTTATCGAAATTTATTTTCTTGTGCTATAAATTAATACTTAGGAAAATGAGGTGTTGGTTTGCCATCTTATCCTGTGATAACTTTGTGTAAAACACAAGTAAATTAAGTCTAATAAATGAAGTTGAGTTTTCCAGACTTGATAAGTTAGTGTCTGGAGGCCCAAAAAAGGCTAATGATTGTCATTTGTTCCTAGTTGATACAGGAATTAGTTTGATTTTGAGGGAAGCATAAGACTCCAAAAAACACAACCAACCCAAAATCTCACAGCACAGAGCATTGGATTTTGTCCTTGCTGTTTTAAAAAAGTCCTTGCACCTTTAAAAGGGGTGTATTTCATATTATTACACTGCTGTCAACAGACATGTGGGATTTTGCTGCCTTTATCCTTTTTACAAAAGGTGTTTGAATTTTATGTGTATTATGTCTCACGCCTTCAGTCTAAAACTTGTGGTGATGAAATAGGTAGTTCTGCATGGTCTTGTCTCAAGAAGGTCTACTTTTTAACCATAGATCTTTGGGGTTTGTTACTTTGGGGATAGTTGTGCTACTGATGAATTGGTATTAATTTTTTGTATTTTAAAATTGATTTGAAATTTGTGGATAGTGTGCTGATTTACATTTTATATGAACTGAAGTTTATCAATTACAGTTAAAAATGCTGTGCTGTAACTCAGTGTACACTCTTCAAATTTACAGGCAAAGTCAAGTATCAGATGTTTCATAAAACCCACAGAATCACTTGAGAGGTCTCTTGAAATTAACAAACAGAAAGGGAAGAAGAGGATGCAGAAGAGACCCAACTATAAAAATGTTGGTGAAGAAGATGAAGAGGAGAGAGGATCTGAGGACAACCAAGATGACCTTGATAAAAGTAAAGGTACAGAAGCAAGTTCAAAGGGTGTAAGAACAAGCACTGAAAATGAAGGTGAGTATTCCAGCAAGAAAACAGTGCTTATGATTTAGGTACTTTTGTTTACAGATGGACCTAGTTGTGATTACTTACATGACTTGTTCTCTTGCTGCACTAGGTGAACATGGGACTATGATATTTGCTTAAGGCTTTGGCTGGATTTTTTTCTCATGTTAAATCAAGCTGTGAGAACATGTACTTCTAATCTCATTAAAAGCTGTGAAAATGTGTTCATATCTGCCTGTAGGCCTTGGCCCTTATCACAATGCATGCCTTGCACCTCAGTGTTCATGGCTGTGGCACTTGATAAGCAAGCTTGACAGCTTTGTGACATGTCCTTTTGTGGAAAGGGAGAGCTGTAGCCACTTCACCTTTGCAAGATAATCAGCAGTATTTTATGTATGTTTCAATGATAAAATGTAACCGGTGTGCTAGAAGTGACAGTACACGATGGAAAATAGTTCAAAATTGAAAATATCTTTGACTCTTACATTTTTTTTCTACTTGGACTTTTTCTGCATTTTTGTTGTAACACAAACCTAAGAATTGCTTTTATATAATGAGTGGTCTTACAGCATATTATAACTGTTTATTTTATGGTTACTAACTTTTAAAAGGATGTATGTAAGTCCTAGTACTTACATTAAACACAAATTGAGAAAAATGTGGCAGGATTGCCTGCAAGCAATTGAAAGCAAGAGTGTTATGCTTTGACAGTCCTGTCCAAACATGACTGAGTTTAGATTTAGGTAAACAGTCTTTTTGAGAAGGCCTTCCTTAAATGGTGTCAAACAACTGATGGTGTATTTTCCACCATGATTTGAAGAAAATCTGAAATAATCTACTGTTTAAACTGGTGCATTTAGTTGTAATCTTTGTCCAAATTCCTAAGGGAAGGCAAGATTTGTTTGTTGCACTGAAACTCAGTAGATGAGAAGCACTGGGGACCAGGTGTCCTGTTTGCTGCAGTTGTAGAGGCCTGTTTACACCCTCAGTGAAACTTGATGTCCACCCATGCCCCGGTCTCACCAGCTTTTTCACAAATCTTTTTTTCAGAAACAGGTTCTATGGCTTTTCTTCCTGTGGTTTGCGTGGGAAGGGAGCTGACTGTGGCTTATTTGCCAAAATGATATGTATATTTTCTTTACATATTTTATGTACATGCATACATTTTGTATAGTGTTACATTCCTTAACGAAATGTAAGCCAATTTCTTGGCTCTGCTGGGAAGAAAATTTGCCCACATCTGCTCACTAACCTTTGTGAGTTAATGGTATACCTCTTATATATAGATGTTTGAGATGTTTTTAATACCAAACAGAAAATACAGAAGAGCTTGTGATAATCTTGTTGAAAATATCAAATTTTGGTGGTATGTTTTGGTTTTTTAGAAATAGAGATGGTAATCATGGAGAGGTGTAAGCTGTCAGAGCTGTCTATCTCTGCTGTGACAGAACAGAATACAACCGATGAAGAAAAGAGTGCAGCTGCTTCTGGGAGTGAGATGACAAACTGGAACAGGTATAGAGGAACTGTAAAAGATGTTGCTAAATTGTTTCCTCCCCTTAAATCTTTTGCTTTTCTTAAAGGGATGTTTAAAATCTGCTTCAGTTAAAATTACAGGTTTTTTCTGGATCACGAGTGAATCAATACATAAGTGAGGTGTAGCCTCTCTACTGCTCAGTTTTGGAAATTATCCTGTTCTGTTCTAGTTTGTGCTTTCCTTTGGGCAGTTGTGATGCATTCAGTTGGTAAAGTTAAATTGCAGAATATTAACATGACAAAAATAGAATATAAATGTTTACATTCTGTAATTTCCTAAACCTCTAAATTAAGGTGGAAGTTTCCTTAATCATATTTATGGTTGCATTTGTCCATTTTGTATGCACCTATAAGGAGAAAACAAGGAAAATTCTTCAGTTCAGGGATGAGTTTGGCAGAATGTTAGTAGCAGTAGTTATAGGAAAACCCTTGTAGCCTTTTACTGTTTCCAGGGTCCATTAGTATGTTTTAGGATTATTGGAAACTTCTACTGGAAATACAGTTTATAAGTGTTTCTGGGAGCAGAAATTACCCTGACTTCAAAATTTAGGCTTGGATATAATGAATATCCCTAAGACACCTTCTCACTAGAGATTTTGCATTCCTGTTAATAGAATATTAAGAAACCAAATGTGCCTGACACAAAAGTAATTGCAAATGTGTCCATTGGGGAAATGCACATGTTTGATAGGATTTAAAATTTATTTTTCAACTTGGGAAATGCTGCCTGGTATTCCCAGAATTTCATTCTGTCTCCATTATAGCTTTGTAGTTTAGATTACATTCATTAATAAAGATAACATTTAATTTCATTGTAAAAGTGAAATTGAACCTTGACTTGAACTGGCTTTAAAACACACTGTTCTAGATTATTGATAATTTGACTAAAATATGTGCCAAATGGCTTTTAGAAAGAAATTGGCAGTGAGTGCATGGAATACTAAAGTGACTGGGATGCTCTGGTCTTGAAAAGTGCAGAATGCCTAGAAGTGAGCTGCCAGTGCATTTGGGAAATGTCTGCAGTTCAGGCCTCTCTTGATCTGCAGATGTGGTCTCACAGCATTCTGCATCTTTTCTAAAAATAAGCAACATCAAAGAATGTGCAGAGCTAAAAATAGTTTTTAAACAAGGGTATACCTTGTATAGGACAATTCTGGCCTTTGTTTTGTATGTTTTTTGGGTTTTTTTGAAATGTCAGTGGATTAGCTGCTATACCTTAAGATTTTGTATTATATTATGCCAAGTATAATATTTGAAACAACAGCTTAATTTCCCAAGAGACTTGCTTCAGTATGTGTGGTTTCTGTCCTACACTGGTTGGAATCACTGATCCTTGTGGATAGGGCACCATGTGGGAGTGGAAAATGCAGGGACCTCGGTGCCATGCTGGAACTGAAGCTTCCACACCTGCAATAATCATTCATGCTCCTGGTGACAATAGTTCCTAGTGTGTTGCAGTCTTCAGTTGTGGATGTACTCCACAAGAAAAAAAAATCTGAGGAGCACTTGGATGGCGTTTGATCTGCTGCTTCTATCAAGCCCTTAGTAAAAGACTAGTAAAGGAAGCAAATGCTTACAGAGTTACAAAATACATTTGAAAATACTTACCATATAGCCTTTACTATGAAAACTGTTTTTTTTGTTTAAAACAGTCCAATAGTTGTTGAAAAATAAATAGAAAACAGCACAGATGGCAGTTAAAAATCTGCAGCTGTAAAAGCTAAGTCAAGCTTTTAATTTCCCTTAGCCCTTTTCCTACTGTGAAAAACAAAAGAAAAAGCTTAAGTATTTTAGGTGTTATTTTATTTTGATAGGCCTCACTTCTGGAAAGTTTAAGCTTAAAGACATGTTTTAAATTAAATTCATTTTATGAAATGCTACACAGCAAAGCTTTTTTCCAAAGCATGTCAAATCCTCATGCTATGTTGTGGCTTCTGTTGCTGTTTTCTTAGGCTGAAGTTTTTCTGGGTCTGTTGTGTATTTAGTCTAAATGAGGAACATTGGTGAGGGGGGATCTTGGAAGTTGTTTCAGCCTCAGATTATTGTGGCTGAGACAGATAATGCTGATAAGATGCTGTGAAGAATCATCTGGAATGAAAATGGTATCTTGCTGCTGTGTAATGATTTCTTTTCAAGTTTCATAATATCATGAATCTAATTAGTATATGGGGGAAACAATGAAAAATGCGTTAGACATCACAGAAGTCATTTAATACCATGTAATATTGGGGTTAATGGAACAACTACTGATACCTCAGCAGCTTTGATCTGGTAAAACCTTGGCTTTAATGAAATTATATTAAATTGTACTTTTATAGTTTAGGATTTCGGTTGTTTACGGTCTGCTGTTGGTCTGAAAACAAACCAAGTGTTATATTGCATTTAAGTATTTTAAAATTTTGGTCCTCTTTGTTCTTTAGACCTTGAAGCTGAGCTCATTTTATGGAGTGAAAAGCCCCCCATCTGAAGGTGACACAGGGCTTGTAGGGCTTGGGTAATGCTTAGGAAACCTGAAGGCCCTCTTGGCTCGTTTTCAACATTGCTAATTCTTTAGGTTATTTTTCTTGAGCAGTTACATTCTTTTGAGATCTACAATATGTGGGCAATTTGCCTTAAGCACTTGGAGCAGTGTTGAACTTGGGCAAAGAGGGATCGCTGCCGGTGGCAGTTCTGTGGAGGAGCGCTGTAATCCAGGCTCAGAAAGGCACAGAGCTGCCGTGGCAGGAGCTGAGCAGGGAGCAGCGTGGCTGGCATGTTGGTCACTGCCTGGTTTCAGGAAAGGGAGCCCTGTGCTGGCAGGTGCCTGGGGCTGCTGGGGACTCCCAGAGCTCTGTTATGCCTTGGGACCGCTCGGTGTGACCAGGAGGGCTCCACAGGGCTGGAGTGGGGATTGAAGTGTCCTGTGTTCTGGCCTGTGACAGCCCTTCTGACCCCCTGGAACCACAGCAGGGAGCTTGTAGTGCCTGCTTCTCGTCTGCTGGGGCTGAACAGAGCACAATGTGTTTGCTTATGTGACTTTGATGTTATTTTAATGGTTTTTCTTTGAATTTAATTTAGATAATGTAACAGTATTTCACTGTTAATGTATAGTTTAACAGACAGGAATAAACCCTTTCCACTCAGGCTTCCACACTCTCATGTTCTGATGACTGTGACACTACCCTGACACATGATTTATTTATCTGGGCCAGTTGTGAAAATATATTTAGTTTTTGCATGTGCTCTGAACTTGAACAGCTGGCTGGATGCAAGCCATCTTAAGACCAGAAGTGAAGCTGCCTTGCCATCAGACCTGTGCTAATATCAGGTTAATCTCAGCCATATCTGATCAGTCCAAATGCCTTCTGGATTACACTAACTTCTGTTGTCTTTCTAAGGTACAGGTAAAGAAAAGGTGAACTTAACACTGTTTGTAACTTCCTATATGTGTGTCATAGGTCACAAGTCTTTAAACTCTGGATTGCAGATGAGCTTTGTTTTCCTAAGCTTTTTTTTTCTCTTCAGATATTCCCTCCTAATTTTTTTTTCCTATAACTATTGGACAGTAAAACTGTTGTTTTAGAAAAACCTAGCTTCCTCCAAACTTCTGATAAAAATGCTTATTTGTAATAGTAAGAACTTTTCACTTCTGTTTAGCACGTGTTTTAAAGGAGTCTGTTTTATACAACAGTGATAGCAGCTCCTTAAATTTACTTAGGTATGCACTTAAAGCGAGCTCTGCAATTATTCTGTGTACTTACTAAACAGGCTACAAACAAACCCAGTAAATGTTTGAACAAGCAGTTCTTGGGAAAGTGTTATGTAATGAATCCAGTTAAAAGTCAGAATTATTGTCAGAACTATTGTATATAAATACAAAGCATGGCTGTAATCTGAGTACTCTGCAACAGAAACTCTGTAACAGAACTCTTTTGTTATAATGCCTGAAAATGTGCATTACTGTGAATTTGCCTCTTCCATTAGCTACATGTACAACAAGACAGTTACCCATTTTTCTATAGATTTTTAACTGTTTCTAAATTACTCCTCCCCACAGGCCTTTTCTTGATATGGTCTATAATGCACTGGACTGTCCTGAAGACGATTACTATGCGCTCTTTGTGCTCTGTCTTTTATATGCAATGTCCCACAACAAAGGTAAATGCTGTTATGTAGAGTTAACTGCAAGGCCATGGTTGGAAGATACTGTAAACCTCAACAGAGTCCTCTTCTGATTTATGGGGTTGTTTATTGCTGTTCCTTAGAATGGGACAGGAAGATCCCCACAATCCATATTTGTGTATTGTGTGTTGTTCTAAGAGGTCTCCCAGCAAACCAGCCTTTCCTGAGCAATGACTTTGATATTTCAGAGGAATATGTTAAAGAGAGATGAGATTAGTTTCCTTATATAACAAGTCAGTGAAAATTTTACTTGTCTTGGGGAGGATACTAAATAGGCCTACTACAAAATAAAATTCCTATTCAGTTTAAACATATATGAACACATTACTTAGCTACCAAAGCAGAATTTAAAATCAGACTTTGATCTCCTCCCCCTTAGCCATTATGCTCTCCAGATATACAGCTAGACTGTGATTTGATTTAGATGGAAGCAAATAATCTGAAAATTTCAGAAACAGCAAAATCATTTGCATTTCACCAACCACTTTGAGATTTGAGGGTTGCCACCCAGTAGGCCCCATTTAAGGCTGAGAATTTTCAGGGATTCATCAGTGTGTTTGGTCATTGTTGTTCCTCCTTTTCCTTGTAATACAGAGTCAAAGCCTAGTTTCCTATTGCTAATTGTTCTCTTCTGAGAAAATTGCTGTGGTCTGTTAAATGCTTGCCTCAGAGCACAGCACACTCCTGTTTTCTAATTTTCATTTTTTTCCTTCACCCCCATGAAAGGACTTGACTCAGTCAAGCTGGAGAGAATTCAACTTCCAGCTCAACATGCTGAAGAGAGAAATTCATACAATCATGTCCTTGCAGAAGGGCTTATCAGGATAATGAATTATGCTGCACAACCAGGTATTGCTTTTCCAGGGTTTGTTTTTTCTTCCAAGGTGAAATTTTTTAAGATATAAAAAAGGTACTTAGCCTCTTGTCTTTGAGGGGAAAGTGACTGTTCAGCATGCTCTTTGATGAGCAGTATGTAGATATGGTTTCTGAAAGAAATTAACTATTGGCTTTTCCTTTCTTGGTGAGAAACCAGAAACTCTGGATTTGTGCTGAGTAGTTTTTATACTCAGAACTATACAAGGATCTATTGTCTTAATTCCTACTTTTTGCACTTTTGAATAAACAAAAATTGAGATTTTTCAGTGGTTTTACCTTAATGGATTTCATCCTGCAAATACGATCTGTCTCACCTTTGCTTGCAGAAATAATTTCAGTTGAGAAATAATCTTGAAAACTGTGGCGTCCTTTGCTCATAGCAGTCCTTTGTCTGTCAGCTCTAAGTGGTAGCAAATTTTCCCATCTTGTTTTTTACTTCAGGTTGTATTTTCAGTTCTGAACTGTTCTGCAGAAAACATGGGGGTTTTTTCTTCCTTTTTTTTTTTTGTGAAATGACGGTTACAATGTTCCACGGCCTCTTCCATGAAAATATGTTTTTTGTTCAAGCCACACCTCTCCTCCTTGCCTTTGCCCCCTTAAATCTTTAAATGGGTAGAATTGGATTTCCCCAGAAACTGACACAGTATCAAATTTTTGAATGTCTGTAGAATAAAAATTTGTTTGTTTGACTTGCAAAACTGCTCTACAGCATATTAACTTGTGCTGATGTATCAAAGGTGAAAAACATGTTAATATATGAAGAGTTTGTACCTGCAGCAGCATGAAGGAGTGCAAATGAGGATATGTATTTATTTAAATAAAGGCATGTTTGGGAAGGGAAGTGCTGGGGAATGGAAATGGGGGATTTTTTTATTCAACTTGCTGCATGCTTTGTAGAACATCTCCTTTTCTCTCTTCAAGGAAAAGCTGTGCCTTATTAGTATGCTATAGACAAAGCTTCCTTTCACCTTGCAACTTCATCCATCCCAAATGTCTGGTATCCTTTTGTAATTTTAGAGTAATTCAACCTGTGCAGCAGATTGATAAAGGCACTGAAACCCAATGTTTGGGCTTACTGTTCAGTGGTATTAATTTTTGCCTTCTTACTGAATGGTTCTGCTTCAAATTTTCTTCAGCTTTAAATTACTCTTCCAGTTTTTTCTTTATAGCCATCAGCATAGTAAAGCAGCACTAGCACTCATCCCTGTCTGATGGAGGTGTGACAGAGGAGCAAAGTTTGACAATTGCAGGAAGAGTAGAAACATTTAAGAGCATGGGTTGATCACAAGAGCTGGAACAAAACTGCTACTATTTTTGTCTGTTGAAATTTTCTTTTCACAGATGGAAAAATTCGTTTGGCAACTTTAGAACTTGGCTGCCTATTGCTGAAGCAGCTTGTCTTTTCCAAAAATGGCAGGATCATAAAAAGTGTTCACCTTGATTGTCTTGAGGTGAGTATTTTCTTTCAAATTCCCAGTCACTGCATTACTGGTGTCTGAGTCTTGGAGTATAGTTGAATAAATTTGATTCATTTCTGATTGCAATAAGCCTTAATGTGAAATTTGAGCTTCTAGAACATGTTTGCATTGGTAGCTCTGTGCTGTGAACATCATAACCTATGCTCTGTTCTCATCTGTGTTATTTTAACTTGTAACTTCTCCAACAGTTTATTTCTTTATTTCTCTGAAATTTGTATGTTATCCATCTTAATAATGTAAAGAAAAGTGCTTTTGAAATAATAAATAATAAACTCAAATAAGCTGCATTTTCATAGGTGCAAGAACTGTATTCTATCAAATTCTGGGATTAAGGCCATGAATTATTGGACGGTCTGTTCTGTATAAGTGTTTGGGTGGATTTTTAAAGTGACTAATAAGTAAATGGTGTATGTATTCCCTGAAATGTATTTTCTCTTTCCTAGGGTGCAAGGGAGGAGAGTGTTCATCTCCTTCGTCGCTTCTATAAGGTAAATATGCAAAATGCTGTAAGAAAAAGATCCTTTACATATGGGGAATGTCTGCAGCACAGTCTTTACATAGTGACCAAAGAAGCACCTTTTTTTAAGATGGGAACTCCAAATTTCTGATAGAGAAGGAAGTGCTTTCTTGGAGAATTCCTTGCCTTTCTGCCTTTCCCATACCACCCTGACATATGTCACAAAGGGCTGTTGGAAGACTCTGGAATATGTGTGGTTTTGGTTTTGACATTGCTTTTTGTTTGTGTCATATCTGAAATTATGATCTAAAGTTTTGCCTAATTTTTTTTTCTTATTGGAAATGTTTGCAGCTTTTTACTTTTACATGTGTGTTGTAAACAATGAAAGAAATGAAATTTTTTAGCCCTAGGCATTAACTTCTATATAAGAAGCAGTAAATCCATGATAGATTTCAAGTGTCTGAAATATCTTCCTGTTTTTCTTAGAATTCTCTTGAAGGATGTTTGCTCAATGTGGCTTACAAAAAATAAGTAACTTGTGGTGGTTTGACCTTGGCTGGCTGCTAGAGGTCCACTCAGCTGCTCTCTCATTGCCCTTCCTCAACAGGATGGAGGGAGAATAGAATATCTTGTTAAGATAAAGAACAGGGAGGTCCCTTGCCAATTACAGTCTTGGGCAAAACAGACTCAACTTCACAAAAATTAATTTATTGCCAAGAAAAATAAATTTAGATAGTGAGAAACAAAGACAAATTAAAACACTCCTGTCCCTCAACTCTTCCTTTTCCCAGGGTCAGCTTCATTCCTAGCTCTTCAACCTTCTCCCCCTGTGAGTGGTGCAGGGGCAATGGGAAGTAGGGATTTGGTGTCAGTCCAGAACAGCTTCTCTCTGTTGTTCCTCTCTCCTCACACCTTCATCTGCCCCAGTGTGGGTCCTGCAGACTGCAGCTCCTTCAGAGCAGATCTGCCTGCTGTGCTCCACCATGGTCCTCCAGGGGCTGCAGAGAAATCTCTCCCTTTCCTAAATGTGTTTTCCCAGAGGTGTCAGCAGTGCTGCTGAAGGGCTCAGCAGTGCCCTGCAGCCCTGGCCTCCCTTCACAGACACACTGTACAGAACCAAACCTGACAGAGCCCCAAACAGCAAGGTTTCATGGGATGTCCATGTTCTTTCTTTTGGAAGGGAGAAGAAATCTTTCTGGATATGTTTGAAGATGAATACCGGAGTATGACAGTAAGTGAGACCCCTTCTGCCCTGGTAAATCCTCAAACCCAGATCCAGCACAGGAGCAAGAACATGTGCTGATAGATGCTGAGCACACTGGGGTCTTTATTGCTGGGAGTAGGATAACAAAATATGGGTGGTGGTTTTGTCACTGAGAAGTTGTGTCTATACTTACATAAATTATGTGAAACTTCACAGCGCTTCATTTAATAAAATTCCATTACTTAGAAAATTGAGTATACAAAAATTGCTTCAGCCTACTAAATGGGACACTGGGTTTATTGTTTTTCCCTAAAGCTCAGCATATTCTCTCTTTTGAGAAAGTTCTTTTTGGAGAGAAAAAGTTACAAGAAACTTCCTTGTGATTGAAGTAACCACAAATTCAAGTCAAAACTTAAAGTCAAACCTGGCAGAATTTGGTTTTTAGTATTTGGGAAATAGCTTTTCTGTAATCTTCTGGTGTTTTTCCTGTGTTTTATTGAATGAAAACTTTGGCAGTGTGTCTGGGAACAATGAGAAGTTGCATGTAGTAAATGAAAGATTGCAGGTAAGGAATTTCCATATTTAAGGAAATAAGACATGGTATTAAAAATTCTCAAAATTTTAAAATACACACCAATGAGTTGTATTTGAAACTAGAGGCAAATGCTTATTGTTCTGTATACTAACCAGTGCTAAAATATTCTTGTAGATGAAACCTATGAATGTAGAATACTTGATGATGGATGCCTCAATCTTGCTACCCCCAACGGGGACACCTCTGACCGGGATTGATTTTGTGAAAAGGTTGCCTTGTGGAGATGTGGAAAGAACACGAAGAGTGAGTAAGACTGTTTCTCTTATATCTGCTCATGACAAAATGATGCCAAAATCATTGAGCAATTCTAGGAATACAAATACTTTTCTTTGAAAAATACTTGATTGGAAGCTTCATCCATAAAATCCTAAAAGCTTGCTGAAGACAGATCTGTGTGGAGTATATATCATAATTACCTGCCCCAGTGGAGAAGTTTTCTCTCTGATTTCTTGTGTCTAGTCAATGCAGTGTGTTCTTGCACTGGGGTTTAAGTTTTCAGACCATACAGAAAGCTACAAAGAAAGGCATTTTGATGATACTCAGTATATTGTCAGCTTCTTTTGTGATCTGCTATCTCAATTATATTCCTGTAGTAAGAATCTCCATGGAAGGCTGACTAGTTTTGTATTGCTCATATTTCTAGACATAGCAAAAAATTTAATCTTACATGAGCATTCATCTTGCCAAGATAATTGGTGATGGAGATTTGAGAACGAAGAGAGAACCAACAAAGTATCTATTTTTGTGATTGACACAATCTCTAGAGGTGATATTTACCTGAGTGACAACATCCTTATTTCCATTCTTGGTTAATCAGTTCTTGGCCCTTATCTGGGTGTGTCCCGGAAACCTTGCACTGTCAGTAAATCTAAGAGATATGTTACTGCACAGAATCATTATTTGGGAAGTGCTGTTCTCTAAGTTTCTTTGCATTTATATAATTGTATTGCTTAAGTACATTCAAGTACTCTTGAAGAAAAAAAAAAAAAAAGTATTTCCAGGAATCTTCTGAAAAGGTTTGTTTTCATTGCTTATAAGCCACACAGCTTTTGTTATCACAGCAAGTTAGATAGAATACAGTGAATTATTTTGAAAAGTATTATTCTTAGAAAGCAGAAATGCTTCCTGAAATTCTCTCTGTGGCATTCAACAGAAAGATACTTAGAAATGCACATTAGTGGGAAATTACTATTCCAGGATTTTCGTGTACTAAGTAAGGAATAGCTTAACTTCTGTTGGTGGAGATAAAAAAATCAATACAAATATTCCTGTAGATCCTTTGGGATGAAAGGATCTACATGAGCAAGAATTCCCAGAATGATTCCTTGTTGGTGCTCCTTCCCCAGTCCATTGCACTCAGGGTTTAGTATCTCCTCATTTCCTGAGCTGCTTCCTTGCAGCCAGGCTGCCTCTCCCCGGCTGAGCTGCCATGACAAAATGCTGGACTCAGGTATACCTTGTGACTTTGCTGCTGCTACTCAGCCTGCTGAGGTTCTAAGGATGGTTTCAAATGGAAAAAGATTTGATTCTGAGCATGCTCTGACATGATTCAGAAAAGTTTCCAAGTTTTATTTCACTAGCAAGTGAGCTTCGGTTATATTATGAGTTCTTAACTGTTAGGAACTTATTTCCTTGCTGTAGAAAGTCCCTGTAAGTGGCAGCTCTTCTCCTCTTTAACAACTTTAGGAGAAGCTCTCAAAAATCTCACTTTGTGAGAAGTTTTTGAAGTACTAAGAACACTTTTTCGTGGGAATGTAGTAAGATGGTGGTAGGTTTCTCTGCAAATTGCTGTTTCTTCACACACAGAACATGCAAATGAGGAAATCAGCATCATAGTGCATAATACTTTAATGTAGGTAGAAATATGTATTTGTTCCAAGTTAACCAAAAAAACTAAAAGTCACCTGAAAAACTTCTAGGCCACAGAACTTTTCTGTTGTTTTGTTGAGGTCTGATGAAATGTGTTAGGCACAATATATTGATACTGGTAACAAACTGAGGGCTGTCAGTGTTGTAGGAAGCACAGCGCAGTTCCCATTTCATCTGATGTTCTTGTTCATGGTTTGTTTTTTTTTTTTTCAAAGGCTGAAGTTCTAATTTTATTTTCTACTCCTGTACTTTGTTCTGCACTAAATGTGATTACAAGTTTGGAGAGGAGTGTCATTAGCTTTATAGGAAATGAATGTGATAAAAATTAATGCAGTCTAGGAGGAAGAGGTTTGAGGGGGAAGATAAGTGAAAGCTGAGTGATGGTTGCCCTCCAAATTAAAAAAAAAAAAAACCAAAGCCAAACAAAAACCTTGTTGGGTTTAACTTTTGGGTTACCAAAAATGCCAAGATTTTCCTGTTCTTGAATTTGGCAAATATTAAACCAAATACTGTGAACTCGTCTTGAAGCGCTTGGTAGGAAAACTGCTTTATAGTAATCCTGTATAATTTCAGTAAATCCACAATACATTAGAAGGCAGTCTGCCTAAATGAGAGTGATCATCTCTCATTCTAAAGTGACTCTCTTCTCATGAATTAAATAGTATTGTTATCATATTTTTCTTAGATACCCTTGATGTCCTTTGCTTTGGGGTCTTCCATTTCATGGAAGAACCTGATACATGGCTTCCCTCTCTTCATCCCTGTTCTGCCAGAAATTCCTGGAAGCACTGCCAGTAGAGAGCTGGCCAAACACTCACAGTTCTGCTTCACAGGAGCCACTGTTCTGTTGATTTTAAAAATAGAGGAGTGAAGGGTTTTCCCTTAAAGCACTTTAGATTTGTTTTTCCTGATACTTCCTGCAATCTGGGAGTTTCTGGGCACTGCAGCTGTTCATGAATTCAATGCTGTTACTGTAAAGCAGCAGTTAATTTACAGTACACCACAGAATTACTGTGTAGGAAACTCTTAAAAAGCAGAACACCGGAAGTAATAAAAAATGATTTTTCATTTGCTGTACTGAAAATGCAATTCTTGTAGGGAAAGAAGATTATAAATGGTGCCTTTCAAAATGTGGCTAATAAAATGATTGTTCTTTGACACTTTGGGTCTTTGCATACCATATGTCATGAATTTGTAAATCAAAACTAGCATATTCATTTCACAGAGCAGCTGTTGAAAGTTTCTTGGGACTGTTGCAGCTTTCAGAATGCTTTGCCCTGATGAAGACCTTCTGAGAATATAAATTAAGTTCTCCAAGAAAGTTACATTACATGTGGCTAGTTTTAGTGAGAACAGCAAATTAAAATGCAGAAATCTCTGTTTCTCTCTTAACTTGTAGACATGTTAGCCAGACTTGGCCAGAAAAGTTATTACTTTTTTGAGTTCAAAAATGTGAGAGTCTCTGAAGGTTTGTTGTGTAGGTGTCTGTAGCATAGAAGTATTGCAAATACAATCAGTCTTAAAGTAATGATTAAATAAAAATATTCCAAGATTGATTTTGCTTAAACAGCTCCTGTAGTTGTTTCCCTGTCAGTCACATTGTGTGTCAGTGAGACAAAAGCTCTGCTGCTTCTACTTCACTGAAAATAAATGACATGTTTCAGCTTCTTTAATGTCTTTTTTTAACTAAGTAGGAAATTACATTCTACTTTTTCAATGTAAAAGGTATTAAAATTTTCATTTCAATTTTAAATGTATTAAAAATATTTACTATAGGATAGCAAACTTGGGAATTGTAAAAGCCAGTATATGTTTGTAAGATTCTGTTAAAATATGTAGTATTGGGTGTAAAAATATTCTGATAATATTTTCTTTAATTTCTCAAGGCAATCAGAGTTTTCTTTATGCTCCGTTCACTGTCACTGCACTTGCAAGGTGAGCTGGAAACTCAGTTACCACTCACGAGGGAGGGAGATCTGATAAAGGCAGATGATGTTCTGGATTTGAGTAAGTAGCCCCTCAATTTCCTAAACAGTCTGATACAAAAATTACAAAAATAAATAATTATTAATTAATAAATACTTTTCTCCTAAACTGCTTGAACTGCTATTCTTACTTAAACTGCCTGAATTGAAGTAGCACAGTGTTAAGGTTCTACTGTGTGTTGTAGCATAAAAATGTATTTTTTGAATCTGCCCAAACAGGAGAGACAGCAGAATATCAGCATTTTGGCATAAAGCACATAGGATGCACAGGATTGCATAGGTGCCAGACCTTGGGAGGAAACTTTGCAGTGGGCGAAGCATGACCCAAAAAATTACATTTGCGTGCTTTTTTAATATCACTTTGGAGGTGTTGTTGATTTAACAAATTTTCCTCAATCTCTATTAATACAAGGCTTTTAAAATTCTTGGGAACATTAAGATGCCTTCAGTGTTTATGCTTGTTTGTATACAATTGGTTTCAAGAGGGGAGTAAAGGTTAACATGATCCAGTAATGGTTTCAGCTACTGTTTTGATTTGGAAAAATCCCACAAAACTGTATAAAAATAGCTCCTTTTTTCCTTTTGCCTGAATGTAATGATGGTGTTTTATGTGAGCTTGATGAGGGAGATTCAAGTTTCTTGTAAGAAGCATTTTTAATATTTTGATGAGCATGTGTTGAATGCAAACCTTTAGGTGTAGTTACAAGGTTGCCACCAGTATACAGGAATGTATAAATAGAGAGTCAGGTCATTCCACAGAAGGTTCATTCCATCCTGCTGGATATGCTGTCACCAGAATTACAGCTACTGTTACTTTGCAGTGTTTTTCCACTGTAAATAGTTTTGAAGCAATTATGTATTTTGTGATAACTGTTTAACTTAGACTGCCTGTGAGGCTGGAGGTGTTTTCAGTCTTGTTTAGCAGCTCACTGTGTAAAGTCACAGGCAGCTCAACAGCCTCAGGGCTTGGTTTCAGGTGATAACAGGATTCTGTTAGTTTAATGTTTTAAATGCCATGGCCAAGAGGTAAATGAGGATACATTTACAGCTGTTATTTCTTTGCTGAAACAGAAAAAAGACTAACATTATAGTTAAGTTTCTTTGCCTGCTTGGCAGACAGAGTGAGCAGGCTTTAAAAGGCCATTATGGTCAACATTTTTTAAAAAAGATTTGAGAGAAGTTTATGATGGAATAATTGAGGTTGTAAGGAACTTCATTAGATCATCTAGTCTAACCCTCCTGCTCAAACCAGGGTCAGCTAAAAAGGGCATCCAGGACAATTTGTCATATTTGTGGCAAAGAGAGTAGCCCAAAATGTGGTGCAGGTGTATGACCAGGGACACATCCTCTAACTTCAACTAAACATACTTCATGGGAACAAGGTGGATTCATGACTGGTTGCTTTCTTAGTAAAGCAGAATATCATCCCAGAAGGGCTGCCTGTTGGGAAGAGTTCTTCCTTTGAAGTGGGAGGTGCTGCATTCACTATCTCCAGCCTAATGCTTATCTTGGGCTGCCAGCTGTGTGTACAAAGGGCTAAAAGTTTTCTGTAAGAGCTTTTAATGTCTGCAGATGATTTCTGGAATTGGGATGACTGGAAATTATAAAATCATTAAAGATCAAGCCCCAAGGCAGATCAGGTGCATTTAGACCATATTGAGTAGCTGTTATATTCATAAAGATTTCTTACAATACAGTCTTTTCAGGCAAATATTTTTATAAACACAGGCAACTATTTTTGCTGAATTTACATCTTCAACACTGCAAGCAGCTGAGGTCTATGAACTCTCCTTCCTTGGCTGTATTTCCTAAAACTTGGATTTTTCTTGGAGAAAGTCCACAGAAGTCTTGGATCTATGTAATTGAGGTGTAGTGTCCAAACTGTTTACAAGCTTCATTTTGCATGAGGTGAAATTAGCCATTGCTGTTATTCTCAGAAGAGGCACTCCAGTTCTCTGCAGCAGTTCACACCAGGAAGCCATTCAGCCTGTGGTTCATTGTAATCAGACCAAAATTGAATAGTCTGAAGTTTACTGGGCTTGATATTTTCACCTGAGTGTGGTTGTGTATCTCTAGCTGTTTTATAGCATAGCTGTAAGTATTCTTCTATCAGTCCACTGAAAATGTGTTTAACCACACTTTCTCTTCTGTTTTGTCATCAAGGATGACAGTTTATGACTCTTCAGCAGCTGTGAACTAGAAACAGTCATGTAAATGACTACATTCAGTTGTATGGGCTCAAAGGATTCCTATAATAGTTGCCTAGTAAATGAGTGACTTTCCTTTCTGTTCTTTTAAAGACCTTTACAGTAATGCTTTGCTTCAAGGTGTTGTCAGGTCTAAAATAAAAACTTTCTGTTCTGGAAGGCATTCTGCCCTTTGAGTTCCTGAAGTAGTGTGTTTTTGTACTTAGGCAGCTGAATTTGTACAGTAAGTATTTTAACCTGCTTGCTGTTGCACTTAAAACTTTGTAAGTACTGGTCAAAAACTACTATTTGAGAACTCCTCAACTCTATTTGGTGTTGTGGCCTGTTAATTGAGAATCTCCCAAAAAACTCATCAGCCTGACATATCCTGTTTGAAGGAGTCCTAATCCAAGCACTTCGTGCCTTGAGAAGAACAGGGCTGCTCCAGGAATTCAAGTCAACTGAAATAACTATGTTGATGGATTAATTTGGTTAAAGAGTAAAAGAGGCAAGAAATAAAGCATACCAAAATAAGAAATATCCAGTTCTGCCTGGTGTCTCAGCAGCTTCTCTAAACAGGAACAGATCCTCCACAGCTTTTTACAGTAATATTTGCCAATCCTTTATGGATTTCTTGAGCCTTCCAGGGCTGCGAGAAGGTAATAGCAATCAATCCTCATGTTAACTGAATCATGTCCTGTATGTATTGCATTTATTGATTAAACTTGTTTTCTCAAATTTCAAAAGCTGACAGTAAATTCACACTGGTTAGCATTAATTATCCTCTTAATTTTGTTAGGGTTCTATATTTCATGCCTTTCTTTCCTACCACCCAGTAATTTTGAATGGATCCTGCTGGTAAAGGGTAATTGGTAGGTTCCTAGAAATGTTAGTTGGAAAGGATCTCTCACTTGTGTTGTGGGGGTTTGTTGTGGGGAAGAGGAAGTTGGTCTGATTTTTGAAGCTTGAAAACCTTTGGTGATGTAAATTCCACAACATCTCTGGGTAACCTGCTCCAAAGAATTTCTTCCACCTCCTGACCATAATTATGGCTGTTGTCTCTAGTTGTATGACCTGCCACTCTGAAGAGCTGTACACTTCACTTGTAGTTTATCCTGCAAGTGTTTCTCACATGAAAAATGGTGTTAAATGCTTGTTGTGATGTTCAGATGAGTAAATAAGTTCTATTTACTTTGCCATATTTTACTTGCTGTAAGTTGTACTAGATGAGAGAGAGGAAAAGACCTGTGTGCATCAAATATATGCATGAGAGTATCAGTATGAAGCAAGGGGAAAAGCAACTCTTAGTAGTTAGCAGAGCTGTGCTATGGGTTGGCACTGCCGGGTTAAGGGCTGCTTGGTAGATTTCAGGTGGTGTAAAGAGGGTGATTTAGTCCCTTTTCATGAATAATGGGTGTCAGCTGGAATGGGGCAGTGAGGAAATGGCAGAGAATGTATTTTGGGGTTTGTTGGAGGGGTTTCTGGAGTAAGAGAGGGTATGTTTGTTCAATATGAGTCAATGAAATATATTGATAAAGGAAAAAAATGTCACCTCATTTAACAAATGTTGTCAAAACACTACTACAATTTACCTGGAGAGTCCAAATAATCTTGAAATTGAAGTGTGTGCAAGAGCCAGCATAGGTTTCAGACCTGTACAAAGGTAGCTTGTGTCAGGAGACAAAGTTTATAACAAGGTAGAAGTAATGGCCTGCAGTGGTGTTGGGTCTGGCTGTGCTTTTTCACAAGACTTCTTGAGACTTCACATAGCGAGAGAAATCAGCACTGTTGCAATTTCACCCCTGAAATGAAGGGTGCTTTTTTCTGAAAGATAATGAAAGTGTTAACAGAAAGCAAGGTGTATATAGTACCCATCTTATATTTAACTTGTATGTGCGAACCACTGTTGTTAAAATCTCTCTTGCCCTTTCTATGTAACTATGATAGGGAAGTTAAATTATCTGTTAATAATGTGAACAGAAGCTTTAAGCATGTGTTGTCCAGATTGTTATAATTTTATATGTTAACATTTTCTGTTATGTAAAATACCCACACCCCAGAATCCTCAACTTCAGTGTCATGTAATCTTTTTCCTTCCTTCCTTTAGATAACAGTGATCTGATTGCTTGCACAGTCGTAACAAAGGACGGGGGTCAAGTTCAAAGATTCCTGGCTGTTGATATTTATCAGATGAGTTTGGTTGAACCAGATGTTGCCAGACTCGGATGGGGAGTAGTTAAGTTTGCAGGCCTCCTGCAGGTAAGGGAAGTTGTAGTTTGGGTGGCCAGCTTTTCCGAGCTGAAAATCTATATTTTATGTGGGATAAATAGTAATACTAGTATTAGCTTATATATTTAAGCTCTGTACCATGCTTCCTTGTTTCTTTTGTCTTTTTTCTGCCTTTTAAAACAATTCTGATTTTCTGAAGAAGCTTACGTAGGTAGCTAGAGACACAATTGCAGATGGGGTAACTTCCCTAACATATGTTGGACTGAGCTCATTTGAGCACTGAAGTGACATTTGGTTAGGATTGTGTTCCAAACACTTTACTGAAAGTAACACATTCATGAACTCAGAGTTCTGATTTTCCTGCACAGGTAGAAAAGGTGGCAGGTTGTAATTTCAAAATGATCTATGCTTATCTAAGAAAGTTTTTCTCATTTGTCTCCTTGCCTTAACCATTGCTGTTTGTATTCCCTGAAAATTTGCTGTGCTCAGATAACTCAATCTCTATGAATACTGATTTCTGAAGAAGTAAATCCAAGTTGTACAACTTGCAGAGTCTGGTTTGATTTTATTTTGTTGGATTTTTTGACACAGAAACTCTTAGTAAGAGCTTTAATGGAACTTACTTTCTCATAGTATTTTCTGTCAATATTAATATTTAACCTGTAATTTTAGAAAAGCTTTTTCTTTAACTTTTCTTTACTTTTTCTTTAACTATTTGCATTCTGCTTCTGTTTAGGATATGCAGGTGACTGGAGTAGAGGATGACAGCAGAGCCCTGAACATAATCATTCACAAGCCTGCCTCCAGCCCTCACTCGAAGCCCTTCCCCATCCTCCAGGCCACGTTTATTTTTGCGGATCACATTCGCTGCATCATCGCCAAGCAGCGCCTGGCCAAAGGGCGGATCCAGGCTCGGCGCACCAAAATGCAGAGAATAGCAGGTGAGTGCTTGTCCTGAAATGGCGCTGGGAGACAAGAATTGGCTGTCCTTGCAAGTCACTCTGCAATGTAAGGCTGAGGCACACTGAGGAGTGGTGGGCCACAGAAAGCTCTATTCCAGGGCTGAGTTTCCAAGGAATAGATTTAGTTTCATCTATAACTTTGAGCTTATAAAGTGGATATGTCATGCTTTTATGCCTTGCTTCATGTAAAAAAATTGAAAGCAAGTTTGAGGATATTACAATCTACTTGATATTAAAAATTTTAGGTTGAATGTAATGCAAAGGCATTTCTTTTCCATTTTAAAGCCCATTGTCTCTTTAACTGGCTTTCTGCAGTGTTCCCTTGTAACTAATGAATTATTTTATTTCTGCAGGGTTTTTTATTGTTAATAACTCCTATGGTTTTTTAGTGCAAGGGGCTTCCTGTAATCCTGGGGTTTTTTTTTCTTCTCCACTGTATTTTGAGGTTTCCCTAGTGTGAATGTGGTGTGGACAGCAATGTAGAAAAGGTTGCCAGAAGCACTGACTCTGTCAGTGCATTTGTAACCATACTTAAGAGGCAAATGAAAGCAAGTTATGTTAAAATCTGGTTTAGTCTTAGGTCCTGAGCAAACTATCAATTTTCTTGCCACCTCTTTTTCCTTTTATGTATTTGAGTAACAAAAACTATCAATTGTGATTAAACATAGCTCTCCTGGATCTTCCTGTTCAGCCTTCAACTGAAGTTATGGGTTTTGGACACAGCTCTGGAGCTGCAGCCCAGCACCTCCCATTTAGATTCTATGACCAGTCCCGGCGTGGGAGCAGTGACCCGACAGTGCAGCGCTCTGTCTTTGCATCTGTTGACAAAGTCCCAGGTAAGATTAGCATTCATTAACAAGCAGTTCTTGCTTTGTGATTTCTATCTGCAGAAACTGTACTGTAACTTGTACAATCAGTGAAAAGCTTATTGTGATGTGTTCCTGAGCACACAACTCCAGGATGAGGCTTATGGCAAAAGTTACTCTGAGAGAAACAAGTAATACCTGGGTGTGTATTCTGGGTATGTTGTGAGCAATACTTCCATGGCAGTTTCCCCAGATGTCTTAATACCTTGCCTTCCTTACAAATCAAGTTAGTTTAAATCATACTTTGCATACTCAGTATTTATGCAACACATCTGGATCTTCCTGTTCAGTCTTCAGCCGAAGTTAGGGTTTTTGGACACAGCTCTGGAGCTGCAGCCCAGCACCTCCTATTTAGATTCTAAACCAATCCCAGTCAGTTGTGAATATTTCCTCCTTTAATTTGGTTATGAATGTTTTCATGCTGGATTGTGAAAAATGCTATGCACTGCCTCATTTCCCTCAGAGTGAGCAAGACAGAAAAGGGCCACAGCTCCTCCTAAAACATTAGCTTGGAACTGGGATTAAAGGAATGAGTCTAAATCAATGAGCTCTTTGCTTTTTTTATCTCCTTATTGTCTGTTTCACAAATTGACTTCTCTGCAGAAATTCTTTTCCAGATGGTGACATTTTTCCTTTTGGGTTGAGTCATTTTAAAGGGAAATCTCATTCTGCTTGAAAGTACTTAATTGTGCTGTACTACACAAAAGATTTCATTACCACTTGCTGCCAGTCATTTCACAGAACTCAGCATTTCTCTTTAAATGTGATTCAGAATTCAAATGCACAGAATTCAAATTACTTAGAATGCAGATGTTTTATGCTTTAAGACTAAATTGGAGCTCAGTTACCTGAGTTCTGGCTGGGGAACAGAAATTATAAAACCATAGGTATTGTCAGTCAGGTGTTTCAAAGACAAGTGTATGTTGTGTGAGGGGAGTGTTTTCCTTAATTGATCTGACTTCCACAGAAAAGGCGTGGTTATAAAGAGTCCAGAGTTACTGCTTCAGCTTTCTCTAAGGAGAGTGCACTTGTGTTCCTAACTAATGACTTCATCTACTAATTTGAAGGGTAATATTGGGGATGATACAACGTAGTAATTTGTTCAAGCAACCACATACTTTATTTGAATCCAGAAATGTAGACTTCCACTTGCAGATCCAGAGGGAAGAGTGTTTTGAAGCTTTTATTTGATACAAAGTATAAGAAATGAGGCACGGAACTTGAAGTATTTCAAATACAGCATCTTTGAAATGCATTTTATGACGGGTAATAATATAATAAAAATGGATTAATATCCTGCTTTTACATCTGATTACAAAACCAGTATCAAATGTGGGTTTGTTATCTTACCTTTGCTGAGGAATGAATAAGGTTTCCTTGTTCCTAATTATTTTTATAGGAATCTGTTTGTGCTTATCTCTTAATCAGGCTTGCAATGATGTTTACTTCAAGGGGAGAATTTTGTGGCTTTGAAAAAATTACTGAACAAGTTGCATTTAAATTATTGGTGTCATGTATTCATTTCTTACTGCTACAGCTCCAGCTGGTGTTTGAGTTCTGCAGAGCTCGCACAGTCAGTTCGTTTGGTTGTACTTTCAAAAATCAAACTGTGCTTTCCCTTTCCCTTGGTGATGATGTCCTTTGCAGATTAAAAGCAGACTTGTTTTTCTGGCAACATTTTTGGAAGACTAATTAAGTAGTATTTTGTATTAGGACCGTGTTGGCTGTCAGTGCTGTACATCCAGCATGGTTTTTTAAAAATTAACTATCATGTAAATGTTTTCATTCCTCCTGCAAGTTTCAGTCTGTGAACTTTGATACAGCTATTGAATCAGTTCCCTAATTCCTGTTGTCAATGAATTTAGAATTTTCGAGAACACTCATTGCAGTTGGTTCAGTTTCTCTCATAGTGCCTACATAAAGCTCTGCATATGTCACTAGAGAGCTGCAGTTACCTTCTGTGTTCCCTTATTGTTGTCAAACTGGGCTTCATTTTCATTCATTGTTCCACAGTGCAAAGTTAAAATCTTGGTGCCTGGGAGAAAGAGGGTGAGGATTGTTATAGCTTAAAGCTGGATTTTGTGCAGGACAAGTGGAGGGTGATGGGAATACCACAGGCAATGCTTCAGAACATCCCCCTGAACACAATGAAAAGTGCAGGGACCTGCTGTGATTATCTCCTGCTGGACTGGACAGTTCTCAGCAGAGAACAACGTAAGCAAAATCACTTGATCAATTTTGTCCTCATGAAGTCATGGCTATGAGTACACTCCAAGGTCTATTTTAAGTTACTGGCCTTTGCTAGAATGTTAGAGCATTTTAGGGATAGTGTAGCTGGCTGGACTATTCACCATCTCTTATGTTAGCTATGTATGAATGTATGTACTTCTGAAGCCATCTGTGTAAATAAAGAACACTGTTTTCAAAGAAACCAGCAGATTTGGTAAGGGCCCTGTGAACAAAGGTTTTCTACTGAAAGTAAATAAATAATGACTTCTCCTTCAAGCAAACTCAAGAACTAGTTTCAAGTATCAGCTCTATTCTGAGATTTATATGCCCAGCGTGTCTTAAGGGAAATGTTAACGATTTCCAGCAAAAGGTACATCTAAATATTTTAACAAGTGTGGTTGCTTTCCTACTAAGTAAATTTATTTTGAAAAGCAAAAGGAATCAATAGATTTCTCTTACTATTTTATCCATTGTTAATATCTTAGTAGATGATAATAAGGTTTTGAGAGGAAAAAAGGAGGAGGCAAAACTTGTTAACATTAGCATAGCAAGTAAGCTATAACCATCTTCATTTTAAAGTCTGAAGGAAAATCATCCATAGATTTGGAACCCTTTGTGTAGTACGAACTAATATTCCTGTCATCATCAGATGAACCTCCTAACTGTTATTTTGCTTCCTGTAGTTATAATTAGTTCCACTCACTTTTTCTTTGCAGGTATTTCCTGTAGGAGTTTCCTGATGAGAATTTTTTTTTTCTTGGTCAGTAGTTTCCCAGTTACAGTATTTTGAATTATTTAGGCTTATCTTTTCCTCCAACCTAAATTAGCTTCTGTTAGCACACTTAAAATTCTTCCTTTGCAGTTGTTTGGAGAGAGAAAATACGTTGAGGTCATTTTGAAGCAGATGCTCCTGTGCAAGGACATGAATCCGTGAGTGCTGTTTTGCAGGAGCTTTGGGCTGGCAATCCTGCTAAATCAGGCCAGCTTTCCCTGTGACAGTCATGGGAGACCTTGTTCACTGATTTCTGCTGTTCTGGTGAGGGTGGAAGGTTTCTTCTCCCTTGAAGTGCCAACTTTGTGGATATAGAATGCTTCGGATGGGTGCGACTTTTACCAGCACTGTAAGGGAAGCTGAATATCTTGATATAAGCTTTTCTGTGCCAGTGGCTTTAGGAACTGTTCTTAATTTCATTCACATTAACAGTTGGCTTTGCCTCACTTCTGTGGTCGCAAGTCCACTGGTTTTTCCTTGTTTCCCCATCCTAACTGGTATTTTAAACTATGAACTGTGTATGAAAAATCTAATGTACATTTTCTGTGATTAAATCTATAGCACTCAGGGCCAGTGATACATGTGGAAGTCTTTCAGTTTGAGGTGGTTCAGTTTGTGGTTAACTTTTTGCAGACTGTCAGGCGTCACTGTGTGTAACCTCAGATTAACTTGCCTAAAAGATTGTAGAAGATTGATCAGTTTGGTTTCTGAAATAAAATGCATGGATTTATTTACATTTATAGGGTAATTAGCTCCTTACCAACTATTTTGTTTTTCATTGAAAGAGATCTCTCCTGCCTTGGTGGTGATTTAGTTCTTTCAAGTTAATCTTGAGCATAATGAATTGTAATTTAACTTGGTAAAAGTGACATTTCAATACCTATCTAAAACTATGCATTGTGTTTCTGCAAGTGGTTTTGAGTCTAGTTCTTGAATAAGTGTGGGAGGTAGAAGGTAGGAGGTGGGACTGCAGATCAAGTCAGATTATTAACAGGACAGATGTTTGTGAGCTTTCTTCTGTGCTCTCGTCACTGTGTTGTTTTCGCTTGTAGCACAGCCTGTCAGTGTGTTGCTGCTAACAGCATTTTCCTGACATGGCATATCTATGTTTCAAAGCTTTCAGAGCTTCTTGTAACATGTCCATTTAAACTGAGTTTTGGGTGGCTGCGTCCTGTATGGCACCAGCACCTTCCCCATATAGGAGATTGTCTGAGTGAATTATCCATCCAGTGCCATGGGAGAGTCCCTATGTAAAAGAATAAAGAACTGTGTGGTGCATTTTCAATCTTACTTGATTGTCAGATACTTTCCCTTTCAGTGTTGACTGTTCAGTGAAGGTAGCAACTAGAGTATTGTCAGGGGTTTTATAATCCACATTGTGGCTACTTTCAGTAATTCACAGGACTGCCAAAAAAACTTCTGCATTAGTATTTTCCCATGGGAGGGAAGGAGGAGAGCTGCAGAAGCAGAAAAGGGGTGTACCTCACCTGACCTACAGCCCATGGTGAAGACACTATTTTTGCTGTAAGAAGTGCATCAACTTCTGAAAAGCTGCTTGCTATCAAAACTTGAAGAAGTGACTATAGGTGTGTACTTACAGAAGGAGAAAGGAATGAATGCAAGGTGGTTAGGAAAGAAAAGGATGCTACACTGCAGAGAGATTGAGGAAGTATTACACTAGAAGCCAGAAGATGACTCATCTAAGTGTTGTCAGACACTGTATAGACCTTTCCAGTCTTCAGACTGGAAAAAATTTAGTTTGTGAGAGGCTAGATGAAATTCGATTCCAGCATTTGACGTGATTGATTAAAATTTTCTGAAGTTATGTCTAGTAAAAAAATGTAGGTCTTCTATCCAAGAGGTTTTTTTGTTCACTTTTGACTTAATTATTTTCCTTATCATGTTAAGGTCTGTGGCCTGTGAATATGTTGACTATATCAAGAGTTTTGATGTGTTTTGACTGTTTGTGGAATCTCTAAATTTTAAAATGCTTTGAATCCCTTAAACTCTCTTTGCTTATTCGCTGATCAGCAGTTGTAGCCTGTTTTCAGTAAAGGTACATTCAGACTCTTTGGTTTCCAGGATGAAGGTGGGAGAGGGCACATCCTCTGGGTCACTACATGAGGTTGGCTTCACCTTGATACAGATTTGCTTTTACCCTTTCCCAATTTGTTCAACAGCTTAACTCTTTCAAGATAATTAACTTGTAAACTTCCCTGTCCTGTTTTGCAGGCTTTGCTGTAGCCCAGTGCATAAATCAGCACAATCCATCCCCACTCTCGTCACCATCCCCTTCCAGTGGCAGTGGCAGTACAGGGCGCTGTGATTCAGTGACTGCAAGCTCGACATCCACTCCTTCTGCTGCTCAGAGCCCAGCAGGTATTCACTCACCACCTTCAGCCTAGGCACTAAGGGATACAGAGCAGTTCATTGTAAAATTAAGTTACTGTGTTATTGGATTAAAAGAGTAGGGCTTTATGGTTTTAGATCACTTAATTGACTAAGCCAATTAAAAGTAAATTGTGGTATAAATTGCAGTGATCTCTTCAGCTTTCTGGAACTCCAAATACTTGGCTTTTTCAGTAGAGACTTCAAGTACTGGTGCAATAATGTCCTGCTTGTCTGACTGCTCTCCTAGCACAAACAGTTTAGAATGTTGAGGGGGTTTTTTTTGTCGGTGGTTTGTTTTAACTGAAGTATTGCTTTGAATAAATCTGTAATGTCGACTTGTAGCCTTCCACCATAGTGGATAAGTTGATTTCCACATGAAGCATCTTTTTTTAAACTGAGTGACATTTTCTTTTGTGTGTTTATCTGATCCTCAGGTTAGTTTGTAACAATGGGCCAAATATGAAATGTTTGAAAATAATAATTATTTTGGATGTTAATGTGTAAAGTTTTTGCAATAACACTTTTGTGGCTGAAGACCACCACATTTCAGGAGGTGGTTTCATTGTTGCAGAAGAGGCTGCAGTATAAATAGACTGATAGTGTAACTTTCACAAATGTAGGTTGCATGTGTTTGCATTGGTCAGTATTTTTAGTGGGTATGCTTAAACTGGAACTTCTTGTTGCATTATTCCTCCTTTTTATGTAGTATTTGTAGAGAACTTGTTATGGTGTCTATTCTGAGTGCAAATTGTGTGAGGCAAAGCTTCAGGCTGGAGACTAGACAAGGAAGTCCCAAAGAGTGCATCCTGAAATGCTTTCATGCTGGAAGTAACTTACTCTACCTCATTTGGATTATAAAACAATAGAGGTAACTTGATTCTCAACTCCTTTTCAAGCAAGCCCTCATTTTAATGGTCACTTCCAATGTTGATCATTCCTTGAGAGGGTTGTTCTGGCTACCCCTTCTAAGAAATGCCATTTTGCCTTTATTTGGAAGGCCCATCTATAGCTAAAATTTTTTGCAGTCCTACAGGAAATTACTCAACTTTGTTAGGTATTGAGTGTTTTTAGGTCTCACTGAACAGTGTCAGCAGATCAATGTGCATTATATGTTTGAAGTGAGTCTCCCTGCAAGAAGTACTACTGGAAAGGTAATGAAAGGATGTTGATGAGGTTAAGGAACAGCAAATATTCTAGCACCCAGACTCTAGATTAAAAAGCATCTATTACCTTGAGAGACTAACATATAGTCAAAATAGTCCTGCAATATGTGAAATTTCAGAATAAAATTTGGAGTGTTTTTTTATATACCATCTATTCAAAATTTTATTTTCTCTACTGGCAAGTGATTGCTGTTATCCAGTCTCTTCATGGCCCAGATAATAGGTAGTCATTGCACAGAGAAGTGCTGTCATTTGCCAGAACACTCAGGCTGGATTGACACTACAAGAAAACATGAATGTGATGACATATTTCTCTTTAGCAGTATAAAAAGTCTCATGTACAGTGTCCTTTGCTGTATTTGAATCCTCTGTGGTCAAGAAGAGAAATGCAGCTACAGATTCTTACCAAGAGTGGCTGAGAGAAAACTCTGGTACAGAAAATGAAAATAAAGGATCTATATTTCTGTAGATGTAAGCAATTCAAGCTAGTTCACAAAAATATCAAGCAAGACTATGCTTTGTTTCAGACTCAGGTCTTTCAAGCACACATAATCTGGCTTCTATGAAAAAATGCATAGATCCAGAACATGTAATTACTCATCAAGTATAAAAAGATAGTGAATTATTGAAGTATCATCACAGACTGTAGTTCACAAAATTGCAGTCTACTTACACAGTGTGTTGGCATTTATGTAACAAAAAAATCTGTTTTTTCTGCATTTTAAAAAGCTTGGTGACAGGAAGCTGCTCATTGATTTCCAAAAAAAAAAGAAAGAAAAACAACAATAAACCATAAACTCTTCCCTACCCTCCTCACCCCCCAAAAAATGAAGATGAAAATAATGGAAAAACCCAAACCAAAACCAGAGGAAAAGTATTTTGGAGTGCCTGATTTCAGTATGCACTTTACCAGTTAGGTTGCATGAACTGCCCACCTTGACCTTCATTGTGACTTAATCATAAAGTGTGTGCAAAATGTCATGTGTCGTCCAGGAAGACTGTCTTTGGGTGTGCTTTGATTTTTTTTTTTAATGTGATGCTGTAGCAAATGTAGCTGTGAGGATCCAGTTCTGAGTGCTACCACTGGGCCCAGTCACCTTCAGCCAAGTCAGAGGAAATGAAGCTGACAATGTGCATCAGCTGCTTCAGTCCCAAGTCAGCAACTTGCACTACCCTGCTGCAGGGATGACTTCTATTCTCCTCAGAGGGCAGTTACAGAGAGGAAGACAATGACTTTATGTGCATGAGCAGGTATTTTATTGCAGTAGGATAATGCACAGTTGGTACTGAGGCATGCACGTGGTTTAGGAATTTTGCTGGACCATATTTGCTCTGACCTTTAGGACCTAGAATTCCTGCCATGTATGTGGCCGTTCAAAGGACCAGTGATCAGGTCAGACTAGTATGTTGCTATTAGTGTTGAAAGTGTGTTTGGTACATAGTTGCAGCATCTCTTATAGTTTCATTTCTTTCTTAAACAATCTCATTAATGCACAGAAATTTCCTAAAATCAGACCAAAGAAATAAGTGTGCATAATTCTTCAATGCTTCTGCCCTGATTTGTACCAAACTGCTAGTGTAGTTGCAGGCAGTAATGAACACAAGTAGTGGTTTAAAACCTGTGGCTGAGTGTCTGAGGGTGTCTCAAGGTGTCCTTATTACAGACTAGTGAGAATTCTGAAATCCCTGGAGCTAGGTCTTTTGGGAGATGTGAATGTAGGAAGGGTTTTCCCCAACGCCCAGAGCTCTTTTGACACTTTTTGCCAATACTCAGTGTCCGTTCAGTAGTGTCATTCTTGGGATCAGTGTCTCTGCATTAAGTGATTGACCAGTTTACTGCAAGTTTGAGTATTCTTCCTTTTGTAGTACTTACATGTAATTGTGATCTGTAGTGGAAACTTGCCAGGGACATAGCATGAAAGTGGGGGTCTGTTTGGCATGTGCAGGTGCTGTTCTGTGGGCTTGTGCATGAACAGAACTCTGCTGAAGTAGGTGACAGTGCCATGAGCACAGTCTGTGTTATATCAGGTCATACTGACCACTCAGCTGGGATATGGAAACAATTGTTGGTATTCACCCACTTCTGTGTAAAGCAGTGGTTTTCCCTTAGCTTAACCACTTGAGGACCACTTGAAACTAAAATGCCTTTCCTCTTCTGCTTCTCAGCAGTGACTTCCATGTGAAGTAGCTCCTCTTTGAGTAGGAAGTAACCAGTCTCTGATGAGCAGCAAGCAGTTACCAAAATCTGTTTTATGTCCCAAGGTAGCCCCTGAATGCTGCTGCCATCTGTCACATTTGACTCTGTCTCATTTCCCATTCCATTTTGAACACACACACACACACACGTGTGTGCCCTTCTCTGCCCTTCCTTCCTGCTCCCCTGTTTGTTCTGGCACCTGCTGAAGCTGTTGAGCATGAAAAGCATCCTGGGTTGCTCAGGAACTTCAGACAAGAAGGCCAGACTAGATAAAGGGGAGATGCCTATCTGGACTTCAATGAAACTACCTCAACTACCTTCCTTAAGAGCAATATCTTAAACCACACAGCTTTTTATACTGTGAACTTGTGATTATAGTGTCCTAAGCTACAGTCTGTTGACAGTTTTAAACTCATCAGGGTTTGATATATTAGAGATGATACTTGTAAATGTTCACAGTGTTGTTTCAGGAAATAAGATTTGGAACATAGACACCAATTTTTGCAGAAAACAGTGATAGATGAGAACAAAATAAAGACAAATTGCATGTTAATTAAGAGAAAATGTTGCAACATAGAGGATGATTAAACAGCAAAAGAGCTTTTAACAATGTGTCTCAGGGAAAAGTTGTGTTAGTTCAATGTTTTGTAAAAATAATTTGCTTATCACTCACCTGCATCAAACAGTCCCACAGTGTTGCATCAGTTGCTTTGTCATGAGTGAAATAAACTCATATAATTCCCAAGTTCATTGGCTATCCCACCTAGTAGTTGTCACACTGCTTTATGGCACCGATATTTTGAAGGCTGGAAACTCCCCCATTTGCAGTGTTTGGGGATTAAGCTTAGCCCTTTACAAGATTATTGTTCTTTAAAATTGTAAAAGCAGAAATCATCCCTTAAAGAAAGCAGAATGCTTAGCAAGACTGAAAAATCAGTATCGGGTTCTGCGAGTGCTGCTATCAGGTTGGTTTCTTCTTCATATTTACTTTTTTTTTTTTTTTTTAATTATCATGTGCTTTTGAAATGTTGCTATGCATAAGCTAGAAATGTTCTCGTTAGCCAGATTTTAGTCATCAAGTTTCAGAGCTTAGAATACAGTCATGTCTTGGCTACCCCTGCTGGAACTATACACTTCTTTAAAGTGCTTATTTTCATATATGCCAAGGATTAGATATAGAAGCTCTCTTACTGTAAGTTAGCAGTCTTCCAGAATTATGAATGTATTAATGTCATCTGTGCTGTATTTTATTACTGTTTAAGCTGTCTTAACTTTTAAAAAGCAGTTGGCTTCAGTACTTAAAATGTTTACATCAGAGCAATAGATAATGAGGACTTCACAAGACACTGATCTGTGCCACTTAAGCTGTATTTTGTGCTTCTGGCAGGTATTGATGATAAAAGATCTAAAATAAGTAATAAGAGCTGTCCCTTGTTGCAGAGAACATATTGGATTCCAGTCTGTAAAATTAAATTTCCATTCCAAGGAGAGGGTGATTAATCAAGCTTGGAGAGCTTATAAGAACAGTGACTGCCTTCCTATTGAAACCATCTCTGTCTCTTCCCTCTATAATCAGTAATGTAAATGTGGTTTGACCTCCTGTTCTGTGAAGCTCTAGTAATTTTCTGACTAGGTGAGGAAGTACTTTTGTTCTTAGAAAGTTTCTTTTCTAGGAACTTTCTATGCACCAAGCATTATCATCTGAACTGCTGTTATCTTTTCAAGCCCTGTGTTTGGCTTTATCATAAACCAGATGTAAATGCTACTGTTGGGTTTCAGAATAGCAGGGCTGAGTGGTCTGAAGTGTTGTCACCTGCACAGTACTGCACCACATATAATTCATGGCCAGGGGAAAGGAGAATAATTCTGTGTCACCAGAATTTGTGGTAAATAACTTCTCTCAGACTTTCTAAAGCAGGTGAGTAGATGTAATGCAAAAAAATACCTGCCAGCCCTCCTTGATGTGAGTTCTGTTGGTATTGCCAGACATAGCCCAAACTTACGAACATTTTCAGATAGGAAGCAAAACATTAAATTCATATAAACTCATTTATTTCTAAAGAATGACTACTTCCAGCTTCAGAATTATTTCCCAAATGTAGAAGGCTCTTGGTGTGGTGTCAAATTGTATTCAAGATACCAGCAGTTACGGGTGTGTCCTTGTCACTTATTCTTGTTGCTGCTCTAACATTTATCCTTTGTCTCCATTCCAGTTTCCCTCCCCTGTGTCATTGTTGAAGCCTCTGTATGATTTCTGGCTGTGTTTCCCTCTAGTAAGGTCTGGCAGGAAAGGACGCCGGCGGGTGTTTAGTCTGTCGGAGGCTGACAGTCACGGTGGACACTGGGTTTAGGCCTTCCAGCAGCAGCTGCAGCAGAAACTCCCGCAATACCCACTCAGGCAGGTTCCTCCATAAGCCTTCACAAGCCCATAACAATCAATAGAACATATTTGCTTTCCATGCTGACAGCAATGACAGTGAGGTAGGAAACTGAAGAAAGCGTCATATTTGTTTCTACGTTTTGTTTTGGGAGAACTGTGAAGCAATGATGAGCTGTTTCTGAAGGCCTTGTCTGCAGCTTCTCCCATGTCTCTGGGCACTCGTGCCAAAGGTGGAAATTGTGCTATCAAGCCTCCAGCTTCAAAGCAGCCATGTCTTCATTTGCACAGGGCAGCCCTGGCTGTAGTGAAATTTGGGAAGCACAGGCTCCTGAATGGACAGTAAATGCAGGTCCTTGGCCAGCAGGAAGAAATCTCTTTATAGTACAGGTCAAATGGACAGGCATTCAGCATAAGACTGTCCCTGGACTCTGTTGGCACAAGCGTAACATTTCTGTGATCATCAGATTCTGGCAGATGACCTTATGGACTGTTTGATTATCCTTACCTGAGGAGGTGAGGAGAAGGAGCAGATGCAAAAAATATGGAAATACACTCCAGATGACCTTTGTTATATAATCTGTTTGAACTTGTATCTCATTTTATTTTCTTTTGTTACTGTCATGGCATAAAGATACTTTACTCTGCTAATATTTTATAAACACCCTTTTTCATCTTTATAGATTTATTTGCAACTTTTTGCCTAATGTCTTGTAATTTGTATTTTTGTTATCCTTTCATAGTGTGTTGCTGTACAGCTTAGGACACTTCTCTGTGGATGATACTCATTCTTTCCTTTTTCTGTTCTTTTCTAACTTCTTTCACAATAACCCTTGTTAACATAAGTTAATATAACAAGTTGAGTGTTTTAGTTCTTTTGCTGTAACAATAATCTTTGTAGCATTAAAGAAGTGCTGAAAAGCATGTAAGGCTGTTGAAGGCTCTGCATCCAAAGAGAGCTAATAATACCCCAAAACTTGCAAAATTACACCTTGTTTTCAATAAGTACAATAAGTTTGGAGGTATGGAAGGCTGTTTGTTAGAGCTCAGTATTAAGATCCAAATCATTTTAAGAAACTGACTTCACTCTCCCTGGTTTTGTTGCAGATTTGGCTTATATTTTGTGCCAGAACACTCTTGCCCAAATGCATCGAGGCTGGGGAGAGATAAATAGAAATGCTGTTTTCTAGTATTAGGCAATAACCTTTTGATATGTAAGAGCAGAGCACCAGGCTCAGTGGACTGGTGGTTTTATCCAGGAAAAAATTACAAATTTTCTTTCTATCCCAAAGTCAAACTGCAACCAGGTGTTGGGAGTTTGGGTTCTTTGAAAGCCAGTTAGTATTTTTATATATAGTATAAAGGGACGTTCCAGATAATAAGTAGAGAAATTAATCTGTAAACATGCTGGGTAGGTGAAACTCTGTAGAAGCAAGAGCCTGGTACCTGTCTTGGTACCTGCTTAAAGACAGACATTCTTGTGAGCTCTAGACAATGTTCAGAACTCTCCCTCCTCCACCCTTCCTTGTGTTGGGATTTGCTTTCTGGTCATTTTGGCAGTACTGCCACCATGGGTTACAGCAATTGGCCACTGTTCCCTGAATTCAATGCTATATTGATGGAAGCAAGGCTGGCAGTGACTAAAGACATCCTGAGAGGAGAGAAACTGGCTTCTAGCAATGGTAAATAACAGCTGGAGGGAAGCAGAGGAGAGCTCTGATCTTGTATTCTCAACAAATGCTGCCACTGAAACACTGGGCAGCATATTCTGCTTACAGTTTTTGATATTTTTATCTTTCTTCTTAACATTTTTTGAGACTTTCGTATAGAAAGTTTGGACTTGTTAACTCTAGATACTTTTTTTATGAAGACTTTTTCCAAATACTTTTTGTTTGTGGCATTAAGAAGGGAGTCACTTGAGCATTAACTTAGAACCTACCTGGAAGGATTTGGGGACCAAAACATCCAGCATTACAAAAGAATATAATGTCTTCCATTATTTCAGTAAATGCAAATACTAAGAAAAGACATTGATATTCTATTGGGAGAAGGGAAGGAATGATATAAGAAATGAAGTGCAGATTCAGAAGTTAAATAGAAATGTGCTGTATACAACATTCTGAGCAGAATGCCATTGATTGATAATACTTTACTTACCAGAATGCCTCAGGTTTCTAAATCCTGAATTTGGGTGACTATTCATGCTATACTATAAGGAAGATTTAAAAGTTATCTTGGCAAAGAACATTTGATGTAATTTTAAGATTGTATAGATTCAAAAAGCAGAAACTCACTGTTCTGTGCATACTGAAATGTTAGTGTTTAGCTTGGAATTCAGAGAAATGAGCCTGTATTTCTTGTTTTGGCAGTTCATTTTCCATGTGATTCTTGCATCACTTCCTCTGTTATCAGTTGCTACGTCCTCACTAAAGCTTCTTGACAAAGATTAAGAATTTGTAGGGTTACTTTGAATCTGTCCTTGTAGTTAAAAAATAACCACTGATGTCTCTTTTATTTAAAAGTAGACTTTTTTACCATCTATAAATCTTGTTTTTATCAAAGCAAGAAGCTTTAGTCACCAGTTCAGCAAAAAGTACATGTGAATGGTTTCTGGAGTGAGAATACACCACTGTTTGAGTTATCTTACCAGAAAGGTAAAGAACATTAGTAATTTTAGTGTTATCCACTGTTACCTTACTGATACCCATTCCATTCTCCACTTTGCTTTTCCTTTTTTTTTTCTTTTTTTTTTTTCCCTTTGTCTTATGTTCATGCTTTCTGTTCTTTTCCAGGACTAATTGGAATCATATTGAAACGGAAATATTTTTAAGGTCACTGTGTATTAGAACCATAACTTAATTCTTAGCTTCTTTATTCACTACATTGCCTTGTAAGCTTTTCTGCAGATTCCTGTACACTTGAACACATGCTGTTTCTTACAAAAGCTTTAAAACTGCTCTGTCTTGAAGCTGGATACCTGTTACTTAATAGCATCTATTATTGCAGTCTGAAAAGAAAAAACCTGACTTTTCTGGGCATACTTGATCATCTAAGGCTGATTCACCTCATCCTGTCCATTCCCTCTCCATCCTGAGCCAAATGAACAGCTTGCTTGACAGCTCACTAGGATTTTTAGGGGAAAAGGACAGCACAAATAGCTATTAATGTTGGAGGGTTTTTTCATTAAGTAGGAGGTGCAGCAGCATATCAGTTTTCAGTAGCATGTATGCTTATTCTCAATTTTGAGTGTTGGATGCTCCATGCTTAGGAGGACAAAATGCCCATGACTCACAAGGCTGTGTAAAGCAGGCCTCTTGCAGCACCTTTCAGTTGCAGTAAGGAAATGATCCTCCTTCCTCTTCTGCCATAATTCTGCTTTCTGTGGTTGAGGTGTTGCTTAAATGTGAATCTGGAGGATGAATTGAGAGAATGACTTCCAAATTTTTGTAAGAAACAGGCCACCTTTTGGGAAAGCTGGCTGTAGAGTGGTTCTTCAGTTTTTTCTTTTATTTCTAAAGATCTTCCTGATAAGGGGTAGTGGGTTCATTTTAGTTCATACTAAATACTGGAGAGGTTTTCTTTCCCTCAACTTCCTCTCTCAAAGAATATTTCTAATATTGGTACATACTCTAATACTAAATGTAAATAATTACCTTTTTCCTAATTTGAACGTAATCCTGCTGGCATTTTAGGTTATGCCTTTATAATATTTTTGTTTATTTCTAATTACTAAAATGTGGATGTGTAAGCATAGTGCTTCACAGAACTGCGTTTTCTACCCAATTATTCTTGAACACTGATGAATAATGGTGTATTGTCAGGCTTAATGTGCATACTGACTTGAATATTGATTGTTCTTGGTTGTTCTCTTTTCTCAGATGATGCTTCAGCTCCAGAGCAGCCTCTGACAGCCAGTTCCAGTCAGACGATGTTGACTGATGAAACTCTTTCAGCTGTTTCAAAGTCCAGCAGAAATGCTGTAAAAGCCAGTGACATAGAAACAGCCAACCTGTCTCCCAGCCTGATTCCTGCACAGCAGCCCACGATATCCTTACTCACAGATGACAACACGGACACGCTGAGCGTGGAGTCGCTCACACTGGTGCCACCAGTTGATCCACAGAGCATTCGAACATTCAGCTGCATCCCTCAGGCCTCTCTGCAGTCTGAAATTGAGGTTGACAAGGTGAAAGAGGTAGAGGAAGAATGTTCTGACTAAAGCCACCGTGCAGACTGTAATAAACAGTGAAGGAAATGCAACCAAATTGTGATTTTTTTCCTCTGGGAGTGCAGATACTTCTGGAGGCCTGAGAGGCCTCAGGTCCACATGAAGGGACCAAGTGGTGGCAGAGAAAGTCAGCAGTTTTTAGAGCCAACATTGGATACTCAGCATATCTGAACTGGAGAAGAGAGAAAACCCCAAACTTTTGAATCTGGATTGGTTCTTTCCTACCAGTTTCTCTTATACAAGAACATGGACATATTTCAGAGGACCTACTGTCTTTCTAATAGGAACTAATTAACTGTGAAAGGTCTACAGTATTATGGCCAAGTGAAGAGACTTTTGGATACCCAGCTTCATGGTAGTGCATTATTTCATCTCTGAAACAGGAGATATGCCATTGACCAGAAAAATATTGTATATTTAGGACAGAGGTAAAGCTTCCATTTGAGTCAGGGTGTGTTTTTTCAGTTTGATGTTTGGTTTGGGGTTTTATTTGTGGAAGAGGGCTTTTGGGGTTTTATTTGGTTTGGGGATTTTTTTTTTTTTTTTTTTTTTTTTTTTTTTTTTTTTTTTTTTTTGATTGGTTGTTTTGGTTTGGTTTTGTTTTCCTCGTGGTTTTTTTGGTTGGTTTTTTTTGGAATTTTTTTTTTTTTTTTTTTTTTTTTAATGCTGAACTTGTTCATCTTTTGGAGGTCTGCACAATACCAGCAGGCTTGGCCACATTCAGTATTGTCTTTGTAGGACTCCAGACGTAAATATTTTGTTTTCCATATGTAATATTTATTTCAAGGTTTGATTCAAAGTTGAAACACAATGTTTGTTCAAATTAACATAAGGGATTTTTGAGACCACTTTAGTCTTTGCTTAGCCACCTAGAGAGGAATGTAAAATATTTTAAAAGATTGCTATAGCTTGTTTGTTCACTTCTGACAGTCAAATTGCTACACATCTGAGGAATGGTGATATCTCTGCAACTGAAGGACAACTTCAAGAAGCAGACAGAAGCAGTTTTACTTTAAAGAGGTTTTCAAATTTTTCATACTCATGTAGGAAGAAAGTCACCATATCTTACTGATAATTCCTTTGCAAGTCTGATCTTGAAAGGTATTGTGTATTTTTTTTTTCCTGTCTGGGATAGTATCCTAGTTAAACAACATTGCTACATAAAAGTGTTAACATTACTTCCTAGATCCTGACACCAAGTTGACAGAAAAGGGAAAGATGTTTCTTAAAGTTTGGAATGTTCTTTGCTGATTTGATACATAATTTAACATGAAAGGAATTTAAGATTTTTCGTCAGTTTCCAAGTAAGTTAATTTAAATTAATAGTAAAATGAGTAGCTTGTCATTGCTGGTCTATTCTTAACACTGAGTTGGCAATTCCTCAAAGGAGGACTTTTACTTGGTCCTCCTTTTTGAGGACTGTTTACTTGGTAGTGATTTCAGTCACACTGCAATCTGTGTCCTCATTCTGTCTCTGCTGGCATTGAGTTCTTACTAAATGGGTGAATCTGCAAAGTTTTTACCCACTTCCCAGTTGCTTATTGTACCTCTTCCTGGCTGTCAGGAAGGGAATACTTGAAGTGATTTTTCAGTGATACCTGTATGTGTGTGTATATATATATATACACATGTGTATATATATATGTGTGTGTGTATATATATATATATATATATGAGATTGACTAATTCACAGGTACCACTTTTCTCACTTCTTCTGTCTTCTCTTTCACATAATAGTTGAATCTTTGCCAACTGGATATATGAGGTGTCTGCTACTGAATGCCAGGCATTTTTTCCCCCTGTTAACTTTTCCATGCAGTTTTGATTTCTAATTTTCTGTGATTTCTACTTTATCTCAAATTGAATTAACTGATACTCTGACCATTCCAGAGTGGCCCAAACTCTAAATGAACTCAGAGTTGGGTGTCCTCAGCACTGCAGTGGATTTTATGTGAAAATCTGGCATTACTGGAATAAGAGCCTACTTTTTGGGTTTTTTGGTCTCATGCTGAAGATGAATTTGCAGTCATGCAGTCACTGTTGCAGCTAATATGCATGTACCTGAACAAGCCTAGACACATCAGTAGCAATCTGTGCACAAGAACCACATGAATTTTTATTAGCTGAAGTGATTGCAGTCTAGACTTTCTCTAAAATGGTGCAGCATTACACTGTAGTCTCAGTAATATTCTGAAGACCATTATAAAAAATGCCTCACTTAATTAGAAAGCATTTTATGTTAGTTATTAACCTTAAATTCTTGACCTGGATTACACAAAATACCACTGTGCAGGCTGAGTTCCCTTCAATAGAATTCATTTTAGACTGGAAAACCTTAATCTTAATTTATCTCATTTCAAATTCAGTTCTAGCAAGATTAGACCCATGCACAAGGAGTCTCTTCAATGCATATGCATATGAATAATCTCACCCCTGAGCTTTACTGCACAAGAAATGGGGCAAGGGAAAGGAAGGTGACTTTGTGCTTTTCATTACCTTTGAGTGGCTTTTAAATCTCTTGATCACTTATTTAGTGAGAGCTTCACAGGAAATGACTTAGATACTGTTATTAGGAAAATAGAATAATAGGTTGGCTGTTAATTTGTGATGACTTCAAGCAATCCAGGAATTCAGTAATTGCCCTGGAACTGTGTCATTTCACTAGTAGTAAAATAAACCTTATGCTTGAAGACGTAGGTAAGCTATCAGACAAGCAGGTCAAACTGAGTGTGTAAGGATGAAGCCACTTCCTAAGAGTAAACATGTCACTGCTGTGTTGCTGTCACTCTGGGGTAATCAGTCACTCCCCTGCAGGGGACAGGGAGACCTAGAGTAGCCTCAGGAGCAGTGGCACTGACCACCTGGGAGTAGCAGTCACAAAACCTCCACCAAGCTAAACATTCTGCTCTTGTCTCCACTAACCAGCTGAAGTTAAACCTGCTTTTAAAAGAGCATTGCCCAGGCAGGCAGCTGCTGACTGGGAAAATAAATGGTTTGTCTTCTGAATCAGAGATCTGCAGAGGCATCAGCTGGGGGCAGGGAGATTGGGGCCTTTTCCTTCCAAGGTAATTAGTCTCCTTCTTTCAGACAGCCTAATGTAGCCATCTAAATATATATTGAAAATTCTCTTCTTAACTGCTGCTGTCCTTCTTGAAAGAGTTTTTTGGTGTGTCCCTGATTCACCACCACTGCCCTACCTTGGGATATCACTCACCTGGGCACTGCTCTTCTATTATCTAGCAATCTTTAGAGAAGTTCTCCTGTGCTTGCCTGCTGTGTTTCTCTTGACCTTTCCCAACATTTGCAGCATGAATTAGAAACAAATAGAATAACTCTTCCCATCTCCTATTGGATTCTGAAAAGCAGAGGGTGATCCAAGCAGGGCTTACTGGGGTGGGATGTTTTTAAGGGTTGGGAGGGGAGTAGTTCTTGGGGGTTTTTCTGCTGCTCAGTACTTGAGCAGCAACAAAGACGTATGAGATGCAGTTCTTGACTGAGTCTCAAACAGAGGGTTCTTTCATATGGAAACATATTTTTATATTGCATTTGTACAGAATTTTCCCTATTTTGATCTCCCAGCATTTTTAGATTTGCACGTTGCTCAGATTTAATTTCTTTTGCAAGGTATTATAAAATATATATTTTGTGTTTGTTAATGTATTATAAATGTAAAGCTAAATTTTGGCTGTCTAATAAATGTGCACTGTGGTGGTATCTGGTTTATTGTTTTGTTAACTTGAATTTATCGGTTCTTAATATGAAAAGGAAAAACTTGTAATTGTTGGGGCTGTCTTGTTAGCATAATTAAACGTGTGGAGTGCATTTATTTTAAAAGTAACTAAAAATGGCTTAAGCAGGTAATAATTAAGAATACTTGATAACAAAAGTTAAGGTCCAGACTAGTTCACAGGATTCTTTTAAGATCATAATGATTAATGAGATTTTTGTCTTGTTTCCCATTACTGTTGGTTATGTATACTCATACTCAAGTGAGTTTAAGACACATAGTAATTGAAATCTGATAGCATGTATGAGAAGATCTGAGGGTTAGTGTTTGGTTGTATTTAAGGACTAACTGTGGCAGAAGTATTTACAATGAACATGAAGATAATTTTTTTAAAGATTGAGAATAGATTCAAGTGTGCAAATTTATAGACTATTACAATGTCTAGGAGCTTTGTTTTGCCCAGAGACAGCACTAACTATACATTTTCACAACTTCAGGAAACCCTCTTGGAAGCATTACAAACTTTAGAAGATAATTTTAGGCATCTCCACTTGTAAATAGCTGTGTTGATATTTTTGTTGCAAACCTTTTCCTTCATTTTTAGCTGCTTTGTAAGTTTGATTGTTTTCAGTGCAAAGAGGTGGAAATGTATTTTTCTAGAAGAATGAATGTATCTGGGATTTAAGCACTACAAAAAAGCATTTAATGAACATGGACTGTCTTCCTATGAAATATATTTCAGTAAAGTTGTCTGAAATGTAGTTCATTTGAGAAAAAAAGTCCTGAACATGCACTTACATTTACATGGAAAAAAGCCCAAACATGGTGTGAATTAAATTCTGAAATGTCTTTCTACAGGCAATAAGTATTAATTATTTAATGTAAGTTATGTTAGACATTTGGAATAAATGTGCTCTCTTATGTTAATTTAAAGAACAATGTAACTAAGCATCTGGGAAGGGAGTGGAATTAGAAGAGATTGGTATATGTTTCTGAAACCCAGACTTCTCAGTCTGTATTTGCTGGCATTGAGAATTTGTTGTGGCTATTGAAAACCTGGACAAGAACAAGGAATAGACCTTTCTTTGTAAATGGAACTTGGCAATAAAAATGGTGTTACTAAGAAAACTTCCTTCCCTTTCATGTGCTGCTGCATGCGTTTGATTCACAGGGACATCCATGAGCAGTGAAAGGCAAAATTTGCAGAACCTTGCTTTTATTTAGAAGAATGTTGTGCATATGTGGCTGTTAGGCACTTTCATCTTTAAGTCAGGGTAATTTGCACTGTGTATGCAGGAAAGACATAGCTGGGGGGGAGCAGAAACAGTCCTGGAAGGGTGTTGCAAAGTAGATGAGACCAAGGGTTAAGAGGGGCTGGGCAACATCTAAGATATCTGTGAACCACTTGGAAAGTGCCTGTCATGTGTGATTTCTTCCCCAAATATATGCTTTCACCCTCTGCCTCTTTCTCTGGTGCATATTGCCAGTTCAGTATATGGATTAAATCCAACCAATTTATTAGTTAGATTCTTGTTAATTAGCCTCTACATCTATAGGAATTCATCACAGTCAATGTACATTCCTTGGGAAATGTTATTTCTCAAAATAGTCATTGCTCCAGAAGCTTTCTTAGGAAGAAGTTCAATTACATTGTACCATCAAATAAGCAAGCTAGGTGTCAGAGGTAGGAGACAACACTGTGATTTACTCTAAGATACAAATATTAAATCATGGTGTATTGTGGAAAATGAGCTAAAATCTGCTCCTGGCAGCTGAACTTCCTAAATTTTGCCAGTAATACTGCTTTCAGGATGCCAATTTGTGGTCAGGAAGGTCCCTTCCTTCATGTTTGAAACTGCTTTGTGGTTCTGTATCCTGATGCTTCAGAACTCTTGCAGCCTTTTGTCTTGTCATTTTTCCTGTGTCTCTGTACTAAACCTTTCTAGGCTTGGACCCTGAGTCAGATTGAGCCTCTTGCCCTGAGTTAATAATGATCAGAGAGGGAATGAAAGCACTGCCTCCAAACCTCTTCTCATGCTGACTGGGTTGAAAATTTACTGGACAGAAATGCACTGCTGCTTTAGTCCACTCTTTTCTTAGTCCCCAGAAAGGCCTAAGTGTAGCAACTTGAACAGTCCTATCGTAGGTAAATCTACATCTTTATCAGCAAAATTTCAGCATAGTTATAAAAATAAGTGAAACTCTGTCAATACATATGTCTTTGTCAAAGTAACTCTTGTCTAAGTAAAGATGTGGCATTTGGAGATGATCTCTTTGTTCTTTGACACGTAACCTTTGTTTCCATGTCAAGGAGAGAGTTCTTTGTGACTTCATGGATGCAGCTGTTGGGGCAGAAGAAACAGCATTTCTATTCTGCTGTGTTAGAGTTCATGTGAAGACAAAAGCTGTCTTGGAACTTTCTGGTGATCTTGAGTATGTGCTGCTTACAACTGGGAATGGCTGTTTGAGTGTGTTCCCTGAAAATTCGATTGAGTTTTAAATTCATATGTTTAATCTCTCAAATAAGAAGTAGAGGGAGTTGCAGCACCTGGATTTGCAAATTTCCAGTAGCAAAATTGGAAGAAAGGTTTCAGACAAATGTTCACACACAGTTAAGGCAGTTGAGCTGATGGGGTGTCAGTGTGGTTGGATGGTGCTCAGTTGTGTGTCTGCTTTTAGCTGAAGGATTTTACCATCAGCTTATCTGCAGATATCTAGGTCTTAAAATTATTACTGATTTTCTATGCCAGTTCTCTAATGGATTTTATGAGGTGGAGTTTTTGATTATTAAGTGCCTTATTATTCAGACTTGAGATTTTCTGAAATAAGTTGAAAGTTGCCTGTTCTCAGACACTCAACTCTACAAAGCTGAGAAATGTTGTGCTTGTTGAGTGGAAAATACTGATTTCAGCATTCCATTCTCACTGTCTTGTCCCCAAATGAAGGTTTATATTTCACATAGGCTCAGTGTAATTTTTTTTTTTGTTTGTTTGTTTGTTTGTTTTGTTTTGTTTTGGTTTTTTTTTGTCCCTGTTTGGATGACTGATAAGGACAGATGAATTCTTGGACTCTATTTCTTAGTTCCACAACATTTTTCTCAGCTTTAATATGGAGTAAACATTGTGACACCGGATGGGAAAACAAGCTGTTATTTTGCTACAGAAACAAATTTTGTTTTTTGGTTCATTGAATGAAGACATCTTTGTGTAAATTTGTCCTCATTTAGGGGTCATTTATTTGAAGCAGTTTTAAGCTGTTTGTTGATGGACCAGTGCATTGAGAAGGAAGAGAGCCAGACTGAGTCACCACTACAGAGGTGCCCAGAGCTGTCTTTGCCTCACCAGCCTGAGCTACCAGAGATGGAAAAAGGAGTTTCTGAAGGAGGAGAGAGGCAGACAACCATAGTGTCTTAGGAAAAAGAATTTCTAGTCTGCAGAGAGAGATGGGGTCTGCAAAGGAGGAAAGTAGTCTCACTCTTTCTAATAGCTAATTTGAGGGACAAGAGAGAAGAAACATCATGTTATAGTAGTTTATATGAAACCATGACCTCTGTTCAGGATATCAGTTACTTAAGTGATACTACAAAAAGCTCATCACCTGTAAGAATATCAGATACAAATGTCCATAGCCACACCTGTGTTTAAGTCTTACTCTTTCTCCAGCACCATATTATCCTATGCAAACCCAGTTGCTGATGTGAGAGGGGCGTAGCTAATTCCAGAATTCTTGGGAACAAGATGTGAGCAGCTTTGCTTTGCTACTTCTCCACCGTGCAGTTCACTTGAATTTGCTTATCACAGTTTATCAGCTTCAAGGCTTTCCTGCGAAAGTGTTGTTGGTAACCACTGTCTGTTAGATAATCTGTCATTCTTAGGTAGCTGCCAAAGTGCTTTGGAGGGAGATAGGCTCTCTCAGCTCACTAAATTTTGGTGAAAACAGGTCTTGCAAGCCTCTTAGAGAGTTTCTGAACAGATCTTCAGATGAGATGTTTTGTGAGGGAGGGATACTTCTCAAATTTTGTCAAACCACAGATCTCTTTGAACAACAGTCTTGGAGCTAAGCTTCCTCTTGTTTTGTCTGAATCTGCAAAGAAAACCAGAGCTGTTACGGGAAATCAGAGGTGCCTTTTCTCTCGCTGTGTTCAGACCAGCTCACACTGCACGGTGTGTCTCAGGCTGGTAACACCAGGCTTCACCTGGGCTTCAGCTTAACAGGACGTTGGACAGGTCCTTCCTGTTCTGAGTTCACCCTTTTTAAACAGATTAGTGGTGTGCTTGGGAAGCCTAGTTCATGTTTGTGAAGTACTTTGATGTTGATGTTAAGCATTAATCTTTTTATCACCTTGTCATAAAGAAATGTCATTAAAAACATCATTCCAGTCTTACTGCTTGCTCCAGTTAACGTAGTTCCTGCTGAATACATGTAATTTTCAAAGCAAATACTATGTGGTTTTTTGTTTGCACCATATCTCTGTGTCATCAGAACAACTTCAAAACTATAAGAAAAAAAGTCTTTCTCCTAGCTTCTAGAAATGTGTGATTTAAGATTTGGTCATAATTTGCAATGGTTTGCTATTGTCCAGCATGATTAGTTCACAGGAATGGGTTTGTCTGAAAAGAAGCCTGGTTTCTTTTAAATTTAGGGGGAAAAAAAGGGAAGGGAAAAAAATCAGTATATTTAAAACCTTTTCAATCTTTTCTGCTTCATAGCAATGACAGTAAGGAAATTATTAACCCTCTTAGAAATCAAATTGAATGTGTGAGACAGTCTTAGAATGTTGAAACTGTTTTAAGCGTCTGTTTATATGTGGGCTAAAAGAGACTTAAGAAAGAGAAATTGCTAAGAAAAGAAAGAAAGGTGAAGAGTTTGCCTTCCATTTAACCATAGCAGTGTGATAGCAGACCGCCTCTGTAAAAGTCTCTGGTATTAGTAGCACAATTATTTGAAAAAAAAAAAGGCAAGAATGGCATCTTTCAAGACATGACAGTAAAATGCCAAGTCATTAAAAAGGAACACTTGTCATCTGCTTCAGTGGCAGCCTAGTGTCTTATCTGAAACTGATAGGAAGTGTAATCTGAAATAATGTGGAGGGGTTGGTGTAGGTGAGTAGATGTTCCCTTTTGCCATCTCTGAGTTGGGACATGAGAAACTTTTCTCCTTTGCTCTGTTAGAGGGAAGTGTTACGTGTTAGTAGTCATGAAGAAATCCTTAACTGCTTGAGTTATCAGTTAGACCACTGAAAACAAGGTATCTGTGAGCCTAAGAACCTCCAACAAAGGTCAAATACAATAAAGAACTGTTTGTCAGAATAATTCAACAATCCCAGTTGGTCTGTCTCTTGCACAGAGTACCTGTCAAACACCATAGGAAGCTTGGTTTTGTTACAATTTTTCACGTGGAGCCTGTTTGTTAGAAAAAGATTTATCAGGAGCTAGCTGAGAACAACTGGAATGGGAATAGATAGTCTGTATGCAGAAAGAAATAGATAATTTCTTCTGAAGCTTTTTTAGATATCCCAAAATGAAGACCCAGAAGTGGCCAGTTGTGTGGGTTCTATAAAGCACTACAACAACGAGACCTAACCAAGACTCCTTGATAAGTATTTCTTATGCCAGTAAATGAAACATTACCTGAGTGAATGAAGGCAATGTATCTGAGGGAGACTAGTCTGTTGATTTCTCTCTATTTTCAAGAAAACAAATAGAGAAGTCACTGCAACCTGGTGCTAGAATGTACACTTGGTAGGATTTCCTCACCCCCTGGTTCATAATGTACCATTCATTCTTGAAACTGAAATTTCTGAGTAGTCCTGTGACTAACCTTGTTAATGTGAAACACTGAATGATGTATTCTTTTTTAATTATTTACTGACTCTGAGTTGGGTAACCAGAAGTTGATTCAAGAACTCCTAATTCCCCATCATAGTATGTCACAGATGTCCCTGCTCATACTGAAAATGCAACAAAAATCCAGATGTGAATTGAGTCAAACCCTGTTACAATGAGTTTATAGTGTGTAGGGATGACTTGTGTGTAGGGGAGATGTGTTTCTTGTGCAAGGCAGTGGCACTGTTTCTCTGTTAGAGATAAGAAAAGGATATCACAGACTGATGGCTCAGAACGTACATG